GCATCACGTCGCGTTGTTAAACGGGCGCGACGAATGCGCCGTGCTCGGCCGCCGCGGCGATTGTTAATAATTTACGGGGGCCGTCCTACCCGGGCGAAAACATTGACACGCATCCATTGGACACGGGCGGCGCGTGCGTTTGTAGGCATTGTGCGCCGCCGCCGCCGCCGCCGCCGCGCCCGGCGATTGTGAACCCGCGCGCAGCGCCCGGGGTGCTCGGAACGCACGGGGCGGGAGAGGAGAACAGAACAAACCCGTAACGCGGCGCGACTCGTTTGCGCGCGCGTACTGAATCCCGGCCGCGTCCGAATGTAAAATTTGAATTTTAAAGATACACCAGTTCCGTCCCGGGGTATTTAAAACGGACACGCCGACACACGTCCCGTGTGTTATTTGTTTGGCCGTACCAGTTCCGTCCCGTATAATTTATTTAGTTTACGACTGCGGTAACTGTTTTATATTATTTGGAAACAAAGATAATATTGCTTTCGGTAATCGCGGTAAATAATCGAATTTGTATACATTAATGCTTCAATATTATTTAAATTTTTTTTTTCGTATTTTAACATTGACAAGAAAATTTTTAATCGGGACGGAATTGGTACATGTCTTTTTTCACCCGGGACGGGATCGGCACATACCTTTTTTTCATCCCGGACGGAATTGATACAAAAAAAGCTTATTGGGACGAAACTCGGATGCAGCCCAAATTTTTTTACCCGCAAATTCGACGACTCGTTTTGCGCGCAACGAAAATATATTAGCTGCATCCGAGCACCGTCCCGATAACCTTATTTTATACCGATTCCGTCTCTAATAAAAAGAAGGTTAACCGATTTACGAAATTACTATATCAGCGCAATAATAATAAAAAGAAAAAAAATCCAGTCACGCGGACGTACAAATAATGACCGAAAAGTCTAAATAATATAAAATTGTTATTGTAGTCGTAAATTATATACTATGTTAATATTGTGTGGAAAATGCAAAACGGGACGGAATGCGTACAACTAAATAAATTACACGGGACGGAATTACTATATCCATTTTAAAAACCCGGGACAGAAATGTTTTTCAGGCGAATCGACGAATCGTTTGAGCACTGTTTACCTTTTCACGACCCAATTCAATACGGATGCAATAAAACGATAAAAATCCAAAATACGTTACGGTTAAGCACAGAAACACGTACAATACGTTGGCATTTTTTATTGTTTACAAAGTAAATATGTCGATATAATTTTTTTTTACGTAAAATACTTATGTCCCACTAGTAGTAATTAGTACAGTAATTTACGAGTATTTCAAATAAGACTCGTATGTGTCGGCGAATGGTTGTAGACGGACAGAAAAATTGGCAAAGTCGCAATCGTTCGACCGTACCTATTTTCCCGTTTATTTCCGGTTTTTCTCAATTATCGGGAAAACTTCAGGGAAAATCAAAAAATGACCTCCCTAAAGTACCTCCTCAGTCCGGTTTCAAAAAGTGCCATCATGGAAAATCGGAGCAACATTTCCGTTAATAAAGCTGTACGACAGTTGTACGACACACTTAAATTAACTTATTGTGGGCGATTTTATCCTGGTCGCCAAACTACCAAAGTAACTTGGAAATCGACCAAAAAAAAAATTCAAATTTTCGTTAAAAAATATCGAAAACCCCATGTTAGCCAGCTTTAAGTGCTGTGCGTAAATTCCCTCCTGTTTTGAATGTCAATAAGTGTGCGATCTGCCGCGGACAGACGGCCAAATCTAAATTATTATTTACATATTAGTAAAAGCGAACGTGTCTGTTAGTGTACATATAATAAATCCATCGCGCCCAGAGGTCTTTGCAAATGTCCGTAGTCCGTACAGAAGCGGATGATCGGAGTTATTTTTTTTTATGTTATTGGACTGAAATTATATTTTTTCTTTTAAATTATTTATGGATTTACGATGACGAAACTGATGAAAAAAAAAGACAGTTATTATCATAGGTCAGTGATTCCTTAGAAAAAAATGTATTATTATCGTGTGTCATCGATTTTTCGGACGTTTCTCGTTCCATTGTTATTCACTATTAGTTCGTCATGACGTCATGCTTAGTACATAATGTTTTCCTTCTTTTTTGTTTTCAATGGAATTTCGCGCACATATTATTGAATATTTCGCATCTTTTTTGTTTATAATGCAATTCCGCACACATATTATTGAACATTTTTTCTGAAGACGTAAAGCGAAAGAATATCGACAGAGTATATATTATAGCACGTTATAGCTGAATCTATCACTCGCGCGCGTGGGATAAAAACGGAGAAGAAGACCGAGAAGACCGTAATATATTTTTTTTTTTTTTTGTATCGTTTGCTTAGAATATATAAACAAAATTTCAAATATAATGACGATTTATTGATATACGGTTAACGCTGATCGAAATCGACGTGCCAGTGGAAATGTTTCGTATTATGTATGGAAATATTACAACGGTTAATTATTTTTTATTTTTTTCATTTATAATACGTATCCGTTTACCAGCTATCGATATATTTTATTGCTATACATTATCTGCAGTTGATATTTGAGTGGACGTTTTTTTATTTTGTTGCACTAAATGACGTTTTCGCGCATATTTGAATATTTTGTAGACACATATTAATGCCGATTTACGTAAGACGTATTGTTGAGCCAATTTCAACATTATATATAGTATACACAGGGTGGCTAATTTAAGTGTCTACACTCGAAAAGTATTGTACTAGTAAATGTTTTTTGAAAGTTTAAGAAACAATAAACCGTTCTGAAATGTCACGTTAATGTTATTTCTCGTCAATCTTATTCTCGACGGTGAAACGATTATCTAATTTTGATTCTCAAATGGTAACTACATACATTTTAGTGTTTTTTTTTTTTTTTATCAAAACGCCGCGCTTTGTGCCACACAACTGCAAATGGTTCTTCACAACTCGAAGCCTTCGAATCCGAACCCTGTTGCAATGTCGATGTAATCCTTTCGGTTGAGGAAAGGGAATAGTGATTTTTTTCGTTTTGTTTTTTCCCCGGCGCACGATCGCGTCGTATTTTTCGCAGGTGTTTAAAACCGTCGCACCGGCCTACGCCCGTACACGGCCGCCGTCGCCGCCGCGCGGAAACCCCAGGGCGCGGGCGCGCGCGCTGATCGCAGCGGCGGCGGTGCACGCTCGCGCCGGGAGGGCTCTCGGCCGCAGAACCGCCCCGCGAGTTTAACGCGCGCGGCGCGACACCACCGCCCACGGCCCGCGGGTCCCCCAATACGCGGTGCTGTAGGTGCGCGTATCCGGCGGCGTAACGCGGCGGACGACAATGACGCGCCGATAACGTGACAAACACCGCGTCGCGAATAATAATAATAACAGCGTACAATACAGGCGGGGATATCCCGAGCGCGTCCCGTTTTGCCTTTTTTTTTTTTTTTTATTTTTTACAACGCCCGAGTGCGTCCGCACGATAAATAAATATCGTCGGCCGCCAGCAGCTGTACAGGTACCCGGTTTATGTACTTGAGATTTTAAACGGCGGGGAAACAGAATTTTATTTTCGATTCCGACAATAACTACACGTGCAGGCGCTAGACCGCGGCTATGGCAGTCGTGCACGTAGACTTCTAGCGAACGAAAAAAAACAAAGTAGTGCCGTAGTATATTTTTTTTTTTCGTCGCGTCTAATACCGAAGTTACAGTGACGTTATTTGTACCGTCAAATTTTCCGAAAAATGTCACCGCCTGCAGATAGCGTGTTAAGTTGACACGGTAAGAACGGCATTTAAACACCTGCCTTTAATATAACAAATATTTAGTAATTACTACACTCACGACTCACCCTAACATACATTTATGTAAGAAAAATATAAAAATAATACAATTGTAATAGAAAATACAAAAAACCAACAAACATTTGCGGGATGTAAGCTAGTTCACCTCCTCGCCCTGGCAACTCCAAACGAACAGGGACGCATTTGGGCTACGTTGAAAAAATTACTTTTTTTCAATCGGGACGCACTCGGGGTGGGTGCCGAATTTCGGAGAGCTTTTTTCTCTTTCTTCTTTTTTAAACGAACCTAAACGTATAAATCGACGAACATTTCAAATAGCTATACTATAAAATAACCCGACGGTACAAACGTGATATTTTTAAAAATTAAATCACCACGCGTCTATGTGCGTATAGCTATTAGAAACGGTTCTGCGGAAAAACGAAATCGATTTTGACGAAAACCCGTTGAGTCGATATTCGGCCATCGAGAAAGCGCGTAAAAATTAAAAACAAAAACAAAACGCTTGCAGAATCTCTCAAACGTGAAATTTGAACGTAAAAACGATCGTAGGCGGATGGTTCACAGAAGCAACCTCTAAACGATTATCAAAAATTATTGACACTTATACCGCACGTATACAAAATGTAATCGCATTACCGGGGGTAAGGGGTCTGTAAAGCCCGTAGGTCCGTTGGGGAGTTCTAAAAAAAAAAAGCTCTACAGGTAAAACTGTACTCTACGTCGTGCGGACATTCCGTCGGGAAGATGACAGAGGCAACAGGGATAGAGAATGGAGGCGTCGGAAAACGGGAGGAGGACGGTAGGGGATTTTTGTTGCGCTTCAAGAGGACGGCGGTGGCAGCGATATTAACGGCCCGGGGGAAAAGAAAAATGAAATAATAAAAAATTACGACGACGACGGCACCGCGGAGTCTAGCCGTAAATGAAATACGCGTTGTGATTTTTTATAATTTTTTTTTTTTTTTTCATTCTACCTACTCTCGTAGTTTTGACGTTTAAATAATAATATTTTTATCGTACAAGCGCGTACGGCATAATAGCGTTCTCGTATTATAATCGTCCGCGGGGGTACCGTCGTAATAGCCGCGGTGCCGTAGCGGGGAACACGGGCGACGACGACGACGACGACGACGACGACGGCGGCAACGACGACTCCGCGGCACGCCGTGCGTGAGCGCCGCAAACGGCGCGCAGTGTGTTTTTTTATTTTACTAGTGCCGGACACGATGGGCTGCAGACACACCGCGGTCGATGTACCGGACTCGCGAACGATCCGACGGAGACATGGTGTTCAAAGGTGAGAGACGACCGAAAACTTTTACTATAATAATATATATATATATATATATATATACGTGTCTGCGAGTGTGCGTGTGCGTGCGTGTGCGTGTGCGTACCCATATAGGAATCTAGCGTCTAAAATGGGTAAAAAAAAAAAAAAAAAACAAAAAATCTAAAGAATAAAACTTCTTATACGCGTGATAGTATGATGTACAGCAGGTACATTCCGCGTGTAGTTCATACACTCACCTGCTCCGGGAAACCGTTTCATACGAAATACCTTAGAAGCCGCTTATTAGGAACACTTTGGCACCGAGGTGAAACGTGTCAATTAACCGATTGTATCAATTATCAGTGTTCCTAATAAGCGGCTTCTACTGTGTATCGATACGGCCGTATTATAATAGTATAGAATAAAATTAAAAAAAAATAATAATAATAAAAAATTGTCGCGTAAGTTCGTTTGTTTGTCGTTTATTTTTTATTTTTTTTTACTTCTGTACTCATTACCTGTACGCATACTTATATGGCGTATATATATATATATTATTTTGTTCACAGTGTAAATATTGCATTTCGTCGGTTTTTTTTTATTTTTTTTTTTTTTTACGCGTACATAAAGGGTCTGGAAATCGTATTGTAGCGGATTTCCCAACAGGTGACACGCCGCCACCGCCGCCGCCGTCACCTGTGCGATTGCGACAATATATTTTTACGACAATGTTTTCTATTCGTCGGGGGGAGGGAGGGGTGGTGGGGGGCGGTAAACAAAATTAAAAATCGCGCGTTTATACGATAAATATTTTAATATATCGGTTATTATTGTTTTTCGATGTCAGTCGACGATCGACGGCGTATACGAGAGGTGAACCACCGCACGATAATTAACAATATACTGACATACGAAAACGCGTGCTTTTTTTTTTAATTTTCATTTTTTTTCCCGCGAGCTTTTCCCCGCTTCTCGTCGTGTCGCGTCCTCGCGAAATGGTGTGGATTTTCGGTAATTATATTACAGGCAATAAGACTAATAATATTACAGTCGTTGTACCGTATCGATCGTCCGTCGCAGTTTATCTCGTATACTTGTAATGCAAAAATGTTTCGTATACGGTACAAACGAAACGCTAAAAACGAAACTAAAAAACCCGAACGCTCACCGTCACTTACTTAACACAAATGCGGGGCACATGGCTGCGGCAAAGTTAACGAATGCAACAGTACTATATAATATTAACTCTGTTAAGTTTATCGAGTCAATTGAAATTACAAAAAAAAAGTTAACTAAAGTCGTCGACACGGTTAAAAGTCAACAGTGCTGTTTTATTAATATTATTACGATACCTGCTTCGCAGTAGAGTTAGTCGAGTCAATTAGAAAATGTAATCAACCGATTATAAGTCGCGGATCGAGTTTGTATATTTTTTTTTTTTTTATATAAAATCATTATTGTCGATATTTCGCGAAAACGATTGAATTCCGATTTTTTTTTTTGTAAAAAAAGATCGTCAACGATACGTTCCGGAAACATGTGATTTCCGGGGGATCGAATTATTATTTCGACGACCACATTATCGAGAAATGTACGATGATAAATTCGAATTGAAACCGTTATTCATATTTTCGTGTAACTATAGATACATGCATCAAATAGTGAAATATTGTAATTGTGTTACTACGATATTGCAATGGACTGAAATCGATGCGTAATATTTCGTTAAGTTTGTACGAGAAGACAAAAACATAATGCGTTTAATTTGATTGAAAAAAAAATTAACTTGAATACCTTATAAAATAAATTAAAACTGTTTACTTTTTACCTCTTTAACGCCCCCTTACAGTATTTTGTTTAGGTTACCGTGTATACTGTGTACTTGAGATTATTTTCACTCCCTTTTTACTCCTGTTTTCGGTCAAAAATGTATATTATAGTAGCGGTTTAACGATGTCGTCATTAAAACACGGAATAAACACAAAACACAAAAAAAAAAAACCCGTGGGTTTTATACTGCTTCTGTATATTATACGATCGAGTGTTTTTATTATTTTTTTTTTTATAATAATGCATTATATTATCGTACTATTTCACCGAAACGAGTTATCGAGATTAAAAACACCCCCAGAGCACCGTTTCGGGTGTCCTTCAGGTTTCGGATCCTGAACGGAGCGAGGAACGTATCGGTTGGTTTTACTATGTGCCTACAATGACGTGTGCGACTTTTTATTCGTTATGTCTGTGAATAAATTTTCCACCAGAAATCTTGCTCCGGTGGAAAATGACGAGAGGTTTGTTTGAATTGTCCATGTGGTTTTCATGATAATTTCAGCTAGGGAACAACCGGAAAATAAAAATGGATAAATTTACAGTATCGTCGAATTGATTAATTTAAATATTAACGATTTTTCTACATTTTCAACCATACGAATATCAAGAGTAACGTATTTTCTATAAGGAAATTTGTATAGTTAGTGTATATGATAGCGTTTTTCGATCTTTCGTTAGTTTTTTTAATAATTTGAGTAAAAACGGGAAAGTTTACTGCATAACGGTTTCTATTATGTTTTTTATTGTAAATCAAATGCTTTAAACCAATCTTAGAGAGCTTAGATTTTCAGATAATACCTATATTAGCCTTATCTAAACGTGGTGCAATTTTCTGAAAATATTCTGACGAATTTTAAGCTCTTTATAGGCATATTACATTTTGGAGATGTTTAGTTTCTATTCGATAGGTTTACCAATGTTTGACCTAATAAAATTACTTAATACGAAGTTCATTGCTTAGTGGTAGAAAAAAAAATTGAGCGTAATTTCGAAGATCCTGTAAATTTTTATCGGTTTAAATTTTGATGAAAATCATAAAATTACGGCAATTCAAAAGATTTTTAACCGGATTTAGCTTAGAATCGTTTTTCGTTAACAATAGTCTATCGTTGAGTACGCGTGTGTTAGTCAAATGACTTAATGTTTTCAGTCTTCCCAACTTCCCATCCACAACAACAATGGCATACCCGTCCAACCGATCATTTCGTTTTGTTTTTTTTTACTGGTTTTGTACTATTTGATTTTGTTGTTATTATTTTAAAATTGCCGTAGCAATCAATCCGGATACTCCTCCTCCCCCTTCGATATCCACCACTGATTTCTGTCTGCTGCGTTTGCTGTATATTTCACATGACAATCGACTGAATTGTGCATTATAATAATACTAATAATAAATATATCGCAGTAATTATTATTGTCGTCGCTGTATTACTATTTTATTGCACGTCATGTTTCGACTGCATGTGCGAGTATCAGTCGACACCTTGCGTTTTATCGCGGGATTTTCACTATGTATTATAATTGGCAAAACTACGCGGGTATATTATAATAATACATCGGAATAATAACGTCTAAACTCTTTGGAATAATATTATCGAAGGAAGTTTTTTGTTTTTTTGTTTTTTTTTTTTTTTTATGAATGAATTTTAAAACGCATCGGGGGTCTTTTTTTATAGCACGGTCATCTGCACAGGACGCGATACATATTATACACGTCTACGCTGTTCGACGTATTGTCACACGATAAGCATTATCTGATTTAACAATAGTAATTGTGTTTTACGTTTTATTGGTTTTTGAAAAACTGACCGATTTATTACCAGGGCCAGTCTAGAAATGGGAATTTTTCAGATGACCTGGATGTATTATGATCTAATGGCCTAAGCAATGTACAAGCAAGCATTAAATACAAAATTAAAAAATATAAACTAAAAACTATAAACATTAATTAAAATAAAACCAAAAACAGTGACATTTTTTTTACAAAAATTCATTCAATTTACGAAAATAATACTTTAATTATTTTTAATTTTATTATTTGTTGTAATTCAGTTGAAAGTATTCGCAGAGACTTAAAATTTTGACGGCAAACTTATATTTGTCTTTTTTAGACATGGTAAAATTTTCAAAACATTTGAACTTTTACTTAAAATTCCGTTAAAAATATTCGTATGGATTTTATAGACTTGAAATGTTGTCACAAAACATAAATTTTCTTTTTCTAAACGAGATAAAATGTTTAAAAAACTTTAGCCATTTTTAAGCTATTTATAGTTTGTAGTTTATTTAAATTTAAATTTTGAGAGTTTTTTTTTACGTAATTTTTATTTAGTAAGTACTCTGTTGTAAAATTGTTAGACTATACAAAAATGTTTAAACATTTAACAGGAGATTCATTAAAAGTCGTATTTTGTGATAAAAAAAAAATATATATGCTTAATACAGTATTTTTTTATAAAGGAATTTTAATATCGAATGTTTACGCAAATTATTTGAATAAAAAATTATGTGAAACAAAACTAATTTTTCAATTTTTAGTTTTAAACATATTATCTATATTGCCGATTTAAAAACGATCATGAAATCAAAAATGAATGTATTGACTTAGTTTCGAAATTATGTAGCTTTTTATAGTTCTGATATTTTACGGATATTATATTATGTCAAAATATTCCATGATTCAATATTATCAATTTTACATAATTATCATAGTCTAATGGTGCTATGTATCTGTTGTTATTCTAGAGATTGTGATTTATCAAACCCGTGTTCTGAAAAAAATGTTTTGCATTTGTTGTTTCTCTGTTACCAAAACAGGGAAAAAACAAACGTATATTAGGTGTACCTAGAAACCCAAACCATCACTCGCTGGGACTATATTTTAATCAAAAAATACCTCTCGATTTGTTGTGCAAACTTTTCTACCAGAAATCTGGCTATGATATATCAGGTGTAGCACTTTTCCTGAAAGATAATTTTATCTTTATAATACTTTAAGGAGGACATTTTTTGATTTTCCAAGTGGTTTTCATAATATCTAAGGAAAACTGGGATAGAATGTTGGAAAAACGGTAAAATTTACGAAAATAATGCATTTAAAATTCAGTTAAAAATATTCGTAGTGGCTTAAAATTTGGACAGAAAACTTATACTTGCTAGTTTTTTGCTACTTTTACTAGTAAAACTGTAAAAATATTTAAACTATTCTTGAACTTTAAAATTGTTAGACTTAATAAAAACGCTTAAAAATTTAATAAGAAAGTTCATTAGAAGTCGATCTTTGTGTTCAAAAAAAAAAATTGAATTGTATGTAGTATTTTTTTTTTAATAAGAATTTTAAAATTAAATTTGACGAAAATGAGTTTAGTAAAAACTTATGAGGAACAAATCTAGTTACTGGTCTATACTAATTGTTATAATATAAAATATATTTTACTATAATATTACATACTTATATGTTGTTGAAAAGCAATACTATAAACCAAGCTCTGCCCAGAATTGTTTTTCGTTAGCAATAATTTATCTATGCTTACAGATATACATTAAATTTCCCTCTATATATCCTACATTTCCAATCCTCTCACTTACATCAATAGTCCATCCGTCGTGCGAAGTATGTCCGTTTTTTTTAAATTGAATTCATTTACTTTTTAGTCCAAAAAATCAAAAAAGGTTTATAAAACACATTTTTCTTGTTTTAAACGAAATCTTTTCGAACCGCTACAATATTAATTGAGTTTAGATTAGTATCTAAACAGTAAATGAACAAATAATAATTACTAATACAATCTAGTTATTTGACCTCAATTATAATTTTATGGCAGAATAAATTATAAATTACTTACGAAATAAATAAAAAAAATTATCTTTTTTTAGTTTACGTTGTACAATGTACACGATCAACAAAATGAGACAACTTCCAAATTCAATATCTTCATATTTGGAAAAAACATAAACACGCCACTGATTTGTATAAAAATGTACGATAATATCGTGACGCGAGCGACGACGGTTTGATTATTCTGTTCGTGTATCGCAGAGATAATTCATGTCTTTTCGCGAGACAAGTGATAATTCGTTTTATTCCGTGATTTATTTAAACGTTTTAAACGCACGTTGTAAATATTTAAATAGACCATATCATGGGCCGTGTTATACCGTCGCGCGCATTATATTTAGATTGGTCATATTTTTGCCAAAATTTTAAAACTGCACATTGCAATAACTATATTATACTTTATAATTGTATTAGGTATGCCTACTGCAGACGACGGACCGCACGGCGGGTTAATCATGCATTTCTAACGTAATTTTTCGCGATGGTCATCAGTATAATACAGGAGGAGAGGGGTGTTCTACGAGATTGTAGGTGACATATACCTTATATACATATATCTTGACTTTTATTAACAAACTTCCCGTAATTATTGCCTTTATTATTTGATATCTGGAGACAATATTCAATACAAAACCAATACTCATTTACTTATTGTTCCACTTCATTATGACTGGAGCAGAGGACTTCTAGCATTTGCATATTTATTTTGATCAGTTTTACAAAAAGGCCGATCCAAATGAAATTTGTTTCATGTTACAACAAAGCCTAATCTGTAATTTTATGTTTCATATTTTTGCATATTTATAGGGTTTTCTGTTTTTTGATACATCCATAGTTTTTTTGTTTAACAAACTCTATCAAAGTTTATCACATTCGAATAGTTTTTTTGAAATCTTCGATGGTTTTCCCGAATAAAACTATTTAGCCATAGACGAAAAAAATATGAATGAAATATTCAATAGTTCATCCCCACTTTCGAAAACGTTCGATAGTATGTACTAGAGAGCCTAGATACGTAATAAGAGAGTAACAAACTGATATAGCAACTATTTTTCGTCCAGATTGACATTGAATTCTTATAAAACGATTATATTGTAAATTATAAAAAAAATAATTTTATAAAAAGTAAAATATTATAAACATTTTATAAAAATCCAATATTAAACATAAAAACTGTGAGAAAAGTTCAGACGAAAAATGACCGCTGTATCGGTTGGTCTCTTATTTATAGGTTCCAAACCATAAACTATTCGGAATCGCCCATGACTTTTGCGTTTCATCAAAGATATTACGTATATATTATTAAATATTTTATTAATACTATACAGACATGCAGTTAGGTTAAAATATAATTTTTGGGTGCCCATTTTAAATTAAATACATTTTTTACAATGAGTAAATTTACAATAATTTTGTAATTTTACATAATTAATATGCGACCTCGTTATACGAACATCATCATTAATCGCGTCTATTATATAAGTATAGTTCAAAAAACATAATAATAATATAGTGATTAGATTACTGTGTTTATTATTTAGTTTAAACGCAATACAGAATACTAGATGTCCCACCTGGTGACGTTGCCCATGCCAAAAGAAATACAGTCCAACAATGAACTAAGTAACCAGTTTCTATAGTAACTAAACTGTTCGTTGTGCGTATCCTCGCGATAACTATTATAGCCCTTACACTTAATTATTTTCTTGTTTTGGTTGTTTCAACTTTTTTCTTTTATTTCACCTTGGCAAAACACCAAGGTAACCCACAAATGAACAAAAACAATTCGATTTTCGTACCAAAAATACAAATATTTCTATGTTAATCCCCCCACCCCTCCTTCTTAGAGAGAGTTTCGGGAGAAAAAATAGCATATAAGTTATTTTTGGTCTAGAACTACATAATTATCCATCCAAAAACACGTTCACATTTATGATTAATATACGTTAATGCGTTATCCTTTGGAGATAGACAAATACCACTGCGGACTTTTCTGTAGACATTTTTAAAATTTACAATTACGCAGTTCCTAAGTTAAATGTATTTCATAAGATTTAGTCAGTGTAAGCAATGTATGTGCATGAACATATCTTTTTATTACGACTTGATTACAAAACATCGACTTTTCTCTGCAAAACAGATAGACGCGGATATCAACTTTGTTTCATACTACGAGTATTTAGTGATATTATGTATTTACATTTAATAATTATTAAAGTACTAATAAACAATAAATACTAAAGTAAGTAAAATTACTTAAGCATCAATGTATATCAGTGTTTCCAATTTTTTTTTTTTTTTGACTCTAGTTCGATTTGAGGAGAATTTTTGCTTTTTTTATAAACAAATAAGGATCGCTTTATTTCAAAGAATTACTATATAGCTGTACAGTTTCCAACTGTAATTTATGATAACCTAACAGTCGTGAATTTCGAGCTTGACTTTTATAACATTAAGTTTTCAAAATAGTTGAAATACAATATACCAGTTTTCATACTAAGTATAATGTGATTTTCGACACGGGTTAAACAGGGTTTAGTATCGAAACCCATTCGATGCAACGAAATTATTGTTAAGTTTGCCAGAAAAGCCACTACTTTCGTTAAGTTTAAACCTGATCTTTTGCATTTGAAATGCAAATAATTTTTGCACATGAAACGAACTGATTACAGACTCGGGTAAACCCTACAAAGCTAAAAGAATTCCAGTTCATTTACTACACGAGAGTTTTGATTCTACTCAATTATATTGCAGTATATGCCTTATAACAATATTACTTGATAATAATACTCATTTCGCATGCAACAGTTATAAATTGGTATTACAGTTATAATTACTCTATAGGATATATTTTATTATAAAGGTAGGTATACTATTTTGTTTTAAAACAATAATACGTAGAGATACGCCGTGGTGTGACATAACATAAATATTATTAGCTGTATAACTATAGGCACATATAATTAACTACCTACTTGTAATTTTTGTTTTATATTATGTACGTTCGGTCTACAAAACACCATTAACTATATTATTATTATTATTATTATAACCGTGTTATTATATAACATTATCGAGTACAACAATTCAAATCTGTAACGATTAAATCAAATAATGCTTAAATGTTATTATATTACATTACTTGTTGTTAATCGTTTTCTAATAAGCGGCTGTGCGGCCATATAATATATTTATACACATAGTATCAAAACGAGCGATAGCCATGGGTGTCCATAAGGGGGAGACGTGAGACGAGGAACTTCCCCCCACCCTCCACCATCCCGAAATAAGTATGAATTAATACATTTTACGTAAATTCAAATAACATTAACCGTTTTCAGAATTTGTTTGTGTTGTCTAATAGCTTGAAATAATAAATATTATACGTCCGTGTAATGTACGTTATTGTCTAACACATGTAATTTCTAAAAATCGTTAAAAACTTTGAATATTGCAATAAGTGAATATTACGTTAGTTTTGTATTTATTTCCGAGACTAGGGTAGGAATACACATATACGTTAATACACATCACCTACTATAGTGATACGCACATAGAACTATTTTTTTTTTTATTTTTTTTTTTTTTTCGGAATCCTCTTAAAACGCCGTTCGGTACACAAAATATCTTCACTAAAGTAATAAGACACTATGAAAAAATTAACATTCTAGAATGCATCATTTATAAAAGAAAAATCGTAAAAGTTCGTTTGTTTAAGGGTAAGAACAAATAAAAAATTAATCATAACGAAATTTGTCAGATGAAATTATTTAATTATAAGTTATGATCGTACATTCCCATTTAAATGACTTTTAGGAGATTTATATATAATATACTAGATGTCCCGTCCGACGTTGCTCGTGCCAAAAAAGAAATAATAGAAAATTTATCATCCGTATCACCAAAGTAACCAATAAATCAAAAAAAAATTGGATTTTTGTGCCAAAAATCCCAACAATCCAGTATCAGGCTCCCTTTAAGGGTTGAATAACTTAACTTACTAGATAGTTTGCTATTTTAACTAACTTAACTCATGTAGTCATGTGCTTCTACTTTAACTTGAAATCAACTACCAATTTTATATAATTCTCAATTAAGTTAATTTGGTATTTTCATATTATCCTGAATAATATTATGTTTATTACCGTTGTCTGTTCAAAATATTATAAGTTCGTAGATTAAAGAGTAACTAAAATGTAGAAAATCATCAGATATTATTAGAAAAAAAAAAACAATAAGATAATAGGAAGATGTACGAAAACTTCAATTTTTATATTCACAGATAAAAACTAATTAAGAAGGCACTTGCTTATTTTGTTATTTCCGTCTTACAAACACGCGGTATAGTTAAAACATGTTTACGTAGACTACGCAAAAGACGTTTAATTTTAGCTTTAGAGTAAAAACACCTATTATATAAAATCAAAAGACAACAATATCCCAGTGAACAAGATGTTGCGTTATTTTTCATTTTTTTATAAAATAACAGTCAATTTACCGTTTATTTACAATGACTTTTTCAACATTTTTCAATAAAACCATAATAAAATATAATTGGCAAACGTATTATTATCATTAATCACCTTATTTGTTCAAATTTAAATATCTATGTGTTCACTTAACCTATAAAAACGAAACGATTTTATATCTGTACAGATCAAATTATGTCACGAATTAATTTTAAATTTATCATTTTGTACAATACACGCACTAACGTTGCAGATATTGCAAAGTAATATTAAGACGGCTCGAAATGCAGAAAAAAACACCATAAATTCAACAGTATTTCACTCTGTAATAGGTACGTGCCTAGTGAATGGTACCTATTTAAAAATAACGTAACGTAATCGTCGTTGTCTTCAATGAAATTAAAACACAATTGATTATTGTAATCGCCGAAATTGTTTTCCAACGTTATCATTATATAACGTACAATAATTCATGATATAGGTTTTTTGTGAACAAAAATAATTTTCTACGCGATCGTGTTCGCGTAATGGTAAAATGTTATGACGCGCGATTAAATTGTTATCCGTGAAGAAGTCCCTCGGGTAAAAATCAAAAATACCATAGCACGTGACAATAATTTATACAATATGACGTATAGGTATGTACCACAATATTAGTTACACACATCAGTGATATAGGTTTACGATGCACGTTTACCCAATAATTATTGCGATTCGCCGTCATATCAGACGCAGGTGTAAAAGGCACCTTGATTTTGAAACGTTTTTATGTGCCCGCCTAAATTTATTACGCTCGTAGTGTGCGGTAGAATTGGGCGTAAGAATGTTTTTTTTTTTTTTTTGGTTTCGATACGCGAACGGCAAACAATATTGTAGGTGCCTATATAATAGAATAGATTATAATCCGAGACCGTCACGGAAATCTTATTACAATATTATTACAAACACGAAATCGTGTAAATAAAACAAATAATAATAATATACGATGTTATACGAACTGCCGACCGGGCTACGTATTTACAGACCCTATCCAAGTTCGGCCCCAGCCGAAACGTAACCGCATGTTGGTTTTAGGCACAGATTGAACAAAGTAATATTAATTGCCGATATTAATCTCGAGAAAGGCTCGGTCCCCGGCAAACTGAGGCCAATTATAATTGTAGAATCAGTTACACGTTACACGTTCCTATAGCTTCCATGATTAATATAAATTATTATTTATTTTCCTGTTTATTTTTCCAGTTTTCTCGGTTTTCCCGTGTTTTATCTCAGTTTTTCCCATTTGATGGGAAAACTCCTGAGAAAATCGAAAAATGACCTCTTTAAAGTACCTCTTCACGCCGTTTTCCTTTTAAGGTGCTACGCATAGAAATCCTCGCAAGTCTTCTGGTAGAAAAGTTACGCACATTAAAAAAAAAAAAAAACATCTTTGTGTTTTACAAAAATTCGCTCCACTCAGAATCTAAAATGAATTATCAAATAATTTAATATAAATGTGAACATTTTATTTTTGGCGGTAATAATTGTATAATTGTAAAAATAATATCTACACATGATAAGGACATAATTAGTATGTGCACGTGTGGGTTATTATCGGCTGTCTAGCCAACTGTAAAATACACGTTAAAATTTTTTTTTTACCACGAAATATACAACAAGTTTCTAATTACTGATAATACATTTTTTAATCCCAATATAAATGATTATTATTTAAACACACATAGACATTTTTTGAAAAAAAAATGCCCGATTTTTAACTGATAAACAACAAAATGATTAAATAAAACATCATGTGCCCGTAGATATACCGCAGTCCGAAGTTATACGATTTGTTCGTTTTGGATACATATACAGTTTTACTATTTTGATTTTCAGAATCACCTAATATGTTCTGGACAGATAATACGGTATTCGGTTTTCATTTTCCGGACGAACACGGGTTCCCGTGTATTTACATGATATGAATCATGTGTGGTATCACACCATGATTAATTAAGTACAAGCGCAAGTAATTATCGGAAAATTCTGGATTTCGAATTTCAAAATCCGAGTTTTTTTTTTTTAAAAAAAAAAAAAAAAAAAAAAAAACCGCGTTATAAATGATTTTTACACAAGAGAAAATGTAAATGTCGATTTGGGATTCTGGAAACCCGGACCATCGAACTTTTAATAATCCGGATTTTTCGTGTCGCTAAATTCGACACACAAGCTGTTTACGCCGCGCAGTCGGATCGTCGGAGCGCGGTGTGTCCGTAAATACGCGACCGGGTCACGGGCGTCCCGCGGTGGCGTCGCGCGTCGTTAGCAAATCGAAAAATGCGAATACACGCACGAGCCCGGTATAAAAAATAATTAATAAGCTGCGATAATTATAATGCAAATCGCATTTTTTTCTCAACGACCTAAAACAGAGCTTTCCAAACACAAAATTCGTTTCATTTATGAAAAATGTTTTTTCAACGTTTAAAATGATTTTTAGGACATTTGTTAATCTTTTTTTTTTTCCTAAGTGCATTAAATTGTGTAATTTTTAAGGCATTTTTCTCGTTTTTTAAAGCATTCGAATCCACGCCCTAAATAAATACAATTGTTCGAACATTACAATATTCGATATTATTGTGCTTACGTTTACGGCGAGACTACCCCGGGAGAGTTTGCGGGCCGGAGCAGAGATCGGAAGGATTGTGCGCCGTCTTGTGAAAACACCGTCATCTTTGCGGTGCTAGTCGACCGGTTTAAACGTCGATACAGTCAACTAATCACACCGGAGCAGAGTACACTTAGTTATTGTTAGGTCGTGTACGAAGCACACGGTAATCGTCGCAATAATAGTAAAACAGATAATACAATAACGTATTATACTTTAGGTACTGGCTATTATAATTTTGATTTTTTTTTTTTTTTTTTTTGTTAACCGCGATACTCAAGATACTAATTATAAACATTATCGCGCGCGATTTTGCCATTAGTTCTTCTGTTTCCCGCCCCCGCGTTATTTTATCAGAATTTTTTTCCGCCATTTAGACTACCCACGCGTGTTTTCGGATTTTTGTCTTAAGCCAGAAATATCGATTCGCGTGTAGCATCTCTTCCGATAGAAAATGCCGTCTAACTGCTACTTAGAAAGAGGTCGTTTTTTTTTGGTTATCCTCATAATTTTCATAAATTATTCGGGAAAAACGGACATGTTTACTGAAAATAACGGTTTCGTTAATCTCGATTTGTTGTGATCAGTTTAAAAAAAATTATAGAGACTTGACATTTTTTATCCGTTCGTAGGAATTTGATACTGTCGAGGTTCTAGGTTTTGTTTGATAGGTATATAAAATTGTTTAACCGAAGAGAAATACTTGAAAATTTAATGTGAGGTTCATTACAACTTATTGCAATGAACATATAATTTATAAGTTTTGCTTAACAGTAAAGTTGAGCGTAACGCAGAGGTTTTTTGTTATAAGCTTTTAAGTTTCAATTTTGTCGAAAATCGTATAAATTACGACTTATCAAAACATAAATAGCTGTTCCCATTCCAATTTGCGCCTATGAACACGTAGTTAATATCTATATTTTATATTTTGTTTTTCAGCCGGTCAAAAACTATTTAAAACTAGAGTATCGTTTTTGATATTATTGATGGCCTGTTTAGTTATGCCAGCGGTTTCAAATGATTTAGACCTCATGAGGGAACAATGCGGTTTTCTAGTGAGTGGAATATAATATAATTTAACGTACCTAATACTGCATATTTTTTCAAAATGTTAGTATGCGCTTTCTAAATATTCAACCTAATATTCTGTTTAGTTAGAGACGAATAACGCGAAAGAGAATGAAATACGTACGTCGACGAAATTCCACGACAATAAAAATAACAGTCTGACCAAAGACTCAACAATCACTAAGAGAAACAACGACATCAAAATACTGAAAAGAGTGCGAACGCAGTTAAAACTGGCTAGAAATCATTTTCGGACTAATAAAGAACTTATCGCCAATCTATATAATGTTGTAAGTATATTATAATAGTTTCATCATATTTATAGTATAACAGGGCTATATTTGTCAAATGTAATTTTTTTTTTTCATATTAAATATTTTTAAGTTTTTTTTTAACTTAGTTTTTTTGCGATATAATTAAAAATCGTTTAGTTAAATTATAATATTTAGGAATTCGAAATAAGTAAAATTATATTTGAAATCTAAAAAAAATTCGATATTGCCATTTTGCAAATCCGATTTTTAGAAAAATTTTGGTGTCCAAAAACTTTTGCTAAGATTGAGTCAATTGCTTTTAAACAATTTTTAAAGTTTTGTGAAATATGGCTTTTTTGGCGTACCTAAATTTTCAAATTGTTATGTTGATTTTTCTATGATGAAATATTGTACAATTCGATAATATTATTTTCACATTAATTTAAACTGTGAGTCTTCGTAAAATTGGCAAGAAATAAATTTAAAGTTGAACAATAAAAATAGCTTTCTTGGATTAGTTGTAAAGCAATAAATTAAAATGTAAAATGCAAAAATTATAACGGATGAGAGCTCTTATATTTATTACAAAAAAACAAAAAAAAACTATAATATTCAATATAGAAAAAAAGTTATTGCGTTTGTTATATAGTCCTGTTATATCCTGTATATATATATATATCCGTATCGAAACAATTTTTTGAAAAATCCGTGCGTTTTTTTAACACACCAAATTATACATTTTAATGTAGCGATAAAATTTCTAATAAAAATGCGTATCCCTATGCATAAATAAATATATATACAGAGTGATTCACTAAGCGTGCTTATCCCATTTTTTTGTTTAAATTTTACATTTAATTTACAAATTCTGGTTTTTGAAATTGAAGTGTAGTTCAAGCCGATATTTTCGAATACTCAGATTTTTCCCAACATTTAAGGAGTATAGTTTAGGTAGGAAGGGGATTAGTGGGGTACTAATAAAACACCGCGCTCAGTGCTGCCACACAAATGTCACACTACTGTCCCCCACCTAAACTTAAAAGTGGAATATATTGTTAACAGGTTAATGAAAATCAAAAATGTTGGTACCAAAATGTATTTAATCTAGCACTCCGGACATTTATGGAATTTTTAATATTGGTTCTCATTTGAACCACCAAAGTTGGTATCACCACAGGATGCTCCTTAAATGTTGTGAAAAATCAAAGTATTCTTCTATAACTACAATTGATAATTCCAAAAATCAGAATTTGAATACACGCATAATTTAACTAAAAAAAATGGGGTGAGCCCGTTTAGTGAATCACTCTGTATATAAAACATTATAATCAAACTGCAGTTTATTACTCACGACCCATAAACTTCCAATTATTTATTTATCATTACAATAAAATATAATATAACGTGCGCTATTATACATGTATAAATTAAATTACAAAATTGATCAGGGTACGTTTAACAATTATTGTTATATGACTAAGGTCAATATATGTATATTGTATATTCAATGGTGTACATAATTTTTTTTTTTTTTAAATAATGACGCATTAAACGCGGGATATTTAGTCATATTTAGTCCTTTCGTACAATTTTTTTTTTTTTTTTTTTATCAATATTATATAATATTTCACGCGATTTTGTAATTAGGTAGGTTAAGTACCTATAATATCTACCTAATGACCTGCGAAAGTGAGACTTTCTTTAAAATATTAATGGTAAAAAAAAAAATCGACATTTATACAGTTTATTTTCGTTTTTCTTTTTTTTAAAATTATTTTAGAGATTTTCAAATGATATAATAGAAATATCGAATGTATAGGTGCGAGTCTTATTCCAATGTTCAATGACTATTCAACAATCCAATATCTCCTAAATTCCTAAATCCTTCTAATAGCTCTCCGACCGCCGACTTCCGTGCAATCTCTCTTTTCTGTCCGTTATTACAGGTAGAACAAAGTCTTCTATCTCGAATTTTCTTCAAAGTTTCCGCTCGCTTTCCTCGTGCATTTATCCCTTTCTCCCCGGCTATCTTCCTTCAAAATTCATTAACTATTTGGCGTATGCGCACTTATAAACACGGTAATTTTTTAACCCTTAATAAATCAATAATCTATAGCATTCTCCAAATTTAAATTCTCAAACAGTCAAATAGATTTTAGTTTAAGTTTACGTACAAAATAAATCAATATTGTTCGAATTGCGTTCTCGTTCTTTTTGGGCTCATCCCATAAATTAATTCCTGAATAAATTTGTTTCCTATATGTTTTTAAAATTTAACATTTACTGTTTACAATAACCGTGTACTTATTCAAAGATAAAATATATTTTACACATTCATACGAATGCAGGTTAAGACTGGGATGAAAACAGAGTATGACTTCGAGTGGCTGCCCTCTCAGACGCTGTATTGGTACAAGACATTTATCAAAAATCTCGACAAGGACACCAAGGTAAGTTCGATATAATTTAAAATATTATACATTTTATATATATATATATATACACATTTAAATAATATTACCGGTATTTTTAACAGTGCCGGACAATTCCGCATGGACAATTTTATCAAATTTTCTCCGAAAATGGAGTCCATCGTATTGTATTGAGTCTGTTACATAATGCATACCATTATAAACTTATCTTTTTCCCCGCTATTTGTCGATATTTTTAGCGGCTCTCTTTTAAGCAAATGAACTCAAACTCGGGATTTAGAAGTTGTTTCATAGACGGACTAAAGTGATAAATGTATGGTTGATTTCACCGTGTTCTCGTGGGAGGGGAGTAACTTTTAACATTCTTACAGATTCTCCGAGTGAAACCAGTAAAATTAAATGTTGTACATTCGTATTTCTTTAGTATCAATGATATGCCTTATTATTGTTGTTTAAATTTTCAACATCACCTATAATAGTCATTAGTATTCGGTTATTAATTATTATTTTACAAAGAATATTTTTAGAATGACAACACAAAAGGTGGGCGGGATCCGAATCTATTTAGTGACAGAGCTCAACTATGCACGAGTGTTTTTTTTGTTTTATAAACTACAATAAAATGTAGGTGTCATAGTTAGTTAGTTAGATAAACGTTATTTTAGGGTTTTCGGTGAAAATATTTATTTTAATTATTATTTTTTTTTACGATTTTAAGTTATTTCAATGTTTTCAAAAAGCCTAGAACGCATCTTGGGTAGGTACTTACTACCTACACATTCCGTTTACAACAACAAAAAATGTATATTAAAACCCTTCTATAACGACCTACTGTAGACACCTCTTACAGTAATAACTTACCAAAGCGGTTCCGGCGTGAGTATCGTGTAGTTTGACGATGTAAATATTACATAAACATCCGTGCATGGTTTATAATATATAACGTTGAATTTTTACAATGGACGTTTAATCATTGTTAACGTAAGTTAAATAAATGTTTACCAAAGTGCAAGAAAAAATTATGCCGTCAGAAATATGTGTTAAAAAACGGACAAACTTCACACGTGCAGGGGCAAATAGGCCCACTGGGCACCGGTGGGCCGATGAAAAATATTGTTACTATATAAACAAGAATATTAAAAGTTGATAAAAAAATACAATAATACTGATTTTATATTTACATCTAGTTTAAATTCTAAAAAATTATCATTGTATTCCCAGTCCACCTTATTCACATAGTAACGTCGCGCTTCTGCGTTGTTAACTGACCACCATCACCAGTGTTCTTGGATCTTGGATTTTAAATATTATTTTTACGTTTAACTCACAGCCGCTGTCATTAACTATTATAAATAGTTAATCTGTTGATGACATTTTACTCATTTATCACTTACTCAGTGACATTATTTTTAACTACACACTACATTCCGTGTTTGGCTTTCCTTTATCACTTGACATATACATATAGTATAGATATATACCTACAAAAATCCCAAGATTTTGATTTGGGGCCGGGCTGGGGCAACAGTAAAACGATAAAATCACTAAAACAGTGTTTTAACTATACAAAATTGTCGTGCGAATTCATGCTAATGACGTGCTAAATATTGGCATATCTATATATTCGATAACTATATTTTTTCTATTGGGCCGGACTGACACAACGTTGCTCCAGCCCGGCCCATTAAATTTTGTTGTTGAACCAATATCATGTAAATTTTAATTTTAATTATGCAAATTCATGTTAATTACGTGCTAAATATTGGTGCAAAAATGTTTCAATATTTCGAAATGGGCTGGGCTGTCACAACGTACGTCGAATATAGACCAGTAAAGGAAAGATAAGTATAAGTGTGCGCACGGAAAAGGCAGGAGAGGTAACTGCGTCCTTTGTGGGATTTTTCGTCAAAATATTTTTTTAAAAAAACATGTTGAATATACATTTTTTTTAAAAAAATATTAAATTTTAATGTACCTTTAATTTTGTACATCGGTGCAAACAGTGGAGGTCTTTGGGGGATTATGAATCCTCTCCGAACATTCAACCAAGTCTCCTAAAATAAAGTCCTCATCAAGTAAATACTTAAATATAATTAATATTATGAGGGTTTATGCTCCAAAATTATTTGCATTTTTTGTGCCTATGATTTTTGTGTAAGGTTTGATTTCAAAAATCCTTGCTTCCCTCCCTAAGAAGACCTGTGCACGTTTATGGGAATGATTACCAAAAGGCAGAAACAATTTTTTATCAATACATTTAAGTAAATATAATTATTTACACATTTATTTTACGAAATAAATAAAAATAATGAAAATGAAAATTGTTATCATTTAAACTCCTCCCTTATTTTACCAAATTCAAATTCTGGAACTTAATATAGTTAATGACGGTATGTAGAAAACCTATTTTTTTATCGCCCTACACTCTTCTATTGAAATTTGATTAGCGTAATAGCCATAATATTAAATTTATAATTTTTTCTTAACAAAAAAAAAAGGTGAGATATGGTGAACTCGAGATTGAGATAATTTTTTTAATGAACTTCGAATATGATCATGTGAACCACTAGATTCTGTTTTTCCAAGCCAATCAGATCATGCTTATCCGCCCCTGCGCACGTAGGTGGACCACTGTTGTAGTTGAGAAATTGGGAAAGTAGTAGAGAGGAAATTGAATGTTTAGCTATATGTAACGATTAACCATTATTCACGAGAAAAATATTCTAAGCGGAGTTCGGTTTTTATTGTTGCTATATTAACAATATATATGATATATATGTCATATTATGGTAAAATATTTACGTAATATACATTGAACATTTTCTTAAAAATAATATTTGTTTAATATGTACCTATTTTCCCGATTTGTCCGGTTTCTCCGTTTTTCCTCCGTTTTTTCCAGTTTATTTATTGGAAAAACTCCTGAGAAAATCTAAAGTACCTCCCCGGTCAGATTTTTTTTTAGAAAAAGTGCCATAGTTGATACTTTGGAGCAAGATTTCTGGTAGAATTTTCTTACACAGTGTAAAAAAAAAAATAATAAATAATCATTAAAAACCAATACATTCCTCGCTCCACTCAAAAACTAAAAAAAAAAATGCATGCGTTCGGATGTAATATACACGTAGTACATAATATGTCATTTATACTGTCAATAAAACAGTCCAACACAATGCAAATAATTGTACAAATTTATTTTGATCTTCTAGTTATTATAATGAGTTATATTAGTTATCAGATTTACATTATATTGATTCGAGTTTGAACGTCATTAAAACCCTCCAAACTTTAAAATCTTTAAATTTCAGGAGTAGAAAAAACATTAACGTAGATAGAATAGGTTGTAAAATCAAAATAATGATATCGCTAAATTATAAAAAGAACAACTATTATCTAAAAATTAAGGTTCAATGAATGTGGTCATATTGAATAACGTCTGACTAAATAGATGACAAACTCACCGACTCCTTCGAATATTCCGACTTTAGACGAAATACTTATCACATTTTAAAATATTTAATTATTTATAGTCATTTTTCCACCAATTATTATTATTAATTTAAATTACAATCACTACACGTATACATTATACAATGTACTATTATTATATCGATATTCCTACATACGTATGGGAATTTGTTGAAAAACAGAACATTTTGGTATCCCGAAGACAATTCTTGAGAAAACAAAACACTTGGTTTAAAAAAAAAAAAAGACGATTTCTTACTAAACCAGAGATATATGGTATCTCTGAATTAACCTTTCATTATTATTATTTTTCCCATAGTGATTCATTGTTATTTTCGATTTGACACAGGCGGGTGTATCACCAAATAGCTATTACAGCTAAAATGCATTATTAATAATTCGATGCATTCGATGCAATAGATATACTGCAGATATGTAGAATTATTGACTCATTTATATTATGAATAATAATAGGTTACAGTGGGCTGATCCTGATATTTTAATTATCATGTGAAACACGATGGTAAATATCAATCGAAGTGTTATCGAAAAATGGCACGCATATCATATCGTTCTATCATCATGGCGTTTTTGTTTTACCTATTAACAATCGATGATGGGGCTGTCTGCCGATGAAACTATGTCACATCGATAAATACATTCGTACATTTTCGCGTTTTTAATTTACGTACATAATAATACGACGCCTTTGCATCAAAATATTCTAATTAGTATCGCAAAACTACTGTATACTGCAGACTACTGTTCAAATCAATATAGCAATCTCTATAATAATATTGTCATTTTTTTTTATTGATATAAACCCAATGTTTATTTTTACATATATCAATAGTAATAAATTATATTTTAAACACTAGATCAATTTTATAATTTATTATTAAGATGACGGCAAAGTCGTACATGCCGACTTAGTCTTTCTAACAGACAATCAACAAAATTGTGTTCACGAAAAAAAACAAATAGGCAATTAAACCAGTTTTAGTGTTAAAAAAAAAAAAAAATGTGTAAATGATAACATTTTGAACACGATCTTCTAGCGGTTTTTTGGAATATTAACTTTTTTTTAACGTTCCCAGTTCCAAGAAAAAAAAATTAACAACAATAATAAAATGTAAAATACGATTTGTTATAATAATTAATAATAAGGCGGGCCGCACACCAGAAAAATTATAAACACGAAACTTGTAACATGAAACATGTAACTATAATTGCATGAAACCGGCCGATATATTTGTATAGAGAAACACACACCGAGTTTCATGCAACTATTTTTGTTTATAGTTTACGAAATTGATGATACAAAATTTGTCATTCTGGTTTCATTGTTTCAATTTCATTAACATTTTCACATAGCCATGCACGTTTTTAGATTTTACTGAGTATAATTCGATTTATAATTTATGAACTTATTTATTATTATTCAATTAAAATACATTATTATTAATACTAGTTTTACTTATAATATTTTTTTCAATATCCATGCGGTAAAATGTCTTAAATTTATGTGGATCGCTATGTAATTAATTTGCAACAACACTAGTACTGGTACATATATTTGATACATTTATCGGATGTACGCAATAATGACGTTTTTTTGAACATTTTTTTTTGACGTGCCCACCATCAAAGCAAAATCACGTCATCCTCGTCAGACGACATTTCGGAAATTGATCATGTTCTATAGTTTCATTGTTTAAGTTTCTTCAATATACAGATCAACGCGAAACTAATTTTTGAAACCGATTGCATACAAAAAGTTTCATGTTACATATTTCTCTAGTGTGCGGCCCGCCTAAAAGTTGAATATTCAGAGAATTGTCCTCGAAACATTATCATCTATAAGTTATTTACTAATTTGTATCTATATAATATGATGATAACTAATACATTAAATCATTTGACGTATTTATTATTTGTTTTTCTAGGTGTTTATACTTTTACCCGTGTTACGAGATTCATTACAGAATTTTTCATTGACGCTTAATCAAATGCGACATTTTAACGAAGCGCATCACACAATTATACAATCAAACAATTATTATACAACACGAAAACAAATACTAAACAAATTATACATCAACCTAATCCCAGTAAGTCATCGTCATAATATATTTTAAATCTTTCCACACAACTTTAGAACATTAGTAGGTAAGTTCTTATCGACCGATTACGTTAAAAGTATGATGGCGGTTTATAAAATAATAATAACTAAAATTGCATAGTTTAATCCTAATGGACATGGGTGCAACCACTGTTATAGGTAATTTAATGTATACCTGTAAGCAAAGATAAACCTTTGCTAACGAAAAACGTTTCTGAGTGCAGTTTAATTGATAGTGATGCTTTATCAACGATATAATATCACATTAAAAATGACAAATAGTCATTAAGCTTTAATAATATTTATTTCATATCGTACCGATTTTCCCATTTTTCTCGATTTTTCCATGTTTTCCCGGTTTTTTATATTTGCTGGAAAAACTCTTGAGAAAATGGAAAAATGACCTCCTTAAATTACCATAGAGATAAAATTTTCTTTCAGAAAATAAGCTACTTTTGATACATCGGAGTAAGATTTCTGGTAGAAAAGTTTACACAATGAATCGAGGGGTATTTGTCGATTAAAATAGTCCGAGTGAGCGATAGCTGGGTCTCTAGGTACACCTAAAATGCACTTGTTTTTTCCCTTTTTAAATAAATGGTAGAAAATAAATGCAAACATTTTTTTTTTTTTGAAACACGGGGGGATTTGAACTTGTAAATAAAGTACCATCTGGACAACATTCCCTTGTGTTCCAGGTGTAGCTTCTTTTGTGAAAATAAATCTTATTGGTATATTAAAGATGTCATTTTTTTATTTTTCCTTGCAGTTTTCTCAATAATTGGGAAAAACCTAATGAAAAAATAGAAAAACGGAAAAATTAACGGTGATAATGGTTTCATTATTTTCGATTTTGTTTTTTGGTTGTGATCTAAAATTTTTAAAGAATGCTAGTTGTTTTAACCTTTTCTAGACGTACTAAAATTGTTTGATCATTCGAGCAATTTTTAGGCTGTTAATAGACATTTTATATTTTTTAGTATTTATTTCGTAATGCGGTGTTTTTTATAATCAGTTTTAATTTCGAATTCTGACAAAAATCACAGTATTTTTAAACATATTTTATCGAACTTTGCTTAGAATTGGTTATCAGAGATTTACCGTTGTGTACAGATGTAAATTAAATAATTCTATGTATCCTATCTTCCTAAATTCCCTCCGACAACAGTCGAGGCACACCCATCAACAGTGTCTGTCCTTTTATGATAATGTCATAAAATTTATTCATAATATGCGTAAAAAATATGAATTAAGCTTCATTATTAGTTCTTAATATACCTAATCTGTAATAAAAGTATATTAGAGTGTCAGTATATTTGCTATTTTTTCTCGACCCCGGTTCGCATTAATTTTACGCATTTTTGGTAAAATCTTCTGTTATATTTATAGTACTTATACCCGGGGTTGGGCAAAATAAAATTGATACATTATAAGAATATAAAAGATACAAGTTACATAAAAGATGCAAAATACTTTCAGTTTTTTATTTGCGTAATTAATTTGGTGAATATTTTGTTATAAGACTAATTTCAATCTCTAAATAGTATAAAACAAAATCACAATCCGCCTCTGTCAATTAGTTCTTTTGAATTACGCAACAGATTTTGATACGGTTTTTAATACCGTTTCGAAAATTTCTTCTGGAAGGTAATTGTGTTCATAATATAAGCATAACATATTTATAGAAACTAGAGAAAAGTCAATGTTTTGTAAGCGATTCATAAAAAAATATTTTCGGGCACTTACAACGTTAACGCTGTTTAAACCTTACGAGATGTATCAAAATAATGTACTACAAAAAGTACCGCAATGGTATTTGTCTACTTTCTAAAGATAACCCACAGTAATCATAAATGTGAAAGTTTTGGACGGATGGAAAGGATTGAAAGGATGGATGTTTATTACCCTTTCACGTCAAAACTACTGAAGGGAGTCAACTGAAACTTTTTATAGGTGTAATTCTATACCAGGAATAACGTATAGACTTTCAAGTTTATTTTCATGATATCCTTCCAAAGCGGGTATTCACATAGGGTTATTAGTATTTTCGTACAGAAATCAAATTATTTTTGTTAATTTAAAGGTTAACCTCGGTAATACGGATAAAACAAAAGAAAACATTTCAAACAAACAAAACGAAAAATATAAACAAGTTTAGGGGCTGTAGTAGTTTGAAATGGGATACGTACAACAAACAGTATAGTTGTTAAAAAAACTGGTTACCTACCACCAAGTTCATTGTTGGACTGTATTTCTTTTGGCACGGGCAACGTCGAGCAGGACAGCAAGTTTACAATGCACGTAACAATTACAATTACGGTAGTCTAAGATTTTTATGATAAAAAATACAAATACTAATTAATTTTAAGAAATAACATCCATTTAGATGTTTTTTGAACGGTACATAAGCAGTCAACACGAACAACCTGTTTGGGGTTTTTCGTTATTTAATTTTTTGTTTGTATTTCGCGTATCTTTTAGCGCAAACAAAATAACAATGATTGTCAGTACCGCAATAAAATTATCTCGATTCGAGACACGGGACAACGAAAACTAAAAATGATACGGGATACGAAATCGAACCGGCGATACTGTCGCCGACCCAGGACCCCGCAGCCGATTCCTATACCATCTAATAATTAGGACTCGGAATGGTATTCATTTGCATATTTTTATTTATTACGTTAAAAAGTAGTTAGGTAAGACACAAATTTGAATTTTAGCATCTGGTATGCACATTTGATTTCGTCTATTTTTGCATATTCGGAACATATTTGATTATTATGCATATTTTAGCATTTTTCAAAAATATAATGCATGTATTGGAAAAAAAAAAGTATTAAGTTTATAATACTAATAATTAACTAAGGATGCGTTCACATTTCATATTTTCCAAATTTGTAATTACCCATGTATCATTTGCCAAATGTCAATTGATAATTGTTTACTGTTTATCGATGAGTACGCTGTATAATAATAAATAAATTTTGCTTGTAGATATCACAAAGATAATCCCCAATAATAGAAAACTAGTAACGGTTTAGTTTTCGTACAACCGTACTTCAAGTAGTGTGTTTGTAAATGTGGTTCGGAATTCGGAGAAAGTATTCGAGTACGACTTTTTAATAGATTTTTTTTATTTAATATGAAATAATTTTATCAGTTTTATACATTTTCAAACTGAACTAACACGAATATATTTGTTTGCATATTTTTAGTGCATAAATGAACGCATATTTCGTACGTTTCTAGTGCACAGCGTGTGCACAATGCCGGGCACTATTAATAATACCGTGCGTAACATTGTTACGAAACGATTGAAACGTACAAAAACCGCGGGCGAAAAACACAATATTTTCGGTCCGTCCTGCGCAATAACGACGCCGAGCCGGTCAACCGATTTACCGCGTCGGTTCGCGAAAAGTCCGCCGCGGTCGATCGCCCCGCCCCGCTCGCCCGCTCCGGCAGCCGCCGCCGTTACCGCGCGCGGCTCCGGTAACGAACCCGTCGACTGCCCGTCCGGTTCCGCGCGACGGGTCAGAGGCGATTGGCGTACGCTCGCGATGACGAACGTACGCGTGTTGCACGAGCGCATCCGCGACGTTATCCCGCGGCCGGTCGAAACCGACACACGTGCAACCGTTACGATAATATTGTCATCGCCGTGTACGCCCGGCCGTCCGGCCTGTACGTGTTGAAACACCGCGCGCGCGGCCCGCTCTCACATCGTGTGCCAAGTACGGCGGCCGCGTGATCGGGACAATGGCAGTCGGCCGGTCGGGGACCGCCTACGTCGCACCCGGTGTCCCGGGACCGAGCGCGATAACACAGCACAAAGACGTCACCGTTACGACGTCAAAAACGTATTGTAAACGCGGGGCGGCGGACGCGTTCCGCGGTGTCGTCGCCGCCGCCCTTTGCGGCGCGGACTTTGAGAACGGCCGCGGGTGCGGCGGTCGCGACGCGCGTACGAATACGTACGGGAGTGGGGGGGGGAGTGGAAGGCGCGCCGCCACTACACACTCCGGCGTCACGCGCGTACACGTGCGGTTTCCGCGCGTCTCCGAAGGACAACAATACAATAACGCGCACCGGCAGCGACAACGGCAATGTCGGGCGCGGTGGTACAACGCGGATCGGAGGCGGCGAACGCGCTGCATAGGTGTCTCTACGAGTGTGCGCACGCATTATTGTGGCGAGACGAACTGCAACACCGCCCGCCAGGACGTACTCGCCGCGACGGAACACCGCGCGTGTTTTTCGCGCCGCCGCGACAACGACGACGCACATAACGCCGCGCGCGAATACGCGTTCCCGGCCGCCCCCCCCCCCACACCCCCGCGGGACAATGCGACGACCGCTGTCGCGCACGGCCGCCGCGTAGGCTGCTTCCGTTTGTCCGACCTGTCACTCCAGTAGCTGCAGACGCGCACGACAATGCGATTATGATAATAGGCAATATTCGGACCCGAATCCGCAGCGCGTACCGCCCCCATAATACGTATTATAGGTGTGCGCGTCGTACACCGGGTCCAGCGGCCCGGCACCGGCTCCTCCGGTACACGCAGGTATTAGAGCAGATACGAGCGGGGATACCCATATATTATGTGCGGGAGACCCCCGCGGAACATCGGCTGTCCGGCGAAAAGAGAAAACGAAACATGACGCGATAACAGCTATCCGCGCGGGTATCTACCTGCGGCACACAGTGGCCGGCCGCGTCGCCATTGTCCCGCTGCGGGGTTAAACGTCCGTGAGGTGTGAGAACGTCGCGGAGAAGACGGCGCAGCGATGCGCCGGTGCGCGTGGTGGAGGACCCGGCCCGGTCGACGACGGGCTACAACAGTGGCGGCCAGTGGCGGTCGTGACGACGTTCGACATTTTCGGCAAAGAGATCCGACCGACCGATTATCGTATTATCGTATTATTATTATTATTATTATTATTATTGTGTTTCCCCGTCCCGTGTCACTTCAGCGCCCGGGTCTTCGTGCATATTATAATGTAAAACGCGTATAGGTACACGCCGAATACAATGTCCCCCCTCCCACCCCCGTACTTATAATATTAACGTGTATCCTGCGAAAAAGGTCGATTTTTATCCGATTCAACAATAATATACACGCTCCAGTATACACCCTATTATATTGTCGGACGTTAACGTTTAAATACAAATATTTATATATAAGTATCTATCGATACGGAAAACACTCACGTACCTATACTAAACGACACACACCGTCCACTTCAAAATTAGGATGTTCCGGTGTATTTTATTCTCCCCGTTATTATTTATACCTACTTATTTCGCTTTCATTTTTGACGCCTAAACCTTTTCACATCGACCCGTTCGCTCGCACTTGTACATAATCAGGAGCGTATATTTACGGTGAGAAACTGCCCCAAAACTCTTTTTCAAAATTATCTTCTTTTTTTTTGCAAAGTTTAAGAATAATATTGTAATTCGTTTATTCGATATTAATTGTAAAAGAAAGATTTTTTTTTTCTTATACAAATAAATTAACAACTCAAAGACGAACATCTTTCGTTTCGTATGTCAAGAAAATCAATTCGTAAAAGTTCGACCATTTTGTCGGATGCCATCAATAAATATTAAGTTTTTAATCATTCCGCCATTAAGATAGGTATGGGAACATTTCGTTCTGTCTACAATTTTCACAAGCTTAACTTTTTTATGCATACATATAAGTTACTCGTATATCGGACGTTTAACACTACCAGCAGTTGTAAAAATTTCTTTATTTCGATCAAAGTTAAAACTTTCTACATAATTGCATGCTTCTTTTGTAATCATTTAACGTAATAAGTATTTTGGATTTTTGTTAAAAAAATATTTTTAAGTATGAAATTATATAGTCATTACCTATAATTAAATGTCAGAAAAAAAAATAAATGAAGGAATAATTCATTATTATAAGATATAAACTATATAATTATTATTAATGCGTGGGGTTACACTGTTAAAAATAATAATAATAATTTGCATAATTCGATTAACGCGTTAAAACGATCATAAGATTTCAGAATAAAAAAAAAGCCCGAAGGAGATGTTGTGAAAAATAAAATTATATGGCATATACTTGTAGGTAGGTCATCCGATTTATTAAAACTATACATTTTGTTCTTCGCTCTAAACGCTATAATATAGCCCGTCCGTACATTCGTACGTACACTTCATTTTTTTTAGTTAATTACTTATAAATATTATGTTATTTTATTCAAGGTTGAAATATATTATTATTCATTTCAAATAGGTTTTAATGACATATTTTCGTATATTTGTAAATTATAACGATTGTTGTAGTTGAAAGTATAAGTAGTAAAATAAAACACAAATGCAAAAGTAAATAACGCCAAATGATAAGGTAAAAAAAATGGCATTACTGCTGATGTGTGTCCAACTGTTATAGAAAAGAAAAAGAAGGGAGTATACATAAAGTAATACAATTTATATCTGTACGAAACGCTAAACCATAATGAACAAAAAACGATTCTGTGGAGAGTATTTTTGATCTTTTATAGCTAAACCAGAAAATAAAACTCCCTCCTCAATAATGCATCAACTAGATCGAAAATTCTACAAGAAAGTACGTGGTATAAAGTTTTTGATTAAGTAAGATTTCTTGTAAAAAATTTGTTTACAAACAGAAAAACAATACCCAACGAACCAAGTAAAACTTATACAAATATTCCCACTTCGTTTATAATCTAAAAAAGGTTACTGTTTGGTTTTAGTGTAAGTAAGCGGATATAGATAATTAATAGTATTTTTAGAAAATGAAAAACATCACTCGATTAGAATGATAAATGAATACTACAGCAATAAAAATATGAAGGTAACGTAGTAGTAGAATATTAAAATGTATTGATTTTATTTTTTACTGTGATGTGTTCGTCTGTGAACGACTTTTCTACAAAGAAATCTTGTTCCAATCGAAAAATGACCAGAGATCTTTTTGTAGCATTTTGGACTAATTTGTTAGAAATCGGTTAAAAATGCTTAGGAATGTTACAAACTGAACGTAACGTAGTAATTTTTTTATTTTTTTTCATAAGCGTTTAAGTTCGTGTTATGACGAAAATCTTGAACACATCTGTATTTCAAAACATGTTTAACCGAACTTCGCTCAGAATCGTTTTTCGTTAGCAATGATTTATCGTTACACACAGATATTAACTAAATGCGTTTATGCATACGGGTATCTCAAATTCCCAAAATTGTATCCACCGGATATTATAATATAATATAATATATTATTCCACTGAAATAGTTGAACAATAATATCATTATGTTTGTATTTTGCACATCACGTCGAGATAATTATGTTGCGGCAATAGTTTTATACGTGTATTTTCATTGATGACATAATATAATAATATTATTATTATTATTTGTAACGTACCTATCGCTATAATAATATTATATTATTATGTATACCGTATAGTATATATACCGTACAGTATATTATGTCCAACAATTACGTTCATTCATGCGGGCAGCAAATCGTTACGGGTACCTATATTATATTGTGTATTCATTCAGTATTTTATGATTATATTCGATTGGTCTTTATGATGAGATATACGGTCATTGAACAATTATCACTGTTATTATTATATTTAATAATATTTGAGTTGTACCTAATACTATACACGCACAATTACACACGCGCGCGCACCCCACTTTTGTGGTCAGGTAAAAATAATACGTCTAAACCGTAAACCACAATCATTTATCACTGTCGACGTCCAATATTATTTTCTCTTTTCTACCTGCGATTATCGAGGTAGTTTTTTTTTTTATGAAAAATCGAAAATATTAAAGCGCGTGACCCGTTGAATTGCCTACCAAATCTCGTCGATTGATTAAAAAAAAAATTAATCACAAACAACAAAAATGCCTTGTGTCGTATGATAGCAAATAGTCGACAAATAAACGAACAAAAATTCGATCGCGAAAAACATTGAATTTTTCAAAAACGTTTCGCGTAATATTTTCCGATTTATACGAATAGGACTTTTTTGGCTCTATGTAATATAAACATTTTCAAATATTTGAAACGTAAAACTGACAATTATTATAACTGTGTAGTTACAAATTAAAGTACAGTTTTAAACTGTAGCTTACGTATCAAAACATAATATTAAACTGAATTTCGCCCAGAACCGTTTTCCGTTGCCTAGCAATGATTAATTAATGCATACAGATATGTACATGCAGAGTGGTTATAATTTTTTGTTATAGCACAATTTTTTCCTATAAATATACAAAATAAAGAAAAATATATAATAAAAAAGTTTTTCGATTCATAAACACGTAAAATAATTATTTTTGTGTATATTTCGTTTTACTGTCTTTTTTTTGGTGGGGGGAGGTTGGAGTAGACTTTTTAAATTCAAACGGGACCCTTTTTTCGAAATTTCAAAACTAGATGCAGTATTAGTGTACATAAATTTCGGTATTGACATTTTTGTTTTCCGTCGACTCGTTGACGAGATATTCCACTTTGAGTTAATAATATAAATTACGAGTACCCTCCCACCTACCAAAATTATTTTCTGGCCTCTGAACACTGTTCATACTATTATTGTTGAAAAATAAGTCGTATGTAAATCCGATTGGATCGGCATGTCTAAATGTGACCACGCATTTTAAAACGCGTGTTACGCCATGTTTGTATGCGTATAATAGGTTATTAAGAAGCGCGGTAAAAAAAAAAATAATAATAATAATAAAAACAGCATGCAACATGTCGGCGGACTTCTATTATTCTTCTTCTTATAAACGCCTGCTGTCAATAAAAATACGAGTGTACCTGCCTTCCACAAGACGTTTAGCTATTATTTACCCGAACGCAATGGGCCTACACACTTCATCTCGTCTTCTACAGCGGTGTATACCTATAGGTATTAAAATAGTATAATATATCCATTATATTAATTATATTAGAAATCTGCTTTAGGCTACAACATTCGAGGACGTACGCGTCATAATAATACATATAATTATTGCGTTTTACGTAAAATAAACACGTGGCAATAATAGCTAGCGGTGGCCGCTCAGAGAACTCTAAGAAAATACGTTTTTATAATATGATCGCGTTGAAGAAACACAAGGAATGGTTTCAGTGAGACGTGTAACCGTGAATAATATATAGGAAATCAACGCATATTACAGGGAGTCACTAAACGATATTGAACTTGAAAACAAATAGAAAAAATAGACTCATAAAATGTTTAATACAAAATGAACATTAAGCCAACGAAGTGAAACATTATATTATTATGAAATTAATTTAATAACTGATCGAAAATTCCGTAGGCATATTTCGAATATCAGAAAAAGCTAATCGAGGGTTCTTCGGAGTTTGGATGGGAATCTATGTGTAGTACAGAACGTGCAGTTGTTTTTGTTAATCTGAATCTCCATATTCAGTTTGTTTTGTTGGTTTTTTGAGTTACTTTGGTGTGACACAGCTAATTTAGTTTTCACGGGACAGTAATAAGTATAACAATGGTGAAATGTCATTTGATTCTGAATGAAGTTCCGTTAAACATGTTTTGAAATACCCTGATTTTAACGATTTTTGTCAAAATTTGAGCTTAAAATGCTTATTAAAAAAAAATGTGACTGATGATGAACGGTCTCTCCTAAACTAAATTTAAAGAAGACCACATTTTCGAAAGTTTCAAGGAGCTTTTTTTAAAAAAAAAATGTATACAAAAAATTACAGCCCGTGACTCAATATAAAGCTCAAAATTAAATTTTAAAATATTAATATTATTATGTATAGTCATTTTGCTTCTTAGAGTAATGATGAATATTGTTTGGTATAACAATAGAAGAGCGCGAGTACAATCTATAGTAACGTAAAATGTATGCACTTAGAAAAAACTATAGTGGGTAGTAAAAGAAGAATCGTATTCGACGGAGGTAAACCGTTGAAGTTTGAATATGATTTAATGAATTTGTAAAAATATCAACAGATTTAGGGGCGGGGGGGATTAACCCCCGAAAACAACCCCAGGTAAGACATTAAAGGGAGAGGGGTGTTTAAAAATTGACGCCACTGGACGCAAAACGGCTTAACATGGCCGTGGATTCACTCGTCGATCAGACATGACACTGACAGTATATTCACTAGTCGATCAGACATGACACTGACAGTATATTCACTAGTACTGAACAATACCGACCTAGAATCTAAATTCAGATTCAATCCGTTTAATCCGGATTTCGGATCCAGTACGTAGATCTCGATGTTAGATCCAATCCGGCTACACTGTTTTTGAGATAATCAGCTATTTTTTTATTAATATCTATAATATACATGTATGTACAGATTCTATACAATACGAATATGCGATCTCAGATCTATCGCCAATCGACTCAATGTGATATGGCCCCTAACAACACATATGCCAGGGTTTTCGAGTTTTTCACGATTTCTCAACGTATGATATATAGTAGTCCAGAGAAACTTAAGTAGTGACTTACAGTAAATACACATTTTGTGGGTAATTAAAAAAATTTAGATAAGAAAAAAAAAATTATAAATAAAGTAATAATTGTTTTTAAACACTATAGTCCGGATATCCGGATTTATAACATAATCCGCATATCCGGAGTAATATTCATAATCCGGATTAAAAGTAACAGTCTGGATTGAACGGATTGTGACGTTTGTCTCAATTGGCGAATCGATCCGAATTTGGTGCTCAGCGCTATAGTATATTGTACACGTCCTCTCGTAATATAACGAAACGGCGGCAACACATTATTATCGGGCGGACGAGGACGCGCGGCTGCTGCGGGACCCGTAAAAATGTGTCGGCCGACTTCGAAGGCGGTAGCGGCGCGGCGGGACAATAGTCTTCGGATATTATCGGACGAGTACCCATATAACATTATAATGTACACGTATATATATATATATATATTATTATGTTATTGCGTTCTGTGGCGGTGATAAATTCACAACCGTCTCTGTCGTCGGTACGCAGACCGCGGCGACAATACGAAAGAAAAAAAAGAAAAAGAAAAAACGAGAGAGCGAAAGGGACTGCGTTTCTAATATTGTTGTACACGGAAAATGGGCGAAAAAAAAACACACTGTCGCTACTGCTGCTGCTGCCGCTGCCGCTGCCGCTGCTGCCCGCGCATACCGCGGCGCATCTCTCTCCGGTTTTTGACAATGTAATAATAATTTCGGAGTTGAATAGATAAAAACTGCCGAGTTATGTGCGCTGATTGCCCGCCGTATATATTATTATTATTATTATTATTGTACGGGCGTCCCCCGCTGAGGTACTCCGTATATACGCGTATGTGCGCGGTGTCAATGGAGACCGCACAAACATTCACGCCTTTATTATACTGTACGTATTTTACCGGGGTGATTTATACGCCGGGGACGTCTGCGGCCGGCCGCCGACACGCTGCCGCAGAGGCGCGCGAAACATCTGTCCCTCCGCTCCCCTCCACCCGTTCTCCACCCGTGCATGATATACGCGCGCGAATGTGTGTAATATAACAAAACAACGTAGTTCTGCGTTTATTTATTTTTTTTATTTTTTTTTTTCTAGGGGGAGGAGCAGCAGCAGGGGAGAAAGACGCGCTCTCTTCTCTCTCTCTCTCTCTCTCTCTCTCTCTCTCTCGCGGCGTCGCGCTATCGAATTATAATGACGCGCACGGTCTCCGGCATTGTAACAACGCGCGTGTGCGGTACCCCGTATACGAAATCCGTCCGCGGAATCCGGCGCCTCCCGACCGGAAAACCCTCGCGACCACCGACTCTTCGCGGACACGTCCTCCGCGTGTTTTCATTATATTGTTATTACACACGGCTCTATTTATTATTCTACGCGGTATTACGTGTTATTGTATCGCCGCCGCCGGTCTCGCCTATTGCACCTTTGCCCCCGCGACGTCGTTGAAAACGGGGTCGCGTTTTGTGCGGACGCGCGTTGCATTTAAAATCCAGCATTCGCCGCAGTGCCGCGTGCCCGGCGCATACGTGACACCCGGTGCCGGAAACATTTAACGATGAGGGGACGAGGGACGGGGAGAGTGCGCGCTGTTATCAAACGTGTTGCCGATTGGGGGGGGGGAGGGCAGAGCGGTCGAAATCCGTGACGTTATAATAACGTAATGTACCGCGTTTACGTTGCGGCGGTGCGCGTTAACCCGATTGGCGCATGTCTAGCTAAACTTACACGAATACGTTTTGAAAAGTTCGTCCGGTTTGTCGAATCGGATTAACTCTAGTGTTGCGAAATGTTAGCAGATTAACATTGTTGTCGGGAACTGAATGCCAAATTGTACAGTGTACACGTATATATGCATATGTGTCGTATTATATGATTTGATAAATTGCATGTTACAATAATATATATTGTGTATTTGTACACATTTTATTGTAAAACAAATTGTTTAAGCAATTTTAAACTTAGACGTCATAGTAGTGTGGATATTTATTATTACGTGACTACTCGATTTCGGCATTGCGCCATCATTGTCGCATTCACACGTCTTCGAAATTTGAAATTGTTTAAACAATTTGTTTTACTATTAATACATAAAGATGTGTAATATTATGATCTCAAATGTCCATTTTATACGAGTTAAATCCTAGTATTTCAAATGCACTTCATAAATCTGGGATCTAACGCGTAATAATACGCATTAACTAAGACTATTTACTGCGTATTAATTTAATACAGACTAACCCGGTGTACCAACTAATTTACACATTTATAATACATATATTTAAGTTTTATCGTAATGTGTTGTTTTTTACCTGTTTGTGGACTAAAAAAATATCATCAACAACTAAGAGGTGTTTTCCAATATTAATTTCTATCTAGTTGATGCGTTGCAGCTGGGAAGTCGTTATTTGATATTCCTTATATAGTTTATTTTTTAAATCAAAATTTATGTTAAAATTCGTAAAATATAAAAACACAAACAAATAATTATTGTAATTTGTAGTTACAAATTATAATACAATCTTATCAATATATATGGTAACCGAATTGATGGTATCTATCAATATAAATCTATCAATAAATGTTTAACCGCTCGGAAAATCGCGTACGTATATTTACTACGTCATTATAGCATATAATTGTTATTATTCTATGTATAAAAATATTTTTAAAAAAAATAAATCACCATACATTTCTTGACGTTATAACACGTTATTTAATACATTATTTTAATACGAGTAACTACTATCGCAACAATAAACAGTTAAATATATCCCTGGTGGCTGAAAAGCTGTTATAATTTATAAACAATAGTAATTAATTTGATTTTTATCTACTTTAGTTTTTCATGATGGGAACACATTATTTCCGATATTTTCAATTTCTTGTGCCGTATACCACACTCGTTAATAATATACGAACATACAGGTGGTATAATCAAAGAAAATAATAATGAATACTAACGGTATTGTTGAATTTTTCAACAAATTTCTCGTTTTAAATGCACTTATATCGGATAAATAATATTTTATTACGATAATTCAAATTTAATACAAATAAAATCAATTATTTTCTATTATATATGTAATTTTATGTTGATTTTTTTTTTATTGTAATCGACAAATTATAATGGTTATTAGATAGATATTATGACTGCATTTCAGACATATGTATACATCATATTATATTATTTTTTCTTAAACTCAAGTTGTCATAATAAATATAATTGAAATATGATAACTGATAAAATATTTATAAAATTGAAAACAAATCGTTATTAATCATCGTTACGATAAATCTCTTCCCATGCTATGTATTGTAGTACAACAATTTACATATATTTGATATAATATACTACTAAAATTATTCTCAAAGTAAACATTAGTAATGTATTAAAATATTAAAGTAACGGTCCGGGTCTAACATTTAGCCTTGTCTACATTGCGGTTGATCTCTATACTGTTTTTCCTATTTCCCGATCGACATCCACGAGTTTCGACGTTTAAAATACAAAATGTAAAATTTGAATGCCACGAAAATCCGTCTGAATGTCCTTCTGAGCACGAACATTATATTATATACGAATTTTCGAATAACCTATACCCGTATTATAAAAATGGGCACAATATTTTAAATGAAGGAAAAGCAAGTTGACGTTGACAAATGGCCGCTAGACCACACGGACGTGACCAAAACCCCGCCGTCTTATATTAGTGCCCAGGTGCCTGCCTCGAAATTTATTAAAATATCGTAATTTGATTACTGTAGGCTGTCTTTCGTGCAGAGATTAAATACACATATAGTATTGTTTAGACTTCGGTTGACTATTGCAAAATGCGGTGAAATAATAAAATATAATTATTTATTATGGTTAATTTGGTGTTTTGGCGAGTAAATTTACACACAAATTAAAAACTGAAATCACTTTTGTAAATATACAGAGTGTAATATACGTATATTATGTGCATAATACGTCGCCGCGAAGTCTATCGTTATTTCGAGAAATATAATTGACACCGACTTCCGATCCAATATCGCATTGATTTCCATGGCCTTTGTATTTTTTCGTCTGCGGAGTCCCTCAAAAAGAAATGCTCTAGAGGCCGTCGGTGCGCCAGGCTGACACCGGCTTGACCCCAAAATTGAAAAATATTGAAATTACGCCACGATTTTTATTTTTATTCGTTTTTTTTATAAAAAACGACTTCGGTTAAAGTTATTATAATCGTTAATAATATTTATTGACGGCACAGTTCAGATGGTACCCACGTTAACATTTAATTGACTAGTAGTAATAATAAAGATTTATTTAAATGAATAAAGGTAGAAAATGAAACCGAGATCAGAAGCGTTGATTTCACAAAATTATCATCGATAACCGCATATATATATATATAAATATAGGTACCTTTATAAATAATTATACGAGTATATTCATTGTTACTGCAGGGGAATCTCACGATGCGTTTGATAAATTGAAAAAAAAATAAATACACAATAAAATAATTCTTAATGGTTAGTACTTACAATGACGCTCAACCTTGATGACAAGTCCGACAGTATTTTTTGTGTGGGCGAGGTGAAATTGTGCATGTTGAGTGGTTTTAATTTTTATCGCATTTTCGTACGTTAAAGAATAGGGTAATATATATGCCTATAGCCGTTAGTTAAACCGCATTGTTTATTTTTATCGTGTGATGGAATAATAGGATAGTGTCGTTGACTATTGTGTGGCACCTACCTACGTCTAATTATGAATACGAAAATTGCCGCTGTGGTAAGTGTTGTTTTTTTCTGATTCCGGGGGAAGGAGGGAGGGGTGAACCGACTTTACCGCGGGATTCCAATTTTAACGTTCGTTCAATTATTATTTCACTCGGTAGATTGGTCTACTTTTAGATTTTAGATTCTGGGTGGAACGAGGAATGTATTGGTATTACAATGATGTTTAATTTTTGAAAATTCTACCAGGAATCTTGCTCCATAATATCAATCAGTTACTACCTTTTTTTGAAAGTAAATTATTATGGAGGTTATTTTTTAATTTATTCGTGAGTTTTCCCAAAAAATGGGAAAAATCAGGAATAACGTAGGAAAACGGGAAAATGTATGAAATGTACAATTTAATAAAATTCGTTAATAACACAGCCTTTTTTTTCTGTGAACAACTTTTCTACCTTAAATTTTACTCCAATTTTGAATAGTGTAACACATTTTTCGAAAGTAAATTTTTCTGGGGTGTTACTATTGAGAGTCATTTTTTGATTTGCCCAGGGGTTTTAATAATAAATGGGAAAAAAGTTAAGAAAAACGGTAAAATATACGAAAAAATGTTTTTATTATAATTACGTAGTAAAATTTTCAAAACATTTAAGCCATTATTAAGCTATTAGACATTTAAATTTTGCAAGTATTTTAATGTGGTTCATATATCTTCTTCTTTTTATTTTTAATATAAAATTTTGACGAAAATCCTAAATATTACGGCGTTTTAAATATGTATAACTGAACTCCGCTCTGAATCGTTTTTCGTTAGCAAAGATTAATCGTTTCGTGCAGATATACGTTAAATTTTCCTCTATATTCCACATTTTTATTTTTATATGTATCTATGTGACTGTTAACAAGTTCTCGGCTAAAAACTTTTAACGAAATCAGAAACGGTTTTTGGCGGAACATATTGTCTGATTGGTGCGTCGGATAAATCGGTTTTTGATTTTCTTCTTATTTTTTTTTTTCTTATTATGATGGAAAACGCCGGAAAACGGCAATGTTAACACAATAAGCCAAATAACGGTATCTGTGGATTTCAATTTTTGTTTTTGATTTGGGGTTTTTTGAGTTATAGATTATATTATTTTTATCAGTGTTACGAGTTCAGTGTTTTGTTGAATATTCGGCAAAAAAAAAAAAAACATTTACTATTGTTTATTTATTTCGTGGTTACAAATAATTAATACAATGTTTCACATTGAAATGTATCCGGGAAAACCTTTTAACCGAATTCCGATCAGAATTGTTTTTCGCGTTCACAATGATCTATCGTTCCGTAAAGTTGTATTATTATTATTATTATTATTGTATATGATTATTATTTTATCGAAAATATATATCGAAAAATCGCCGTATTACGTTTGAATTGTAAATTTTATTTTTCATTAATCGATTATTGTATAGGTTTGGTGCGAGGTGAAGGCGGCGCTGTTGGATTTGAGCGCGTTCTGGGACAAGGAGTTACCGGAGAGCCCGCGGCCCGCGATCGTCCCGAGATTGAACTCGAATCCCGACTACACGACCATGTTGGTCGAGGAATGGGGCGTGCTGACCACGTACTACAGGTTTCTAAAAGACTGGCGGCGCATCAGCCGGGACATGGTCCACGACCAGATGGACCCGTGGCCGGTCGTTCCGGGCGCCGCCGCTTCCGGCCGCGGCAGCGCCGGCGCCGCGATCCCGCCGATCCGCCGGACCTCGCCCGTGCCGTGCATCAGGCACAGGCACCGCCCGTCCAGGTCCAGGAGACGCAAATCGTCGGATTCCGTCACGTAGTCGCCGTCGTCGTTGTCGTCGGGTTCGGCCATTAGCACCATACGTTTTTTTTTTCTAATTAATTTAATTTGTTTGTATTTTTTTTTTCGCGTTTACAACGGTTTATTAATACGTAATTGTTCGTGTATTGCATATTATATTATCATTGTGAAATATCGATCTGGTTCGGCGGTGCAGCGACGTGTGCAACGACGTGTGCGACGACAAATAGATCAAGGAAATACTATATACCTACATACACAATAGACTCGCTACGCGGTACCTATGCAACGACGTATTGGTTATTTATTTATAATTCTAAGATTGTATATCGCAAGCCCGCGCCGATGTTGTATTGTGTCAGTATTAGACATCACGATCTGTATAGACGATTATACATTATTAAAATATCGTGTTACTATTACGGATAATTTTATTGTAAATATTCTATACCCACCTGTCAGGGCGTGTACCTTAGTTACGGAAGTTCGACAAATTCGATTTTATTCGTTAATTAACTTATTAATAAAGTTCAGTGTAATGTTGAAATATTGATAAATGTACCTACACGTATTTAGTACGATCGGACAACGTTGTCCGGTGCCGAAATGGACTCAAACTTTCGGTATTTTTTTTTTATCTCTATAACTAAGGAACGCTCTAATACCTATTAAACATGGATCTTTCGAATTTTACGTAACAGTCGCTTTGACGGTAAATTACATAATATTTTTTTCAAAAACAAAAAAAAAAAAAAAAAAATGACTATTATGTAAAAGAACTTTTAACGGAATCGTTTTTATTCTATAAAATTACATTGTCCTTATTTTGCTCACTCATGTTTTTGGAGGTGAAACTACTAGTGCATTTAGATTTTCAAATAGGGCGCCACAATGTTAACGGAAATTGCAACACCGCAATTACGTTTAAACTAAAAAGTATTTATGGAATTTCCAACACGATATATGTATTTCCGTTTGAAAATCAAAATGTGCTGGTTTTACGCCCAAATATAAGGGTGAAAAACTAAGAGCAACGTATAACACTTTAGAACGATTATGAAAAGTTTTCACGTAGTAAGGTCATGTTTTTTTTTTTTTTTTTTTAAAAAAATTACGTATTTTATTGTGAAATTAACTGTAATATAGAATTTGAAAAACCCTGTATATATATATATTCATAAATAATATATGCTGTAACACGGAGCGGAATGACTGAGAATGCCGTGAATTACGACGGCTTTTACATTATGTAGTTATAGGATATCGAAAATTATTGTGATGTGTATTGATAATACTGATGAATATTCTACAGTTAGTAAATTTCGTTACCTGTATTGCGGTCGAATGGAATGAAAACGGTAATATTTTAATGACGATGTGCAGCTACAATCATTCTGCTCCATATTGTACTGTGTGTATAAATTATAATACATAATATGATCAACAAATACGAACAGACTGTCTTTTTATATTCTAAATAATAATATATTATATTAAATTTAATGTGTGTAAATATTTTTAACTCATCATACTATAATAATATATATGTAAAGAGATTTTTTTTTTGATTATTCTCGTTTATTTATTTGTGTTTTTTTTTTTTTAATATTTTTCGGTCCGATAAATAATTAAAGAATAAATAGGCCGTGCGCAAATTACACCCAAATGTAGTGGGTAGGGAATAATTATGCGTGTGAGTGAGAGAGAAAGAGGACGATCTCTTATTCGTGCACGGGCCAATTACTATTAAGTATTAAAATAAAATAAATAATGATCGAAACAATTGTAAATAGGTTATAAATTATATAGATTTTCTTTTTTTAAGTTTTATCAAAAAAATAACATTTAAATAATTTATCCAATGCAATTTCAAACAATATTTCAATGAATTCTCGTGAGATAAATTTCGGTGGCTTAACCATTCTTCTATTAGGGATGTCCGATATATATTCATAGATTTACACATCTAAACGGAACATTTGGCAAATATCATTGTAAAACCTCTGCCAAGAATCTAAAATAAAAATATTTTAGCAAAGTCGTTGATGATAACTATACTTCTTATCAAAGTCAAATGTATTATAACCTATTATCTAATTAATTTAGGCGGTTCAAACCAACGACAAAATGTACGGTGTAACCGACAGATTTGTCTAACGGTGGTTTCAATGTGCAAACGCACAAAAAAAAAAATTAAATGGTGGTTTCACTATAATTCCACAATGCTTCAAAGGGGTGTTATGGTAAGACTTATACTTGATACTATCTTTTCCTAACAATGCTGTTATCTTTACTGTTCAACTTTTCATTCTTTCACTATTAATTGATATAGAACGGTTTTATTACGTTTTACGTCGAAATATTTGTCTAACAATGTTTCACCGCTGGGACCCTGGATTTCTCTTTCAATGCATTTCAGTGCGTAATCGATGCATTTATTTATAAGCTACGTGATCAAGATATTATATATTTATACATATAGACAGATAGATTACTATAATAATAATTATCATTAAAAGAACAAAATAAATATTAAAATAAAACTAACAATATGCGACGGCCGCATTATTGTATTGTAGTAATGAATAATACGACGATTTGTCCCGGTGTTTAACCTTGTGCGTCTTTCTACGCATAATAATAATAATAATAATTCAAAAATGTCTAGATATAGTCTAGTATTTATAACAATAAATACTATTGAGATATGTGCAGTGACTATTATAATCGTAATGTAATTAATATTTGTTTTTAATTCCAGTCATGAGTTACCTATATATATATATTTATATTAGACAATTATTGTTAAATACTTTGTTTACCTAACCGGTTAAAAACGTTTCCCACGTAGTACTCATGATAATGCTTCACAAACTCATCATTATGAAAACGTGTTATTTGTTCGAAAATCGTCTGTTCAAATGTCATTTGTTCGAGCGCTAAGTGCTCGAAAGCTCATCTAACCGAAAATATATCTTATGTTTGAAATCAACAAGAACACGTATCGCAATTTCTTAATTGAAACAATACAACTTAACAAAAATCAATCTTATCTTACGAAAAATTTAGTTTAAAAACTAAAAATAAAAAATGTTAACTATTAAAAAAAAATGCGAAACAAAATTTGTCAGTGTCATCATATTATAGATCTTAATTTTTTTGATAGTTTTCAGAATTTGTTTAGCCTTCCTACGACCGCTATAACCGAAATACTGGTGGGATGATGTATAAACATTTAAACAGACAACTGCCGTATTTCAAAATATTCAGTAAAGGACACCATACGAGTTATTTGTGAATTTTAGGTACTATAATATATACCATGTACCTAATTTATAACTGTCTTGTATATACCTTAATAAAAACAGTATTAATCAAATATATTTTCTACTTTACATTAAATTCTATTCAAGTCTCTCATATGACACCGAAAAGACACGAAATGTTTAGTTTTTTAAAATCTGAGGCTGGATATACGCTTCTAAAGCTTTCGTTATATCGGTCGTAGGAAGGTCAAACAAATTCTGAAAATTATAGAATATAAATAAATTACAAACTTTTTCATGGTGGTATTGGGATCCCAAAATCCAAATTGGGGAGGGGCAGTGTAACGTACGTTCTTTTCGCTGCAGTGGCAAACAATTAAAACGCATTCATTAAAGCCGTATGTAGCTATACCGCCAATACATATTATTACTATGGCCAGAGTGTGTATGTATTAGTATTTATTGGTTTAAAATGTATCCATTGGCATCAAACACAAACTATAATCTGAGCCTAATGAGTTTGTGTGAACGATTTACTTTTGCATGTTTTTGTTCGATATTTGGAATTTTGTAACATTTTTAATTATTATGCATAATATATTAGTGTCTTTTCGAAAATATAATGCTTGTACTGAAAAAGAAAAAATAATAATGTACTTAATACCTCATTAAAGAATATATTTTCACATTTCGATTCCTTTCTGTCCATATTTTATATCAACTTTTTGACCTCTCATTTGACTGTCAATGGGTACTCGATCGATAATTTATTGTTTATCGGCTCGATAAAAAATTAATTGTTAATTGGCTCGAGAGCTGATTGTAACAAGATAAAGTTCGCTAGAGGTATGACAACGCGATAACGACGATAACGAAAATTGGAAGAAAAAATGTAAATTTAATTAATATAAATATATATTTTTTTTTTGCTATCTGTATATTTCATACGTTTTTAATGTATAGTATATTACAGGGGTGGCGATCCTATGGCACGCCATAAAAATATTTATCGTAAAAAAACGAATAATGTTTTATGAAAGTACAGATGTAACATCGTCCGCACGTCTTTCAATAATTTTTAGATTATATCTAGATTATATATTAGATTATATAGATAATATATTTAATATGCCTGAACATTTTTGCATCCAACAAATTACCAATAAACACTCACACTTATTTACGGGTCATTTAAATAATGTGTTCAAGAATTTCAGACGTTGCGTATTATCATATTGTTTAATTATATTATATTTTATTTGTTTTTAAATATATCATATTAACTATTCCTCAAATACTCACCCGATAAATACAAACTATATAATTTCATATTTATGCAATAAAATAATAAAACTTAAAATAGGAGGTACCTATTTTATAATTGTATAGAAATATTTTCCAAAAACTCCTAGTCCAAACGACTAAACGTTTCGATCCAACGATTAATCATTGATATAAAATCGACCCTCATTGGCTTCGGTATCAATCATAATTCTGTGCATGGACTAAGGATATGATGTACGTATATATATAACCTAAATAATTGTCAAAGATAATAAAGATTAAAGATGCCTTGATTATCCATGATAATTGTATGTGTTAACTTTGTTATCTGAAAACAATTTTTTCTTAAAAAATATGTTTTTGGCGACGGACACTATAATGATGAAAATATATTATTATCGATATTTCAGTTACCATTTTTCAGTATACGAGCGTACAGTCTATTTTTTAAAAAGGTATACGCTGTGGTTGTCAAATACGATTTGGGTATACGCCGTATACTCCCGTATACCCTCCAATACACCATTGATTATACAGCATCACAGTGAACATAATGTACAGCCACACCCCAGTCATTGTCGTAAACAAATGACTTTGATTATTTACGAATCGGAGAATAATAATCGTTTATTTTTTGCCGATAAAAAAAAATAAATAAAAATTATAGTCCATTCTCATCTAACTATGCTTTTGGTAAGCAATGACGTGCACAGTGAGAACATTAGAATTTATACCCACCTTCCTGTCATTGGCTTTAAAATAACTATGTTGAACGTTTACTTAGTAATTTTATCAGAAAATTATGTATAATATTTTAGACAAATTACAGAGAAAAAAGCTCGATTTATTGAATAAAAATTGTTTTGTTTTTGATTCCGGCCTTTAAATTGTCATTGTTGGATCAAGTATAGTGGAAGAATATCCTACGATTTATTCGTGAATCGCGGTTATATTTTAATGCATCCCCTCCCGTCGAAAATTCCTGGGCACTTCTTACTGACCGTATAAATTTAGACGCTGCGGAATTTAGTGAAAATTCCATGCGTTTTTTAGGAATTTATAATCAATTACCATGGGAATTTCTACTCGAATTTGAATTCCGGGAATTTATATACGTCGCCAAGTATAGCAGCTAAATAGTAGTAGTTGTACGTACACATAGGCGATAAAACTAACAAAACCGATGTTCAAAAAATGCCACGTCGTTGGAGGTGATGCTCCGTGCGCGTCGCATCGGCTGCTGCAGCGGCAGCGGCGGCGGCGGCGGCGGTGCAACTCGTATAATCGCATTGTGTAAAGATCTCAGCGGGCGCGAGATTATATTATTATCATTGTTATCATTATTATTATATTATTGAAATCCGTTTGTATACCGTTTGACGGCGCGACGCGACGCGACGGCGCCACTCCAAACGACCGTATAAAATATTGTGGGGGAAGAAGAAGGGCGGAAAAAAAATGTATACGTCGGCGGCCGGTTTTTGTTACAAAATAATAATTTTAAAGATGTAAACACATTGTGCGAGTGTTTGTGTTGTGTGTGAAGATGAAAGCGTTGCTCCGATAAATCGCCCATATAATAAGACGACGCGTTCCCCGCGACCTCTACTGCTGCTGCTGCAGCATCACTCGCACGCATTCCGTCTGCATCATACACAATGAACACGTCACCGAGACGCGCGGGGTCCTGCCATCGCCACCCTCTCTCACCGCATCCCTCCCTCCCATTGTTGACCACCGATAGACTCTTTGCGTTCGGTTTTGAATGAAACGGAAAAGCAACACGATGAAAACATAATAATAATTATAAATCTATATATATATATATATATATGGTTACCACGTGGACAGCTACGGTACCTAGCTACTTGTTAAGACAGCGAAAAAGTCAAAACCGAAGTTTTTCAAACGCATGACCGGAGGAGAGCTCTGTGGATAATGGCACGGACATCGAGATAAATAAGGAGCGACGGGGTTAATCGAAGGGAGGACAGGAATTAAAAGACAGGAAGGGAAATACCAAGGGCGTCGTTTATGATGAAGCAAGTGATATAACTTAAAAGCACTACCTATAGGCGATAAGTATGGATGTAAAAAAACAACAGTCATTTCGTTAATTACAGTGAAAATAAGATTTATAAAGACACATTTTTTTCACTTTAACTTGATGAAAATTGTCTGCAGTCATTGAACTTTTTAACTGTTTGAGATTGTATTTTAATGATGAAGTATAAATATAAAATAAAAATATTTGCCATATTACACCTATGATTAGATTTACTTTAAACTTGATGTATTATAATATTTTCTATTCGGGTGCCATAATAACCAAGTATTTAATGTCTAAAGTTCAAATTGATTGAACTATTTGGTAAGACTATTGGTATTTTTACCGAATATATGTATACACGTCTTCGTAATCTGAAGAAACGATTAAAACGTTTATACACTTCTCCCTATCCGTTATTAATATTTTAATCGTTACTATTAAATTAATGTACTATTTTTTTGTTCAGCCTTAAAATATTTAACATTACCGATATGCGATTATTATATGTATAGTACACCATCACTGTAATATAAACAAAATATACGTCATGTGTTTACATTATAAACGTGTATACCCGAGACAGTAAAAGCACAATGTATAAAATATCTTTTCCCGCTACATTTAGATACTTTTAGCTGCTCCCTCTAGACCAAATGAGCTCAAACTCTAGAATTAGAGTATTTTTAGAAGTATAAACTGATTGAGTTTTTATCATTTTGTTACGAGAGAATAAGAATGGCGTCGATGATAAAACTGTTTATACAGTATATGTTTGATGTCATTATCCAGGCTTTTGAAGATTTCAACTTTCAACCTCCACCCCGCAAATTATTGATATGCTCGAATTTCATGTTTGTAAAAAATGTAACAAATAATATTAATAAAGAATAATGTATATTTCCAAATCGATAAACTTAATGGGTGGGAATGAGAGGGGCCATGAGTAATATTGGTGTATTGCGGGTAGCTTGAGAAGAATAATATATATAAACATAGAAATAAAACATATATATAAACAATATAAACAATTCAAGGGATAGAAATAATTAAGTTTTTAATTGCTGCTATTTAAATTTAATTAGCCATATGAAAAAAAAAAATGTATTTAATTAAGTAGTGACTTAATAATTAATAGTCTTAACTAATAGTCACTCTTTTTGAAAGAAAAAAAAAACTAAAATAAAATAAATATAACCGACTTAAATACAAAAATCGCTAAAACGTCGAAATGTTTAAAACTTTGCTACCGCGGGATATATGGATTCTATGACGCCAGAGTCAATGATGGACTTTAATCAAAGGCGGCTTCAGAAACATGGTTCGGGGGGAGGGTGGTTCTAGTCATATTTTTCAGAAAACTATATAAAAAGCATATTTTATGTGTTTATTAAAATCCGTAGTACATACAAATTGTAGACAAATACCTCTAACTACACACTTGTACGTTGTACGTGTCTGCAATAGTCGATAGTAAACATTTTTTTTTTCTTTTGCATAGTCGTTTTTAACAAAAATACGGGCTTGAGTGGAGGCCGCAACTCTTAAGCCCCCCCCCCCCGGAGCCGCTCCTGACTTTAATGAAGAACCATCTTAAAAAGATGGTTGTATCTGGTTTATTGGTTATCCTTCCCTAATAAAATTAAATATATTATAAATTGTTTATCAAAAAATTGCACCAATTCAATAATATTATTTTAAAAATAAACGTTACTGCAGCTATTAATATTTATGTAGTATTCGAACGTGTTTTGTACGAGATTCGCACATCGTCGATAAAATCATCATTATATTAACATCGCGTTGTCGGTCCGTATATAAGTTGCACAGCGACGCATGATGCGGAAGGTCAAGTATTCGCTCGTTATCCGATTTGTATAAATCATTAGAAGAAGAAGAAAAAACGAAAAAGAAAGACGGACGAAGTGACGACGGCGACAATAACATAAATATAGTGATCGCAACTGCTCGACCGGCGAGCTCGGTTTTTTATCATCGTGTATTTATAATAAACCAGCAACCCACGACGGCAAACGTTAAATTATTACGGTTTTCAAATCACTATAATAATAATATGTGATATGTATATATATTGTTTCATATTATACTTGTGTAGTTTGCAGACGGTATTGGTATATAGATAGACGTGTCTACGACTGATGTACAAAAAAAAAATAAAAACCAAATGGACATCGCAGAGCGTTGTTTTAAAAATCGATTTGATCGACGCGCGACGCAGCACCAATAAAAATATCTACCTTTGATAATATTGTCGGTCGATGAATTGCGTATTTTTAACGAATCATTTAGCTGTATCGTTTAAAATAATTTATGCTCGGAATTTGAAAAGTGATAATGACGTACACTAATTCCCGAATAAAATTTCCCCGAACGGCATATTCTTCCCGAATCGTAGTTTTCCATTTAATCATTGGTTGGAAAAAGTTACCAAAACATTACTAAATCGCTAATATCTGTACGGATATTTTTCATTTAAGAACCGTTATTAGAAATATAATAATATCCCCTCCGAAACATACATTTCCCTTTAATTTTCTAATAATTAATTTTTAAACAAATTTATTTACAGAAATACAAAGGTCAAATGTGATCGGTTTTTTTTTTTACCAACTCGACCCCCCTTCCTGAATCGTTTTTTCGGCATATTCACTCCTGTTTACATGATGTTTTCTTAGACACTACACATAATACACTCGTGTATATATATATATATATATATATATATATATTATAGCCGCTAGTGCGTTATACGTACTTTAATGTTGAAAAATCGATAAAAAAAAAAAACTGCTGAAATTGCTCGTTGTAAACGATGACCAGTGATAATACGTGATATTATTATTCAAGTTTTTAATATTTGTGCGTCGTATAATTAATGTACGCGCGTATCGTCGAGTGTGCGTATTTTTGTGCGTATACTATAGTTTCACATTATTGGTATAGACCAGTGGTTTTCAATCTGGAGTGCCGTGAGCATTCACTAGGTTTACCACAGTCATTTTGAAATTTGTTTTTCCTTAAACTGTGACAGACCATCGGTTACGGTAATCCGCTTATTAAATATGGTTGTATGAGGCCGTAACTCGTTTGATTATGATTCGTTTGAGTTTGACTCATCAATTTTGTTATTAGATCTAATTCTGTGCAAAAAATTAAACAATGATAAAAAAAAAAGATCACAGTGTGCCGTGAAAATGTAGTGAAAAACGAAGTGTGCCGTGATCAAAAAAAGTTTGAAAACCACTGGTATGGACATTTAGCTTAATATAATTTGGTAATTTTATTTTTCAATACACGAGATTTCGTCGTTATTTTTACACGTCAACGACGAGATGGTTACGTGAACAATAAGATAAGATACTTTTATGTATTTCGTACAAAACTTAGTAACACAATAATATTGGACTTGGATTGAGATGAGATTTTTATTTTAAAGAAGATCAGATGTTTCAAAACACAAATATTGAGTCAATTTTAAAACTTTTACCTTTGCGGTCTTTGCACCAGATATATTTAAAATGTCTATGGGAGGTGGACTTATTGATTTCGAACCATCAGATAGCTGCAGTGATCACGTTATGAACAAGTTATTCGTAATAACAGATGATAAACAAACGTATATAAAAGTTATTTTGAAAATTGAGTAAGATTAAAATATTATATTATAAAGGTTAATAAATATAATATATGTAGATTATTACATTTGAGTAGTTCAGTAATAATCGAAATAAATAAAATTAGAACTGAAAACAATTGAATAAAAAAAGACGTCCTAGGATAATGAGGACGGGTGCAGCCACAGTTGTAGATAATTTAATATATATCTGCTAGTAACGATTAACATTGCTAATAAAAAAAACGATTCTGAGCGGAATTCAGTTGATAATAATATTTTGTCAACAATATACAAGATCTGACCAATAAGTAATGAGACTGTTTTTTTTTGCCACGCTTGTGGTAACACTGCGAATCTGAAACTTCGTTCGGTTAATCTCTCATCCCTCCTCTATCGATACATGTGCTCGCGATTTTCATACAATAATTAGTTTTCCAGTTGTGTTATGTTTAAGACAACGTGTTTGTAAGGCGTGTCACAAATATCAGCGGTACGCGATTAAATTTTGCGTTAAACTCGGCGATTCCGTTATGGAAACGTACGATAAATTGATGAAAGTGTTCGGTGATAAAGCCCTGAGTCGTGCTCAGGTGTTTCGATGGCATAAAAATTTTAAAAATGGTCGTGAAAGCGTCGGGGATGAACCGCGAAGTGGGAGACCGGTTGAAGCTCGAACTGACAACAATGTTCAGCGTGTGCGCACTCTCGTGCATCAAGATCGGCGTTTAACCGTTCGAATGTTGGCTGATGAACTTAATTTGAAACGAGAAACCGTCAGAAAAATTTTAACTGATGATTTGTCCATGAAAAAGCTGTGTGCAAAGATGGTACCTTCATCATGACAATGCTCCATGCCATCGTGCCTTCAGTGTGTCGCGATTTTTGACCTCTAAGAACATCGCAGTGTTGCCACAAGCGCCCTATTCGCCGGATATGTCACCCAGTGACTTTTTTTTGTTCCGTCAAACAAAATTGGCCGTGAAAGGAACGCATTTTGAGTCCATAACTGATATCCAGAACGCCGTGACGAGGGTACTTCAAGACATTCCAGTCGAAGCCTTCCAGAAATGTTATGAGAGCTGGAAAAAACGTTGGAACCAGTGTATAAGGGTGGGAGGGGAGTACTTTGAAGAGGATCACATCGATGTATCTTAATATTTAAATATATGTATTTTATTGAATTAGTCTCATTACTTATTGGTTAGACCTCGTATGTGTCATATTATGGTAAAATAATTAAATAGGCATTATATATTATCTTTAATAATAATATTTGTTTAATGTACCGATTTTCCTGTTTTTGCTACGTTTTCCCCAGTTTTCTCATGTTTTTTCCTGGTTTTTCACATTTGCTGAGAAAACCCCTGAAATGATCGAAAAATGACCTCTCTAAAGTACCTTCCCAGTCAAATTTCTTTTAAAAACATTGCTATCATTATATATTAGAGCAAACTTACTGGTAGAAAAATTGTCCACAAGAAAAAAAAAATAATCTTCGCTCCACTCAAATAGAAAAAAATTGTTAAATACCATCATACTTATAAAACGAATTAAGAAATCAATAATGTAAATTACTAATAAATCGCGTTTATCGCGTTTATCTTGGAATTTTCAACAACAAATAAGTATCCATTTTTTTTTTTTTTTTTTATGTACTTACCTAATATTTGTTTTTTCGCAAGCACTATACATATTTAACTGATCCTTATCGGTGTAGAGTCGTCTAATAATTGAATAAAAGTCAAAATAAATAATTTTAACTTCCAACAAGTTTAGAAAAACACGATTAGGTTAGGTTAGGTTAGGCCTTTGGATTTTGTTTTGATAGGTAAATTCAATTAGGTTTGTTGGAAGTGTATTTAAATTTTTTGGAAGTTAAAATAGATTATTTTGATAATTATTCAATTATTTCATGTCAGCACGAGAAAATCGAAAAAAATTGTAATGCTGGCCAAAATACCGCTAAGTCATCAAAAAACAAAAAAAATATAGGTCAGTTTGATATTGTTTTATTATATTTAACTAGGTTTGTTGGACATAATTTGCTTAAACTTGTTGGAAAGTAAAATTAATTATTACAATATTATTATTACAACGAAAATGGGTCTCTAGTAATTTTTGCCACGGAAAAAAAAATAAACACACATCATAATACTGAAACCGCTCCGCTCGGAATTTAAAAACCGAATGAAACAAAATATCGAAACATCGCGCAGGTGCCCTTGCCACAATCAGTTAATTTATAGGAGGGACTCCTTCAACGCCCCGGCACGTTTAATTGCATGTATATTAGGATTATGTTTACTATTAAACACATAACATTTTTATTGATAATAATTTCTCATTAAAATTTATCTTTTTGTTCGTTTTATAATAGCACAATTGTATTTAAACATTTTAGATTCTTCTAAGTGTAGCGAATGATTCTGAGAGTATTGGTTACACAAAGATGTTTTTGTTTTTTTATATATGAACACTTTTTCTACCAGAAATCTTAATCCTATGTATACGATGTAGCCCCTTTTCTGAAAGGAAATTTTCTCGAGATGGCCATTTTTTGATTTTCTCAAGAGTTTTCCTAGAAAATGTGAAAAACTGGGAATTTTAAGAAAAACGGGAAACTCAGTACAATATTAAACAAATATTATAATGTCTATTTAATTATTTTACCATAATATGATATATATATTGTTGATAAAGCATCAATATCGTTGTTTACAAATATACATTAAACTCCCTTCTGTAACCTACCTTTCTAACTTCCCACCTACAACAGTGGCTGTACCCACGCGCGAAGTATATCCGTTTTGTAGTTTTATTATTATTATTTCCCAATTCAAACACCTGTACAAACGTATAGTGAACACGATACAGTGAGGTTCAAATATTCTGAAGCGTAACAATAAATAATTATTATTTTCTCGATATTGTTGTTATTATTACAAGGTAATACAAGAGTAATACATCTCAAGAGTATCCGCTGACATACGGCGGCCATTGGAACATATTAGAAATCGGCCTGTAGACCAGTGCCTCGCGAGTATCGCATCTCATTCAGGACTTTCGACAGGTTCGCTCACTCGGAAAATTATTATTTCAGGATTCGCTTGACGGATTTCAGTTAGTCGGTAAATTTTAAATTGGTCATTATAAGAAAATATAAAGCGTTGGCGTAAAAACGACGGAGAGATAATGTCATTGTAGAGATGACCCGCACGACATCGTCGTCGTCATTAATCCGGCGACCGGTCATTTCGGTCGGGCGGACACGCTACGTCATCGACGACAAAAACAATATAATTATTATAGTGTCCCGGATTTTTATGTTCAAAAAGAAGGTCTTTTAAATATGAGACAGAATATCTATTTATGAAAACAAATATAATCGATAAACATTAAAAAATGCTTTAACGTATACAAATTTTAATTTAAATAAATCATCGATGGAATACAAACTCATCGAAACGTTAAATATAAAAAACAAACAGCTGGAGGAGGGTACGGCTATACTTGTAAGTGGGTAGTTGGAAAGGTGAGACACATAAACTATTTAATTTATACCTGTAAACAACGATATCTATGCTAACAAAAAATTAAAAAACAATATCTCTAAAGCACCAACTAGACAAAATTATCTTTCGGAAATAGTGTTATGCTCTATACATTGGAGTGATATTTCTTTTTGAAAAGTTATTCATAGACAGAAAAAAAAGGCACACATCATAGTAAAACCAATATATATTTATATGACCAAATGAGATCTCTCATCGTTACACTCCGAATCTAAAATGATAGCTTGACTGTTCTTGAGGACATTATGACGATTAACATATATCCCACCCCCGAGAGAAAATCCTATTTGAAAAAACAATGATAACAAATCGAATATTAACAGAGTCACGAAAGTCCGTAAGACACGGTAAGACACCCTGTATATAGTATTAGTATATTTATAATTTCATTTTTTAGACGTTTTCACCCCGTTAAACGGAACACCCGACGAGAATTCGCACTATAATTAGACTGCAGGGAACCATTACCGGTGACCCGGTCATTACCCGCGTATAACATTCCCGAACACTGTTTGCTCGCGTTTTTTATAATCCTCCCCTCTCCTCCCCCCTCCGGGAGATCGCGGTGTTGCGCGCTTATATTATATACATAGATATATACATATATTTATCCGGAGTTTCGAATAATATCCGTACGGCCCGTGCACATAATGATAATATTGTACAATATAACATACGTGTACGGGCACGTCTCTACACTGTCGGCTACACTGGCGTTCTTACTCTTCAATAAAGTACATAATGTTATTATTATACGGGCTTACGTTATTTCTGACACGGATTAAACGGCGGCGGCGGCGGCGTACGGTACAGCGGAGGTATTTTTACGCGTTTATATATTACAATATTGTACAAAGCGGGCCGCCCGAATTCGAAAACGACGGTAATCCGCTGATCGAAACGACCGATAATCGTCCCGTCTCGTCTGTTCTTGCGACCGCGGGAGTATCATCGGCGAGGGAGGTAACAAAAAGGTGTAAAATAACCGAATCCGCACACACACACACACACACACAGATATACGCACACATAATATATATGAACGATGAATGGATTCCTCGTCTTTCGGTGTCTGTGTGTGTGTGTGTGTAATAGGCGCATGATATAATAATAATATGTGTGACGGGTACCTATACAATATTATATTTGTATACATCACGAATACAACGTCTGTCGTGTGTGTACATACGTTTCGAGTTTTCGCCGGTATTTTTCACGCCCCGGTGTAGTAGGTGTATGTTAGTGAAACATTATGCATTTCTGCACAATAGCAGTAGGCGTGCGTATATTATATTATTGTTATTATTCTAGGCGCCGCGATATTACCGTGTTTGTATACGTAACAATATACGAGGGTGATTTTTTTTTCCTGCAATTTTCTCGGCGGATTTCGAATAAATTCAATTACTATGTTTTTTTTACAATCTTTATGGAATCGTTTAAACTTATTTGCTATTATCAAAAATATACCACCTCCCCCACCCAGCCATCGGTATTTACAATCTCTATCTAATACCTATCGACTATATACCTATAGGTTTTAGATTTACACTTAGGACCCTATAAATTCCTCGAAGCATCACCAGGTTTGGACCGACAGATAGGTTAGGTTAGTTTTTCCATTTATCATCTGTCTTGTCTATAGGCTACGCGTAAAATATTTTATATTTACAACATAATTATAGTTAAATTCCTCGGAGTAATATCGGGTTTCGACCAATAAGCGGGTTATGTTTCGCAAAACTCCTAAAAACAGTTAAAACCAACTCGGTTACGTTTCGGTTTGCGCCGACCTCAAGTAAGGTTTATATTTCATAAACCTCACACCATACACACCCCTCCACCACATTTTTAACGTAGATTCGAAAAAAGTAACATTTTCCTAGACGTTTTTATATACACAGAACTAATATTGCGGATATCAGTGTTATAAAAGGAGACGAGTTTAGGCTTAAAAAAAGCTGAAATATAATGCTAATTTTCTTAAAAAAAATATACATATTCTCTTAAAAATTTGACACATAAGCAAAAATAATCAACCAACATTAAAATACATGCTTTAATATGCAATTATTATTTATGTTTTTTTCTAACAAAACTATACACAAAAAAAATATTTTTGTAATACTATCAGTATATGTGGTATTTTTTATCTAAATGATGAGAAAACAAATAATGTGAATAAAAAAAAAACGTGTACTAGTACCTTTAAATTAAAAATAGATTACCCGGTAACTTTTTCTCACGATTTAACATATTTTTTTCAAAATACGCTATATAAGCTAAATATTCCTTACCCCTGAAATATTCTCAAATATGCAAAAAGTATTCTTTTCCGTAAACGAATCATCTATATTTTTCAGTTTCATATAATTCATAATAATGTAGTATTGATATCGTCGTCCTTGTTCACAAAGGCCGTAACTCCAAAAATGCGATTTTTAAATTATTGCATTTTGTTATCAGAAAAAAAAAAAAAAGCATCGTTCAAGATCTTTTCCACTCTTATCAGACAATTATTTTTCATTGAAATCATCTGTTGAGCAATTATTGACACAAGAAAATTGTCTATCTCCATAACTTTAAATAAAATATTATTGGTTAAATTTATTAATATAATCACCATATTAATTTAAATTGTTAAATAATTTTAGATTAAGTTATTATATAAAACAATAATTAGTTTTAAACGTTTTTTGGCTCTCCTGATAAGTTACCATTTTGGATTACAACCTTTGCGAATTGAGCTGATAATATTATGAAAAAACAGAAATACGGAACGGTTTTTAAATCTAAAAAAGACGAACATACTTCGCACGTGGTTCGGCCATTGTTGTAGGAGAGAAGTTGGGAAGAGAGAAATTCTGAGTGGAGTTCGTTTAAAAATATTGCTTTATCATCAATGTAATATTTGTCATATTATGGTAAAATAATTACATAAGCATTGTATATTCATATTTTTTTTAATAATATTTCTTTAATATTGTACATATTTTCCCGTTTTTCCTATTTTTTTGCCGGTTTTCCTATTTATTATGAAAATATCTGAGAAAATCAAAAAATGGCCTCCTTAAAGAATCGTCCTAATCGAATTTCCTTTACAGAAAAACTGCTGTCATTGTAAATCGGAGTAAAATAAAAGTGTTATACTGTTATGTATATTAACATATTTTGTAGACTATTCGATTTGAAAATGTGTCGGAGGTTACTATTTTTGAAAATCAAAAGTTAATATTGTGTTTTGGTTTTCAAAAAAATATTAAATTAATAATAATAATAATAATAAAGTTAATATTGTATTTACGTTTATCGAATAACTATAATTATGAAGGTATGAACAACATTAAAAATAAAATCGTTGAACTGGATTAAATAATGAAAAAAAAAAAATCATCTGTATGTTTATTATCTGTCGACCACCTCCACCGCTCATCATTATCTATAATATTGTATTATATGTATTATAAGTAGTATCGGCATATCGAATAAACAAATTATAATAATATACAAATACTGGCAAACAATATTTTATTATCAGTACTCACTCCCCTGCGAGTGGTTTTAAAATAAAGCCTAAACGATTCCATAATGATTAGAAATAACAGAAATAAAATTCACTTAAAATACACTGAGATAATTGCAGGTTCACGATAAAAAAATCACCCTGTACATTATTTTTATTTCATTTACTTACACAACATGTAATAAGTGATATATATCATAAATATTAAGTGTTTCAAAAGTACTGCTGTATTGATACAGTTATAACTGGCTGTATTTAGCATTTTAGTCACCGGTATTTGGTATTGGTTTCATACCGGTATGACGGTAGATTTCGGTATATACCGCCTCTTCGGTTGAATTTAAAAAAAAAAAATTAAATTAAATATACAATTATTAACAGACTCTTTTTATTGACTGAGTTTTTGATAGGACAACTGCTGTTATATCGCGGTATATAGTAGGAAATATCTCTAGAAAATTATTTCTTTTTTGAAACTAGAGTATTTACCGAAGATACAGTATTTATCGATCCAACAATATACCGGTATACCGAAAATACCAACAGTTCTAATTTACTTAAATATTATAGATGATAATACGGGAAGATCTAAGATTTTCTGGGAGACAGTAACACACGTTAATATGCGTGTTGCCTATATAAAACCCCTTAAAAATGTATATTATACATTTTGGTCTTGGATTAGAACTGTTAACTGATATTGTGCGATTGCAAAATGTACTATCGAAGAATATTGCCATTAATAAATGAAAACTCTTTGTTTATTTATGATTTATTGTACTATTCATTATGTTAATCACTTCAACAATTATTATCATTATTAGTTGGTTGTACGGATTATAGAAACTGAAACAGAGTTTGAAAATCGTTTTTACCATAACTTGATACAGATATCAAGTACTCAAAATGTATTTTTAAAGGTACACTAGATACTAACAAATAAAAACATAACATACAAGATTTTAGCCTAACTTATTAATAGGTAATTTTTTTTAATGCATTTTATATGCATCAATTTTGTTGCAATTTTTTATGAAACAATTTACACATTTAACAATTTTGTTAAAAATTCTGTTTTACGGGTATCACATATTATTATGTTCAAAGGATATCATATAGTATCAATATTTGTATTATTTCTTTTCGAACACCGGTTTCGTCTTTTAATAGAAGTGGCATAATATTTGAACTAAAGATGACAAGTTTTATTCAGTTGGAAATGTATGGAATGAAATTCCTAGATTTTCTTTGTTTGTGTTATTGCAAGTCATAACAGCATAAGTTTTTTGGTGTAATAAAATATTTGTTTAATATAGAAAAAAAGAAACAATTACCGAAGCCGAATGCTGTTGTTATTGATAAATGTGTTCAATTGTTTTGCTATTTTACATTTGGTTTTATATGTTTTATGGCGAAATGAATATAAATTATAATAATTATAATATAAAAATATATAAATTATAATAATATGAATTGGTTATCAAGCACATTAAAGTGATAAGGTGAGAGGGGCTGAATAGGTGACCACATAAGTTCTACAGAGCTCCCGCATTGCCATCTGCACTCTACAGTATTTGATGTAGTGTAGCCCGAATATTCATCTTATTTAGTTATTCACACCTACCGTAAGAGCGCGCCACTATTATAGGTTGTAATAAACTAATATCTAGATAATTCGTTTAACATTTTAAAATACTTATTTTTTTGTATATTTCTCTGAAAATATTTGGGAAAGTACAATCTGAGAATCGCCTTTTATTAATAGTCATATTATATTATACTAATACACCATATTTGAATATATTTATATAAGTACTGGTACACGTATTTCGTATAATAATGTGACTGTATGAAATATTTAAAGTAGGTATACTACCTGTATATTACCTGCGAATAGGGCAATAATATTAGCTTTATTCATAGATTACATTTAACTACAAGTTACAACTTAGTATATATTTTACTACGTAAATATTATACCTCAGAATTTTTTAACTGCTATTATCAGGAAGATTAAATACATTTTTCTGTTATCACTGCAATAGCTCTTGTCTTTTTCTGCCTAAATTATTTATCAAGAAATAATATTATTTAGTTATCTAATTTTTAAGTATCATTTTCGTTTAAAAGTTAAAAGTTTGAGAAATGTCTGTGAAACTAATTAAAATAAACCCGATTTTTCAAACTGACGAATTAAATTTGCTTAATAGCCTACAATATAAATACAAAAATGTATTAGAAAATAAACAGAAGGGCACAAAACCCAAACCTCCCAGTACACGAGGACGTTATTATCAACACCTAGTAAAAAGGCTTAAGTCTAAAAGCCCAGTGTGGATAAAACTCGAAACAGAAGTAACCATAAAGAACTATTGGAAAAGCCGCTGGAAAGATGCTGAAGTGCCTAAAAAACGCAGAGCTGATTGGAGAATCAACCAAGGAACTTCCAGGATACGATTTCCCTCGCTCATTATGGACAACAATGAATAGAACAAGAACTGCTAATGGTAGGTGCAATTACTTACTCTACAAATAGTGCATGAGTGAGTCACCTCTTTGTGGTTGCGGAGATACCGAAACAATCAGACAAATATGATATAGTCGAGACCTGCCCTCAAACATAATTTAACGGGGGTTGAGAAGTATTTACGAAGATGGAAGAAACGCGATTAAATGGCTAAAAAATCTGGATATTCATCTATGAAACAACGTAACTCAACAGTCACCAAATTCTTAGTCTTTACATTATTATATCATATCATTTATTTCACTTAGTTATCAACGTCTTTGTTTATATATTATTTATGTATTCATTTCATTTATATACTAGTTGATCCATTTAAATGTGTACACTCATTATCTGGGAAAGTATTAACTTTTTTCGAAATTTTTTTCTAGAACGTTTAAGAAACAAGCTAGCTGCTCTACAATTATGTATTTATGTTATTTTTTGTCACCTTTATTTTTAGAGGTAAAACCATTAACTACTTTTGATTTTCAAACGGCAACCTATATTGAAAATTCCGTAAATAGATGGAGTATAAGTTAAAATAAATTTCAGTGTTGAAATTTTTAATTTCTGTCAAGCCGTTGACGAGATGTTCCACTTTTAAGTTTGGGTTGGAGGAGAGTAGTGGAGTAGTACGTATCATTTTGTATGACTACGGCGCACGTCATGTTAATAATGCACCACGGAAAACAAGTTCCGAAAAAATTAATACTTTCCGAGCATAATGAGTGTAACCACTTAAATGAATCACCTGGTATGTATTTATTATTTGTCAATTTAATTTCTAACTTACGTGTTATTTATAAGTTTAATGATTACTAACATTTATTGTATTCTTTACTACAACAACGTATGTTAATAGCCATTTGCTAATATAATATGCCAGAAGAATGTTGAACAATAAATAACATCCATTTTTTTCTAATTCCTAAGGAATAGTTTGGCATGATGTTCACCACCTGGACTGCTAATTGATGTATGGGTAACACCGGAAAATGGGGCCATTTCATAAAATTTCCTTTTAAATATTTTTACTTGGTTGCCTTGGGGAAATTTAACCCAAGTTCTTAGATTCTTAGGTATTCTCAAGGAAATATCTTTTAACTACACGACTAACTATCGGTTGGTTTAATTCAAAAATATCATTATTGACCAACTTACAAATTGTATTATGAAAAATAACGATAATGTGATCAGTGACGTATTTTGGGAGGGTGTGTATACTCCATGTCTGGATACCTTCCGACTTAAAAAACAATTGCCTGATATATTGATTTATTATTGATTTTATAATATACTATTAAAAATGTATTATAAAATAAATGGTATAAACATTCCTTATAACTATCAAAATATTTTTATCTTAACCACAAAAGTGAAATTAATTTTAGATTTGACAACAAATTACGAGATTTAATTTACAGTTTATTAGGCATATGCAAGAATTATTTGAATTTCACTGGTTTATTAAAATAATAAAAATAGCAACAGCCGAACATTTAAAATGTTGACTACTAATGTGTGGTTTATTTTTAAATCTAATTTACAGTTTATCAGTTTAGAGAATTATACATTATTAATAAATAATAACACTATTATTATTTTTGTCATTCATTTTTTCGTCGACCATCGTGCTGTTCGCATTAAATAATACTACTGCAAAACTACGTAAGTATTTATTAAAATAAAATAAATAATTATTAATAAGAACCAATTATTGGAGTTAGAAATGATGAAAAAAATGAATCAATGTGTCATCAATTATTATACAATACTAATATTATTTAAAATCTAACGAACAAGTTTTGAATTCTAATAAGTGCTTAAAAGTTTAAAACTAAACCGTCATTACTTGCATGTGAGAATTTCCCTCACATAATTTTTGAGATGAGAACAACCGACTCGCTCGTAGATCAATAATTTGTAAATTAATGCAAAATTCAAATGATAAGGTGGCTAAAGTGAATACCAGACCTTGCTAGCCGTTTACTAATTATTTCCTAAGAACTGTCTAACTTAACAGGTAAATCCTATTTATGAATACTACCAATTACTGTCTATTTACTAACTTTCAGATTTTACTAACAATTTACTTAAGATTTACTTGGATATGTTTATGAATATCAAAATTATGGTTTTAACTAAGTTCACACTAAATTTCCACTTTGTAAATCTATGAATATAGCTGATAGTCGGTCACATTGAACATATGATAATTCATAGCGTATTATATAGACGTGGAGTTATTACACAGGCTATCATACAGTTCAATGATCAATTATTCTGAGACCGTGGGTCAATCATAATTATGTATTGTTATTAGCGTGCGATAACGGTCCGAAATAATAAAATTAGAAGTTTTCTGTAAATTCGTTTATTGTTTTTAATTTTAGAAATTGATTTCATTATCCCTATAATACCCCTCCCCGTGTCAGGACCCCCCTCTGACACCGATATAATTTAAATAAAATGTTGTGCAAAAAAGAGGCATTTATTAATAGATACTTTTTAAATACATATAATTTTTCAGGACCCCTTTAAGAAAAAATTTTAAAATCCGCTACTGCGCCATGCAGTACTTGAATTCCCGGAAAAAGTTAATACTTTACGAAATAATGAGTGTACCCACTTAAATGAATCACCTGATAGATAAGTACCAAACATTCATTATTAAACTTTTTTTTACAGATAATTCCAAAAAAAAAATTTTGAAACACTTAATTCATCTTTAAATATTTTTAGAATTCATCTAAACGCACGGGGGGAAACCGAGGAATTATATACGGAACTGAGAAGAAGAGCCATGAGGAGCTGAAAGTACGTGGTCAATAAATACCTACCGCAAAACGTGGAATTATACAAATTTTTAATTCTGTATTGGCTAAACCCCAGAGGCTAAAATATATACTATTTCAAATTGCCCACTTTATATGAAACCACACTATATCATATGTATCATCACTCCCCTCCCCGCCGCAATGGAATCATTTCAGTTTTTGATTGAGAGGGGGGAAAATTTCGACACATCAACGAAAAAATAACCGCTCGTAAATTAATCTCAATTTATATTTTCCTCTGCGTATTATCATATAAAGACCAATAATAGCTTATTATTCATTTTTTTTTTAAATAATAGAATCTAAATTAATATAGTACCTACTTTAAAGACATTGTTTTTAATTCTTTTATAGGGACTATATTATCTAAATTAGTATTTTAGTAATTAGTAGTTATTATTAACATAGTAAATAGTGTTTTTTTTTTTTATCATAAACTTACTCGAAACAATTTTAAAAAATACATAATTAATTTAATCTACTCATTATGAATATACAATAAATATTAATTACACTTATGATCAGTTTTCATTCTACTACAATAATGCATTACCTATAAATTAAACATCGATAATAAAAGTATCTTTAATCTATTTTGTATCGTCTTGGTCTTTGTAATAACATGTGATAATTAGATCGCGGATTTGTATGCATTTGCATATTTATTCTGGTTGCAAAGTGAGCATAAAATGTGTTTCATGCAGTAACAATTTTTGAAAAAGAAACTTGTTTAGTGCATATTTTTGAATATTTCAACATTAACCCATTTTTTTTTTTTTTTTTTTATCTATTTTTAAGAGCTTATTTTACCAATTCGAATTGTATATTTCATCTTATAGTGCATATTTTGATGTTTATTTAGACGTTTTTGAAATATATACTATTGTAATGTAAGAAAAAAAAATTATTCCATTAATATCAAAATAAATTAATAGGTAAAGACCCAAATATAATCTTAGATCAATAATCGGTGAAATGAAATACGTATACCAAGATAAGAAAATAACGATTACGACGAGTGACCATCATTGTCACTATTTCAGTGGTGTTGTAATATTTACCGTGCACTCGTGTGTGCTTTCTGTGGTAATTCCCGTTTTTATTACGTTATTTTATGCCGGAATGCATAAATCGTCGTTATCCAGAGTCTTATATATTAAAACTACTTACAAAATGACAAAGTGAAAATAAAAATGAAGAAAAGTATTTACAGTAGGGTTCCATAAGGCCACCAAAGTAACGCGATTCGTGATATGACAAGTGACGTGACGAGTGATTTAGCAAGATTTTTTTCCCAATAAATTATTATAATTGTATGTAAGTAAATATATTTGTAAAGTGTCCATGATGGGGGGGGGAGGGGTTGAACCCCCTAACCCCGTCCCCGTGAGCATGACCCTGTAATATTTTCTATATTATGTTATTATAAATTATTAATAATACATACCTTTCCACGGTGGAGAGCTGATGACAAATGACAAAAGTAGAACATGCAGTACTTTTGTCATCAAGAAAATTTCAGAAGTTACGCAAAACTAAAACACGATCTGACAGGTTTGATCAGTGTACGGACATGAATGATTTTTGTATGTGTGTAATGACAAATAACTAGTATGACATGTCCACCTGCTAAATCACTCGTCACGTCGCTTGTCATACCACGAGTCACGTTACATTGGTGGACGCCGGGCCTAATTTTAAATTTATTGTTTTAATAAAATGTTCAAAAATATATTTTTTTTTTTTTTTTGTTCATGCATATTTTAACATTTTAGTGCATATGTTTATGCATATTTAAGATTTTTTAGCGCGTATTTAGTGGTTTTTAATGCACATAAATCCGCGCTCTATCGGTAACTAATATTTTACGTGTCAACTAGTTGTTATTTGAAATTTTAATTCTATAATTTTTTTTTCTTCGGTAATAATAATTATTAAAAATATAAAATTAAAAACAAATATAAATAAATATCATAGCCGTTGCACACTTTTTAATTACGTACAGTAAATCTAACATTTCGTATTACATAAAGTGTGTCGTACTACACACAATTTTAGACCCAGCTTAACAAGAAGACCGGAAGCAATACCTTTTGCAAGTAGTCGAGAACCATCGTCAAAGGTTCCCCAATCTAAGGTCGGACTAGGCCGGCGAGATACCGATCCAAACTCAATGGGCTGTTCAAAATAATTGATTCATGGGCCAATTGCTGATAATTTATAATAAATTGATATTATTATAGATAGTGCGTTACTCACTCAGTCATTAAAAAGCTAATTATTATTCATTTCAATCATATTGTACAGTTGCTGTCTAAAACCATTGATTATATATATATATATATTTAATACCATTTTTCTACCAGAAGAATGGCTCGGATTTCAACGTGTAGCACCTTTTCTGAAAGGAAATCGGTGTGGGGAGATACTTTAAAGAGGACATTTTTCGATTTTCTCAAGAATTTTGTCTTCGAATGCGAAAAACGGGAAAATGTACGAAATATAATATTACGTTTTTCTTTTTCCTGTGCACAACTTTTCAACCAGAAAATTTATTCCAATTTTTAATGATAGAAATGTTTTTTAAAAGGAATGGTGATCTCCTTTGGTCGGTGGCCTTTTGGGGGTCACCAACTAATTATTTAATCACAGAAAATATAAAATACCGGGTCACAGTGTATAAACTATAAAATATGTATTTAAGGGCAGTAAAAAGGTTGAGAAACACTAGTAGCTGGACAATGAATAATTATTTTACCCTCCTACCCATGTTTATTGATGAAAGATCCTCGAATTTAAAAAAGAAAACCAGTTTACCAATTTAACTTACCTTTTAACGCCTTTTACAAAACCAGTTAAATTTATTTATTTACATTATTGTTAATATTCAAGTTAATAGATTCTATTTATCTTTAACATTGCCTATGATTATACTGTAAAGACTAGAAGTCTTATAAACTACACGCAATCCTTTATTATTGGTAGTGACTCCTCGCTCCTCGTTTTATCTTAAGTACTCTATATCGTTTTCATAAAACATTATTCCAAAAATTTATCATTTTTACCTACTCTCCTGATATGTGTAACCCTCGGTTTTATTTAGAACAATTGTGTGTAGTACAGGGGCGTATATAGGATTTTATTGAGGAGGGGGATATAAAATTTTTTTTTGTGTTGATGCAACCTCTTGTTAGTTACTCCATGTAAGGAGTTACAATTAAAATATATTTTATTATATTGCAATGTATGCATTTAAAATTTAATAAATTAGACTTACCTCATTAGTTTCATATGAATCTGTGCGTGCTTTTTTATTCGTTGTAAAATATGATAATAAATTATTACTACTTGGTTTTTTTGATGCCATTGAAATATAACTTTTTCAATTTTATAACTTATTTATTAACCAAAAAAAGAATTACATAAAAATAACAAGTGTGCAATGGCAATGCGGATAAATCGTTGCAATGAGTGCGGGAAAGTGGAATGAGGTGCCAATGTGTAATATGCGATGCACAACGACCGGAATGATTAGAAAATAATATTTATTTTAAAATTTACGAATTCCTTATCGTCTTCTGTCCGCTGTCGCAATTATTTTCGTGTTCTACGTATATAACAGTATAATAGCAGTGAGCTATCTTTATTCTTTATTAGGTACTAGCGGGTTTTACCCGGCTTCTCCCGAATATGGTCCTATTTTAATTTTGTTGTTATTATTGTGTAATATCATTCGCAGCCCACAGGATAACAAAATTATAAATAGCATCAGTACTGCAGCCATGTAGCCGTGTTTATACCTAAATTTAAAAAAAGTGCAAGGGAGGGGATCTGTCCCCTATATCCCCCCCCCCCATAAATACGTCACTGCTGTAGTATTATTTTCTCGGTGCACTTCAGTTGCGTCCCGTAAAAAGGGATACATGAATTGCGTCCCACTATATTGGTTAGGTAGTAGATTTTTATTTCGTTTTCAGGGGTTCTCCATGATGCATTAATTATAAGGGAGTCTGATATTATGCATCGATATATTATAATACGTGTCTAATTTTATAAATTACGATAATGGATGGATTTTGTTATCGATGATAAGCAACAATAATCAAGTTCATATCATTATTATTACTATTATTATTTTTACTGGCATTTTGATTTATTATTATTGTTATTATTATTTATTTATTTATTTTGTGATATTACGGGCTATATTGACTTTGATTATTAGATTTAAGCGATTTAACATTTATTCATTTTTTTATTACATTTGACCAATTTTTGATTGACTCGTGAATCATGTTTATATTTATAATTGTTATTTATTTATTTTAGTTTAAGAACCCCTGATTAAAATACACGAATTGCGTCTTGGATTTTTCGGGACGCGATTCGTGTATACCTTTTTTTTACGGGACGCAACTCATGTGCTCCCTTATTTTCTTAACTAATAGTTTCCTTAGGTTATAATCCAATTATTTTCCAGCCATTGTATAGCAGAGTTAGTCGCCGTGTTTATGTTTCGATTTGAATTTTGAAAGAGCACGCCATCACGGTTACCGCACGAGTACCGTTCGCAGTCATTTCGGCGACCGTAAGTGGTCACACTACCGACGGCCGAACGCTTCTTCGAATTGGCGGCAAAATTTGTCCCGTACAATAGTACAACAATTGGCGGGCTACCGGCCGATAAGGTCTGTATTCGATGGCATTGACAGTCCTACGGCATTTGTTCGTCATCGCTCACGTCGTCCCCTCGTCCTTCATAATACCCAACCTCATAACCTACACAGCAATACCCTCGTTCGCCGACAGCATGCCGAGCCCCCTGAAGAAATCCAAATTGCTGGACGCGGCTGACGTTCCCGTTCCGTCGTTGGCCAACAAAACGTCGGAGGACAACGTTTTGTCGTTCGCCAAGCTCACCGAACACGCGTTCCCGCCTGTTAAGGGCAGCGAACAAGCGGCCGGTCTCGATCTTAAGAGGTGAGCGATTCTTTTATCCGTGGGCGCCAATGCGCCCGATTTCCGGTATCGAAATTAATCCGTTACTCTGAACAAAACAATTTCGGATTAGCGAGTTTGCCAAACACAATATAGGCACGTCGCGCATTACTCGGTATTACACGTGTTGTTAGGTTAGGGTTTTTGGCGCGTTTTTTTTTTCCTTTGTTTCTAAACTTTTTGTCGTCCGCAGTGCTTACGCGTACGTCGTTAAAGCTCACGGCAAAGAGCTGATCAAAACCGACTTGCAAGTACGCGTGCCGCCCGGCACCTACGGTCGCGTCGCCCCCCGTTCTGGTCTCGCTTGGAAGAACTTCATTGATGTGGGCGGTACGTACCTATACAATATATTTCCATTCGTTCCTACTCATTCAATTAATAAATATATAATTGACTATTTCACGTGTAACAATATCGACAGTTTTTTTTTTTTTATTTTAGCCGGTGTCATCGACGCAGACTACAGGGGCAACGTAGGCGTTATATTGTTCAATCATTCTGACGAAGACTTTACGGTGAATCCTGGTGACAGAGTTGCCCAATTAATCTGTGAACGAATTGTCAGCCCTAGACTGATGGAACTCGAGGTACCTGTTGTGTTTCATAATAAATTAATCACCCATGTCTTAATGAAAAAAATACCAATCGCTTATGATGATAATAATATTTTTCAGACCCTGGATGAAACCATCCGTGGTGATGGTGGATTTGGATCTACGGGCACCAATTGAATTATGTCACTACTAAATTATTACTTTCATATATTATGTTTGATAAGTTTTTTTTCTCTTAACAGTAACTAATCGTTTTGTAATTATTATATTAATGTTTATTGAAAATCCATCATCTTATAAGAAGCTCAACATATGTTTTTTAAAATTTTTATATACAACATTAATTAAAAACTATTGTACAATTTTTTTATTATTATTATAAATACAATATTTGTTACATTTTTATTTAATTGTATTAATTCAGTTGTTTTAAGTATTTAAATTAAACTATTCTATAAGTATAACGTGTTCACATGTAAACACACCAAAAACTATGTTACTGACTACACAGAAGGGACAAGTAAAAATAATTAGCTATAACATACATTTTTCATCAAAACAGATAAGTATGTTCAATTTTAATGAGAGGCACTTTTTTTTTATCCGTAAGCACAACTTAGGGGTTACCAAAATTTTTAATCTCATAAATTGACTATTTATTTTATTAATTCATAAACAAATTCAATTCCGTTCAATTTCTAGTACATTTATAATAATGTTAATTTATTATGAAAAAGTAACAATTTTTAAATTAATGAGCTTAATCAATAAGGTAACAATATTTGAGAATAATTAGAATAATGTATACAATAATAAATAAATATATAGACAAACAATGAATTATAAGTTAAATACAAATTATACTTAATGTTATGGTTAGATATATTGAAGTTGATCAGATTTAATATAAATGAATCATTAATTTCATTATTTAATAATTTAAAGAGAATAGAGTTGTAAGTATTCTATATTTTTTTTTAAAGTATTTTTAATATTCCTAGAATGTGGGGAGTTCTATCTATATTGCAATTGCAGCACATAAAGCGAAGTACTTTATTTTGAACTTTTTCAGGTTTATTATTATCCCAGATTATCAGTGCGTATTTCATTAAAGATAAGATAAGAGAAGTATATGGACATTTGAAAGTAGAAGGACATGATCAGAAGTTGGTATAATATTGCTAATATCCGAAAATCTGATTTTTTTTTTACAGCTTCAGTTTAAACTTAAATTGTATATATAAAAAAAAAATATTTTTATACTATGATAATAGTAACTTATAAGCCTTGCATTCAAATTTTGAGCTTTTATGAAGAGCCAACAAATTTATCATTATAATACCGTATACAGGGTGTACTACAAAAATATATCCATTGTAATATCTTCAGAGATTTTTAATAAAGATAATCAAATGCTGTTTTTTTAAATATTCACAGGGATAAAGAATATAAATATTTATATTTAAATTAATATTTTGATTTTGTAAAACACTTTAAAAAAAAAATAAGTTTTAAGTTTATTATTTAGGCAGAATGCAACCTGTATAGTATTCATATTATTATATAATATTATTAATAGTAAAAATCTAAAATTAAAAAAATATAAACTACTAGAAATAACTAAAATATGACAGAAATATCCAAAATTATACCATATATAAAAAATGATAATTATTCAGTAGAAATGTATGGTATCTACAATAATTTGTCAATGAAAATAAATTGAAATCAAAATTTAACTGTATCTGTTATTACATAAATATTAAAGATCCTTCAACTGGTATTTTCTTTCCGCTTTTTATCAATTGAGAAAAATTCAATGTAAATCAAAAATAAACTAGACAAGATTTGCGACTAGAATCCAACCCTGAAGATGATGGTAGCAAAATTTCTAGTTGAAAAGTTGATTAGTCTATAAAAAAATATACTGTAAAACTGAAATAATTTAATAAATCCAAGTCTTTAACATTACAGAAAATCATATTCATACAAAAATTTGGTCTCAAAAAACTACTAAGCTTTAAAGTCAAGGATCGTTATTCATTACATAATAAACTCTTTTGAGTTCAAAACTAAAAAAGTCAAGATCATATTGTTCTTGTATGTATAATTGTTTAAACATTTTATTTTAATATTAGCTAATCTTTCATAGCTTTTGCCATGCATAGTTTTGAAAACAAAAATATTTAAAAAAATAAAACGAGACTTCTTAATAGTTTCTTATTGATAAATAATTGTTTTAATTGTAGTCGTTCATCATGCGCAAGGCAGTTTATTCTTATTTGTAATAGAGTATATGCTATATAATAGTGGTCTCACAATATAAACACCATAGCACCTAAAGAGACAGCTGCATTTTTAATCACATCCTTCGTTCATACTACTTCACCGTCTAAACTACCATACCTTATTTTCAATACAAGATACTATATAGTCTACCCTAACCCACAACCATCAGTGAATTACTATCAGTGGTTATGGAAGGAAAAAATCGATAATATGTACACATCACGTCTATTTTATTAATAATATTATTAATTAAATAATATTATAATTTTATTAATTATATTAATTGTATTTATTTTAATACTAAGTTATATTTAAAACATTTATATTTGAAACATTGGCATTCAATGTTTACAGAATATAAAAGAAGAAAACAAAAATGTTAATTTATAAAACAATATATATATATATATACTACAAACTCGAATATAAGCAAACAAAATTGTTATTAGTTACAGCTATTATATATTGACCACTAGAATGTACTGCACACTTGGCAATCACTATATCATAGACATCCACTTCCAATTTTTTCTTCTTTTTTAAAAAACTGTCATGAAGTTTGGGCCATTTCAGAATGTTTTCCACTTCTATGACCTTTTCATTGTTTATATTTGATTTTCTTAAGTCCAAGTCTTTTAAATTGTAAATCCATATGCTACCTTTATCATCTCCACACGCTAAAAGTTTGCCATCTATATGCAGTTGTAAAACAATAATTATATGAAAGGTTGATAGGTTTATTATTATTTATTATTACACATACCAAGACCGATTCCACAGCTCATAAAATAATTGTCTGTATCGCTCCACTTCAGTATGTATGAAGGATGGACCACACACTTGTTATCATTGATTTTAGACAGCGCTTGGTCTAAATTAAAAACATATATGACTCCGTGCAATGCGACTTTAGTGGCGATCCAGCTGTCTTTGATTATTTCAATTGAGTCTATCACATTTTCATTCTGATTCCTGTAGAGTTCATTGGGATTTTCGGGAAGCTCAAATGACATTAGTTGTTGATCTTGTCTAAATATACATAAACGTGTTTAACATCATAAATCAGATAAAAGTTATTTTAAAATTATTATTTAATCTGTGATTTATTCCATTATACTTTTGAGAGTTATTCCATCCCATCAATCCAACGCCGGAGGCAATGAGTAAGCAATCACAATTTTGGCAAAATGCTAAGCCAAATATTTCACATTTAAGATCAACGATAGACAACTGCTTTAGGTCTACAACACGTCCTTTATCAATATTAAATTCAAATACGTATACATGACCATCATTTAGGGAACCTGGAAAAAAGATGAAATTGTTATTGTAAGGAATAACTAAAGAAATAATTAAATTATAATTAATTTTTCTGCAAAGAAATACTTACAAAACAATTTTTTTTCTTCAGGATGAAATAAAACGGCACTAATAAATAACTTTGAGGACCCTGAAAGACTGAAGTGATAGTATGCTGTTTTGGTTGACAGATCTATGAACACAATAGAATTATTTGTTCCTGCGGTGGCCAATATTTTTTTTTTTGTCTGGTCAATTGTACTCCACGATAATGTATACAATAGTCCTCTAATTATTAAAATATCAAAAATATAATAAATTATTAATAGGTATCAGGAACTTGCTTACATGCAGTGCTGAAAGATTGATTTGTGGGGCCTGGTGCAATTTTGTGTTTTATCGCGGGAGCCTTAGTATTTAATTTGAAAAGAAATAGTCGGACATTCAGCATTTCTTTGAATACATTTTTATATTTTTACAATAACAGTTTTTAAAAAAAGATGCAAGTTAAAATTATTTAATATTCCTTAATAACTTTATTCTTTATTATGTATACCTAATTATACAATTTTCATAAATAAATCACCATTAAATCATGCACTTAAATACAAAATTTTAATATTTTTAACAATATATTTATATTTATAATTTTCTATGGTAATTTTCAAATGCATACAACATTTTTTTCTCAATCAATTTTTTCAATTTTTTTTTTTCTACACAAATTTAATATACATAAGCCAGATAAATGATCCTCATTCGTTTGTACAACTGTTTTTAACGTTTTTAAACGTCATATCTGTTATAGAATGGATATAGTCTCGGGTCTAATTTAATTCTCGGTTTTTAAAACATACAATATGAATGATCATTTATTGTAATGCCTTGATAGTTTATATTTAACTCTGGGTTATAGGCACCTCTTGAGGTTATGCCACCTAACGATATAAAGGTGTTATGAAATTTACTTTGGACAAGAATATCTGTATTCTACTATTCCAGTTTCCACGTTGATGACGCAAAGTTTGTTGCCACCACACGTAGCCACCAATCGAGATGTTTTTATCGGGTCAAACACGGCCTGCCATACCTTTCAAATAAATAACACACCGTAAGATCAACTGTTTAAAACCAAATGCGATAATAACCCGACGACATAAAGACAGATCTCACCTGGGTGGAAACGTCTGCTGAATCTTTGTCGGTCCTCGAATGACACCTCAAAAAATTGGTGGGAACGTACTGCATAATCGCACAATTACTTAACGACTTTCCGAACGGTTAACGTTTAACAATAAAATACTTAATTCACAGAAATACTGAAATCATAAAATATCTCTAAAACGAGTTACGATTTGACGAGATCAAATTCGAAAATACCGAACATATTTGGATGGAAAACAAAAATACATACATTTCCCTCCTTTTCGACTGTGATAACAATTTGTTTTGGTGACTAATCTAATCATAGACATGTTAATATGTCTATAAATCCAATCTCCGATGCACAAGATTTATCAAGATATTCGTCGGTACAGACCGGTGTAAATTTCCCCTTGAAAATCAAACCGGTGTGATTATGAGGAATTTTTCGGAGTAACCGGTGTTAAAACCAACGCCACCGGTGTGATTTTTCTGCATGTGGTGCAAACTATTTACACCGGTGTCGTCCCCTCTCGTTTCCCTTTCAAAATAATAAACGAACAGATAAATGATAATAGTAATAATAATTTAATTGACAACAATTATTACCCGTTCGAATTAATTTTTATTTAGTACTTATTAGCGGGAAACGGGAAGCACAGTACACGGGCAATACACTAATAATTTAAATAATCGATTAATATTCAATCGATGTATTTCGTATGGAATTATCGTTGTTAATTTTTGGACAATGGTCGGTGATACACCTATTTCGATCGTCGAATATCTTATGCCGGTGTAAGCTATTCGGCATCCAATGTCAGTAAACCGGTACAAAATGCATCGGTACGCCGGCTAGTGCCAACGAATTTCTAGTACATCGTGGTTTAAAACGTATGTATAATACATTATATACACATATAATGTGTTGGTATTATTTATATTGTCTTAGACCGCGATGGTCCACGGTCTATGTGAACGGCCACTTCGTCCCCCGGCCAGACCCTTCAACGGGTTAACTAAATACCCGAGATCTAAATGATACGAAAGCATCCGGTTGATCAAAAATCTGATCCGTGGGAATGGTGAATGGTGATTAGGGATTTAGTTAGGCCGGGGCGCTATAAACTAGGCTAAGGCCAAGGGTCCATGGTGCCCCGGTTAGGCCCGGGACTAGGTGACCGTTCACTCTTTTTCACTTTTGTTTGATTTTTCCGTGAAATTGATTTTTACGATAACGATTAGCTGCAATGAAATCGATAACAATCGAAATGTTATCGCCGTTATCCGTGTTATTCTCACGTGTTATTTTTGATTGCAGTTATTAGTTTATCTAATCTCACTCCGGATATTATTTAAATTTTTCAAACAATATACCTAGGCTTGTATCAAAATTTCTACAGTTTTGGTGTAACGAAAATTCTACGAACAACGATGACGGAAGAAAACGTTAAAACCGTTGCCGTGCACATGGAAAATTTGGACGGTCATCCTCAATGCGCCCACGGTAAATATTATCCACATTGAGGTCTATTTCACTAATTGATTCTGATCTGTAGCTAATTAATGACATTTTACTTTTATCCGTTCATGCATACTATGGCAATGGTCGATAACTGTGTAACTGTCAAATGAATGACTTAGATGTCAATAATTAAATACATTTTTCAGTCTCTCATTGCTAACATTATAACCGCAATATTATTCCCAGCAATTAGTGACTTAGTTTATTATTGATTCGACGATCTTATTTGTTATGAATTGTCAAGTATAATTTCTTTTTTGTGTATTTACAAATGGCTTAAAAATTTTAATGACTGGAACAAGTCTTGTTGAAAACTTATTGACAAACAAAAATTATAAAAATCAGAAAAAAAATTATATATGATTTAGTAAAACTAACACATTTCTTTAAAATCGAAATTCTTAAATTAATTAATCATGTTTTTAAGGACCGACATTGTTATTTTCTCGAGGATTGGACAACAAAAAATTTTATTCTTGTTCAGCACACAGGAATCGGAAAAAATGTTCTTTCTTTATATGGGAAAATCAGGTTGAAACAATTGGACAAAAGTTCATGGACCAATATGAAAAAGACCCCATCATAACCAAAATGATGAGATACAAATTACAATCCAGGTGATATACATTAGTAAAGTATTATTTTTTTTTTTATTTGTGTAAAAGATATTATTTAAATTGTTCAACCTAATTTCTAACCATGTTGTTTAATAGACACATTTACAATTGAGAGCTTAAAACAATTATTTTTAATAAGTATACAAATAATGGAGCATTTTTAAAGATTTTTATTGAAATTATAATCTAATATATTATTATATGTAACTGCTAAATTATTTTTAAAATTAACACTATATATTCTTTTTTTACCCAACTGTTATTAGGTATAATAAAATTAAAAATTTGAATCCAGAAGAAAGATGCTTCTGCCAGAAATGTGGTGAACTTTTTTCTAAAACAGAAGAGGATTTACATATAGACCACAGTGAAATGTTAGAAGAAAACATAAATGATTTTAAATTATCGCACCCTTCTCAGGTATAAATATTAAAGTAATTAATAATCATTAGTATATTACGAGTTATATTTTATATAATATTACTCACTAAGTAGTATTTGAAATTATCGTATTCTACTGATTAAAATAATATTTTATGAGAATCATTAAATTTCAAGTAGTAATAAACTAGTTAATGATGAATCACCCTGTATTAAAATATTTCATTATTAGTTGTTTAGACCACTTCAGGAGTCAAAAAGTGAATCTCAGTATTTTTTTACTGAAAACACAATTGAAATGTTAATTAAAATGTTCCGTTCAGTTGGTACAACACACATTATTTGTATCGGTGCGCCTACTATACATGAACGAATATCATATAGCATACCCAATATGAGTTGTATATTGCTTGACATCGATCATAGATATGTAAGTTAGATAATTTATATTTTTTTTTTTTTCGTAGAGAATAGATTACTTAATATTTTCTTTGTTTTCAGTTGCAATTTTACGAAGGGGACCGTTTCAGATGGTTCAACATGTACAATTGTCATATACTCGAGGAATGTGACTCAGATTTTATATTGGAGGACATTTTGACCAAGGTAGATTCTACTGCCGTGTTTATTGATCCTCCATTTGGTGGAAGACTTGAACCCTTAGCATATACCCTTAATAAATTTGATCAAATCAGAAAAAAATACAACAAAAATGCATTATCAAGTAAAATTATTTCTCCTTTTAATTTTGTTTAAACTAATACTGAGTAGTATGATTTACTTTCCAGAGTTTTTGGTACTACCATATTTCATGGAACGTTTTGTGATCGACAACTTGCCTGAGATGTCAATGTTGGACTATAAAATTGATTATGTCAATCACAAAAAGTTTAATAGTTCTGGTTTGTATAATTATTAATTATATTATACACAATATATTCTTATACAATGTATTCATAATAAATTATATAATGCACTGTGTGTTACACTATTGATATATTTTATTAATAATATTCATCAAGTGATTAGTATTAATATATATTGTTTTCATATTTGCTTAGGGAGGAATAAAGGATCTCCTATCAGGATATTTACCAATGTAGATCAATGTAAAATAGCGTTACCAACCGAAGAAAATTATAAATTCTGTGACGATTGTAACCGTTGGGTATGCTCAGAAAATGTGCACTGTTATAAGTGTAATAGTTGTACATCAAAGGTAAAAATATTTTTTTCAGTATACTGTTGTTTAGAAATGCATGCTTTAAAGTATCATAAATATTATTGTGTCTGTAATAAAACATATCGTTGATTGAAATTTGAAATCTGCAGTAAAACCATATGTACCCCCTGTTTGTTTTTGCAACAAATTGTCTGTAAGCTATTAATTCTTATGGAGTATAATAATTTTATTTTACAGAACGGCCGTGAATATATACATTGTAATTTGTGTAAGAAGTGTGTGAAAAGAACATGGAAACATTGCAAGCAATGTAATAAATGTTGTCTTATTGAACATATATGTAATCGGTTTCAAACTGTAGTAAGTATAATACAAAATTGAAAATGACTTAAATTTAATTTTATATTTAATACAATGCTACATAATATTTATAATGCCAAAAGTGTGATTATTGCAATGCATGTATATTTATTTGTACTCTTTTCCCGCTTTACGAGCCAATATTCATAAAACTAATTTAGTTATTACAAAAAGTTAATCCATCTGCCATTATTTTAAATATCATACACATATTCATAGCTGGCAACTTTTTCTCTTGAATCAAAATATTATAAAGTAATAATAATGATGTAGTGATTTAAAATTTATGAAATTAACTTCTATATTTTATAATAAAAGCCTAGTAATTCTGATTCTATCACAAATTTATTGTTCAGTTGGTTAAAGAACACACAATTTTGATCTTGTAATTTGGTAGCATGATAATATGATATTTAAAAATTATTTATTAATTAATTTATAAATTTATTATTTGTATTTCACAGAGTAGAGTAAACAATAAATTCAAGAAGAAAACAAAAATTGGGCATAAAACATGATTATATTATTTAAATCTTATTTGTTGTTATCAAAAATTATCATTTAATTATATAAAAATTAATTCAAAATACATGTATTCTGTTTCATATATTTTTTTGTTTTCCAGCTATTTTATTACTAACAAATAGCTATTATTATACTGCTATAATAAATAGCTGCCAGTTATTTAGAGCTATTTAAGCTCTCCGGACTACCTAAACTTGTCCTTGTCCGTTATTTCGATGTATCCGCTATTTAGAGGAGTGCAATTCAATAATACTTCAATGGGGCTGTGCTGGGACCAGAAAATTTGTCCGCTATTGAGAGGTATCCTCTGACTGACTAGACCACTCATTTCCGCCCCTCTAATTAATAAAAAACTGTTGATTCAAACCTACATACTGCTCTTTGAAATTTATTAGTGCCCTTAATTTAAACCTAAAACCTAGTTACCCAACTGCAGTACTGCCTATAGTTGTTAAAGAGCTACCGCAGTTTTGAATAAAGTAGATGGGAAATTTAACCCATCTATTGGTTACCTGATAATGCTTCAAAAATATGAATGTTCTAAAATTTAAATGTAAACCTAATAGAACGCAGGTTAATTTATAATAAAGTACAAACAAATGAGTACCTACCTGTAAGTATCTACTTACAGACAGTATTTAACATAGAGGTTCTAAAAGTACCCGTATTCACAAAATATGTACACGAACCACCCAAAGAAAAAAAGTCATCATTTTATCATTTTAAAAATGATATCAACACCCTAAAACCTAACTACAAAGATAAAAATATAATATAGCCTAATTCCGCATACAAAATACAGCGATGGTCTAGTGCACAGATGTGTTAAGTGAAATTTGTTGAGAAAATGAGTTAATTGTTCTATATAATTCTCAATTCCATTTTTCATGTAATTTAAAAATGATGTATGCGTTTGTTTAATATTTTATCTAATAGATGGCATTGCTGTTTGAAAGAAATACTGTGGTTTAAAAACGTACCATGTTCAAATGTGGTATATTCACTTACAACAAAAGTATTTTTACATTGAAATAATATTGGTAGCACAATTATGGCAAGTGCTCATTTACGACATTTCTATTACTCAATTAATATAGATAAATGACAACCTAATGTTATTAAAAGTATAATTTTTTTAAAATTGAAGGTAAAAATAAAGTAATAAAAACTATAATTGTGTTAATATTAAGTTATGTGTTCATCATACTAAAATCAATATGAACAAACGCGGTAAGTACTTATGATTTAAAAAAAAACTTAATATTATTCATGTAATTGTTAAGTTCAAACATGTTAAAAGACTGAATAACCAGTGTTGAGCATTATCTAGATAAATTATCTAAATAAATAATTAACTATCTTTTATCTTATCTAGATAAAAAAAAAATTAGTTTTCTGATGAATTTCAGCTTATTTATGTTATTTCTAAATTCCAATAGAAATTGTAGATTGTAGAATCTAATATAAATTGACAAAAAAAATTGCAGATTAATTTAAAAAAATTTTATCTTTTTTTTTGTCCAGATAGTGTTTTATCTTTTATCTTTATCTAGATAAATTATATCTAATTATATTTAATCTTTAGATACATTTTTAGTTATCTTTGTGCAACACTGTAGATAACTACTATTTAACTATTGAATTGAACCAAAAATTGGCCATTTACAATTTTTATTAAAGTGTAAACGTTCAAATGCCTAAACTAAACAATTTGTTAAATTTTACTTACCACATCTGTGCACTAGACCACCGATAGTATCATACCGCACAAATTTATTAAAACCAATACAAATTGAAAATTCTGTATTAAATTCAAATTTCATAAAACCAAAATTACGCAATCCAAATTAAAATTGTGGTGTTACATCAATATAATTACAAATAATTTTTAGCAATAAAAATCTAATAATTTAAATATGAATATTGTAGATACATGTATTTGTTTAAAATTTAAACATTTTTTTTTTTTTTTTGTAACATTCCATTATACCTAGTCAGCTTGTTTGTAAAAACGAGCATCTAGGAACCTATTGTTATACCGAATTGGCCTCTTGTTCCCGATCAAATTTCCGCTGTATTGCTTCAGTTCCCTTCTTAATTTCTGAGATTAAATGGTTCGAAGGCTGAAAAATGAAAGCTCGCTGCAAATCTGTACACTGTGGATATCTCAGATCAAAATAATACACGAGTACATAATCTAAGGCGGACACAATCGTTTACTGCAGATGGGGGTGGATAGGCCCGTGAGGAAAAAGGTATTTTCTCTGTGGGCCCCTGTCTATGTTTATGTCGGAGGCCCCCTCGGGTCTGCACATCTTTTTTCGTGTAATATTCACCAAATAGGAATATTTAAAACTATAAATGATTTATTATTTAATATTGCTGTTTTTAATAACATGATAACACGTCAATAATTTTCTTGCGGATTTTTTAACATGAGACTATGTGAACATTAATAATGGTATTTAAAATTGTTACTGTTAAATGAATGACCGTAATATCTGACCGACCGCCGGCCGCGAACACCGCGCGTTCTATCCTGATACGGGCGATACGAAATACAAATTTGTCAGAAACGATTGGGCATTTAATATCTATTTTTGATACATGTGTTATTATTGTCTTTTTGTTATCCGCGATCGTATCATTCCGTATTCCATAGTCGACCGTTTTCATCGTGCGCGTGTAATGTGGAAGCAGTGTGTCTTGTAATTAAAACTTGGTTCTACGATTTCCACGTTTGGGAATATTATTAAGTTAAATAACAATATAAGATCGTGCATTCATGTTAATGATTTGTTTATTTTTATTTTCGTACTACCTATTTGTGATTTCAAATCTAAGAGTTAAAACAAGGTATCTAAGTGTATAGTGTATACCTAAACCTAACCATAAACTATAGCAAGTGGCAACTACTAACTTGGTATTTTGGTTTTTGTTAATTATAATGAATACTAAACGCAAATATTAATCCGGTCAGAAAAAACGTCAAGAAAGAAATGGAGAATTATTGTTGCAATGTGGAAATAATAAAAACCAAATGAAATTTATTTTTTTCAAAAGGTGAGTTCAATTTTTAAATAATTATGCTTCAGCACTTATGTTAATATTCTAACTTTTAATTAATAATAAATAATGTAGTTAGCAAGTAGTGAGGAAGACCTACAACTTTTGGTGTAAAATTATAAACATATTACAGTGCCGTATTTATAATTATGGGAGTGATATTGGGGATAGATCTGCTCCCTTTCCCTTGTTTTTTAAGAAAAGTTGTTTTATTATTAAATTATTATTCTTCTAAGTAAATATGATGAAGTTATAAAATGTCATTTAGATAAAGTTATAAAAAAAAGTACTAAGAGTCACAATGCAGGTTCTTCTCAAGGCGGTGGGGTTATAACACTATTGTCAAAGACTCTTACTATTAATTGCATTATTGAAGTTATCTGTCAAAAAATCAAAGTTGTAATGTCTGAAGAAATTTTAATGGCCGGTATATATACCGGCAACTCCACACAACTCAAGATATGTCCGTAGTTGATCAATGTTCAGTTATTATTTGCTATGTCAGTGGTACTATTATTCATGAAAGATTAGTCGGTATTTTCAAATATACCTCTATTAAAGGAATTGATTTTGAAAGTTTTCAATAGCTTGAACTTAGAACCCAAAAAGTGTGTTGGTAATTTTACTGACAGAGCAGCAAATATGCAGGGAGAGTACCATGGATTTTCTGCTCAGCTGAGTAATGTGGCAAAAAATCAAATGCATATTAGGTGTTACACTCATGTTTTATGCTTAGTTATTGGTGATGTAACTAATAAAATTCTTCAGTCAATTAATTTGTTTGGAATACTCAATGGATGTGCTGTTTTTATTAAAGAATCCCATAAGCGTATAGATTTGTACGTCACATCGTAATATTCGAAGGGTTTTAAATCAATATTAATTGTAGTACATTCTTATTGAAATTGATACCTAGTGCTCAGATATAAAAACAAAAGATTAGAAAGAACTGATTTTTTAAGTATATTTTTATTATTTATTAAATTTAGTTGCACATTATGACTAGGTAGGTACTTTATTGTTAAGAAAAAAAATAGTTAGATGCGTTGTGAATTGCGAAATGATAACATTCAGTTGTTTAAATTGTTTACAATGTGTATTATTGATTTTGCTCATAAATTTAATTCTTGTTATAATAATTAATTACTTAGGTATCTATATAACCTAAACTATATTCTTAATTTTAAATAAATATGTGGGTAGTTTACATTGGATGTCTAATACAATCATTTTGTTTTGGTGAAAAAATATATTTTTGGATATAATACAAATAAATCAAAATAATTATGTAGCTCTTATAGTGTTTTATTATTATTATTATTATTATTAAAGATTTATATATTTTAGGAGGTTAGTGATGCATATTATATTTCTATCTTCTTCGCCATTGAATATTATTATCTGCAATATTCATAAACCTTATAAATGAACGTTATATCTATATCGTTAAATATAGAATATTATAATATTAATTAAGAAACTTTGGGTAAATTTTATAATGTTCTTATTTTACCGAGAGACATTTTTTTTAATTCTCCGCAATACATTTTTGACCAAAATGCTTTATCAAATCGAAATTAATATGTTTAATTAGTGCATTGTGGAAGTAATTAATTTTTATTCTTTGTTCTTTTCTTAATAATGATAGAACACCAAAAAAATAATTATCACGAATAGAAAGACTTATATACGGTCTAATGATTTAATAATTTTGTTAAACTATAACTTTATTTAAAAGGTATTATTTTTTCTTTATATTATTTAAATTTATAAATATTATATTATTATTAAAATGGAAGATACATAGTATTAATTTGTTCATTGTATCATGCAGCAAAACGCCACATACAAATTTGGCTTCTTTTTTTTATTTTTGTGTATATTTTTTCTCAGATTTTATTTTTCGTATTTTTTTATAAATAAAAACAGACATTTAGTTATATTTTATAAAGTGAGGCATACATAGACAAAGTATATTTTTTAGTCAAGTTCTGATCGTTGTCCATTAAGCATCAATTGAACATTAACCATCAGCTGATACGGTTGTATTATTTGCAAAATATTATTATCGTTTCTTTCATTATGAATTTTATAGATTTATTAAAATACTCGAATGATTTTCCAAATTTATTATATAACATTCGTAAAAGTCAAAATCCAAAATACCCAGAGCTAACTACATTTGCATTGAGACTCATAACATTCGATTTATTCACTCTGAAACATTTGAACAAATTGCCAATGTGTGAAGTTGGTTTCGAATTCCTAGGTGCTGTAGACTGTGTTCAATGTTTTAATTATGGACTAATTCTTCATGAGTGGGAAATTAAGGACGATCCTTGGAAAGAACATGCGTATCATTCACCGGTATGCTCGTTCGTACAACTTAAAAAGGCAACCAATTCATAGAATTTGTTATTCGTGAAAGCAAAAGGTCGTATGCGACTGTGGGTTTAACCAGAAAGATTATGATACAGTTGAATAATTTGTGACTATGTAATTATCATATGTCTAAGTAGCAAATGTATCATAATAATATTAACCACGTTCTCGGATGTATATTTAATAAACTGTACCTATTACTTAAATAAATATTTATACTGTTATTATTTTATGTGGTATGATGGCTTAGTGGATTAATGTGGCTGATCATTATATACGTTCAAATTCAATGTTGCCAGGAGCATAATTATTTTATTCGTGTGATAATATTATGAAAAAGAAAACAAGAAAATTACACTTTTTCAAAAAATTACTCATAGGGTATTTGATACCATTCGCTACTTTGTAATGACACCTATGCTCGTATTCATTTTAAAAATCTTTATGGTCGGTCAAAACAATTTTATCAGTATAAAACCAAATAACTCGATAGTTTAAAATGCTTGCAAATAGTATTAATTTTTTCCTTTATTACGCAACAAAACGCCACATAAAACTAAAAAAATTGGCCTTTTTTCATGTTCCTTCTGTCACATAGAAGGCTTATTTTTATTTTTTAATAATTTAAATAATATTTTATTTACCAATGTTTTTTAACTGGTTTTATTAAATTATATTTTTTTCTATTGTACGTGGTAAATTATTTTCAAGTTTTAGTCGTGGATTAGCCGTTAAATAAACATATGCGATTATTTAATAAACATTTAGAAAATAAAACAACATTTAAATTATTAAAAAAATAAAAAGAGGTCAATTTTATAAAGGGCATTTTACTGTGTGAGAGAACTAGAGAAGGAACAAATTAATACTACTCCTGCATAAGTAGCTTATTATCAAATATTTTGAAAATAGTACTACATCTAGAAAGGACTAATATAAGACGCGTTCTATGAATTTATAATGTCTCTGCACGATTATTTGTAACTAAATTACAATTAAAAAAACAAAATCAAAAATGATGAAACCGTTCTTTCTGTAAACTGTCCTATTTTCCATTTATCCAAGTTATTAAATGTAATTAATAGAAAAATCAAAAGATATACTCCTCAATGCACCAATTTAATAAAATCTGCTCATAGAAATACACTAAATTTGAAAATAGAAGCAACATTTTTAGTAAAAAAGTTGTTAAAACACAAACAAAACAAATATTAAAAACACATGATGATAAAACCAATACATACTTTGCTTCGTTTAGAGTCTAAAAGAAATTGAATTATTGTTACTTTTATTATTATTGAAATATTTGCATGTTGCCTACGGTTTTTCTTTTAATGTTACAAGTAGAAGTTCCTGATCGAAACAAATATTGTATGATAGGTTATTAGATGCATTTACGGATTCGTGTGCATTCGAAGCAAAAGGTAGTCTATTTAACAATTTTTCAATTCCATGTGGGAAAATGTCATACCTACTTATTAAAACGGTTTTATAACATATTTTTTCAAATTTGGTTCAACATTTCTAAAAGTTTATTAAAAAAAGTAGGGAAAATATTATTTTGGTAATTAAAGAACTAAGTTTTTAAACTCATCGTTTCCTATCTAGGTAGGTATTCTGTAAGAATTTTCTTCAATGAATACTATTATTATTCTGAAATGAAAAAGAGCTACAGCCAATGACTGTGGAAGACGTATCAAGTGGAAAAAATACTGGTACTGGGGATGGGTACAGCCACTTTAGGTGGATAGTTGAGAAAGTAGAATACATAAAGTTATTTAATTTATACCCGTAACCAACGATAAACTATTGCTAGTGAAAAACGATTCGGAGTGAAGTTCGGTTGTACATGTTTTGAAAGGCCATAATATTTATAATTTTCGACAAAATTTGATTTTAAATTTCTTATAAAAAAAAAAAAAAACATAACATTAAACTCAATTTTTTTTTCACTAAGTACGATTTATAATAAATCGTCAGTAACATTTTCAAGTATCAAGTATTTCTCTATAGTTTAACAATTTTATTCACAGGATACCTACCGAATAAAAATTGTGCAAAAAAAAATTAAAGTGTCTCTAAATAGCTCAAAATGGCTTGAATGTTTTCGAAATTTTACCACGTCTATTAAAAGAAAATATATTAAGTTTTCCGTCAAAATTAAATTACCTTTTTTGTTAAAAGTACCTCTTTTTATGTTTATATTATATGTATTAGATCTTTATTTTATTACAATATAGAATTTAGATAGTAGTTAATATTACCTTAGGATTTTTTAGACCAAAACAAATTCGTAAGGTTGGAAGGCATATAACTTGTAATTGTCTTTAACACAGTTTGGTTATTCTGGTCTATAAAATGGTTAAAGTATGGATTAATTGAAATTCTAGATGAATTTATTAGGTAAAAAATATAGTATTTAAAAAGTGTAGCATTAGGAGAGGGCGGGGCTGTTTGATACAAGGGTAAGTTGTTACAGTTCAATTTAAAAAAAAATATTGGTGGTAACACTTCGTAATTAAGTTGGTGATAAAGTAAATATGTGTTACCCAAACATTTTTTTTCTGTTATCATAATTAATATTGATTAATTGATATAACAATTTTTCTGAAAATCTTACCTCAAATCTACATTTCATGATTTGCATCGAATCAAGTAAAATAAATTGTTTTAAAGGTCACTTCTTTTGTAACTATTCAATTGATTGTTTAGCTTTTGACGTACAATTTCATAATATAATGAGTGATTTAAGACAAGTTGTCAAAGTAATAAAATTAGTTATACTAACACGTATTTGTTAGAGCTAGTTGTTACATTTACATCGGGACACGTTGTTACTTATAAATTAACAGAATAAAAAGTTAAAATTGTTTTTTTTATATTGTACGATTTAAAATGTACTCTTGATCATTTAAAAATTTGGAATAATATAATGATATTATTCCAAATTTTTGAGTATTTAACTATGTTCAAATTTGTATGATAATAGTAAAACCTTACAAATTAAAAAAAGAATAGTTTTATTATTTAATTTTATTTAATAAAATTAAATTTATAATTTTAAAATATTGTAACAAATTACCCTCTGTTGTATCACCTGCGAGCAATTTGTTACAAAATGAGTTTGTGAGTTTAATTTAAATTTTGGAAAAATTATTTTTTTTAAAAAAAAATGCTTGTTATGTTGCTAATGTGTCATTTCATTTTCAGAAAAATGTAGTAAAAATTAATTATTTGAATTTTGTATCAACTTGCCCCATCCTCCCCTACTGGGAACTGCTACTAGTTTTTGAGTTACTCTAATTTAAACACTAAGGACTATAGCATAAAATGGGTTTTTGATAATTTCACTTAACAAAATAAGAAATTGCCTATACACGACTCCTATGCAATGGTCGATATTCAGTCCCCATAAAAGGCAATTTCTCCGAATTACTCAAAAACTTTTCGTTAAAATTTAGATAATCATCCGATTCGCTGATTTACTATAGTGATGAAAAAACCAAAATCTAGATTTTCGGATTTTGGAACTTTCATTATGCATTTTTCTTTTAAATATTTTGTATTCAATTCAAAAACTAATAATAATTATACATTTATTTAGTATAAATATTATAGGACTATTATAAAATAATATATTTATTTAATTACAATTTATTATAATCATTTTAAGTAAAATTACTAAAATTATCAAATAAAGATCAAATTTGGGTGAAGAGGTAAAGACAATCACTGGCAAATATGTTATAAACATTTTTGTTTTCTATAAAACCATTAAATAAACATTTTAGATTATGACCATAGTGAGAAATGTACATAAAAATAAAATATAATACCTAGTAAATTAAAAAAACAATTTAATTATAACAAGTATACATTCAAATTGCATTTTATTTTAAAATTTACATAGGTAGTGCGATCGCACCATCGTACTTAGCATTGCTATGACGGCATAGAGAAGTTTTTTAACATTAAGGAGATTAGAAAAATTATTTTCAGAATGCTATATCTGATAGCAGATAAGTAAGTCGTAAGATATACAGCATACAGAACTAGTTCTGTTATCATTCCGAAAAGATGTAAATATGACGGATGATATAGCAATAAATACGTTTTCAAACAATCGAAAAGGTAGAAAATTAAAATTTACATTTGATTATTTAAAATAAAGTTTTCCTTTTCAAACCTACTAACTCTGCAATATTTATGATTTGTCTGTATTGTAATGTGATGTGAACTGGTCACCTGTTCCTCCCAAACAACAAAATTCCTTTATACATCACGGTTAATTACACATTTTAACAATAACCATTTTATATTATACATTGTTGATTTACCTTTAGGCGGTATTTCGGATTCTATAGATAAACACGTACAATAATTACGATTAGGTAGGTAAATTAAATATATTCTGTTTTAAATGAATTTATTAATTGTTTGACATTTACATAATTTTATATCGTTACATATATTACTGTTTTAGTATAGTTTTTCCTTACATACTTCACACGACGGATAGGACACTATTGTAAATAATAAATTGTGAAGGTAGGATATAGAGTGGAAATTAATTTATATCTGTGTATAACGATAAATCATTGCCAACATAAAATAATTATCAGCAGGGTTCGGTTATACTTATTTTAAAAGGACGTAATATTTACGATTTTTGTCAAAATTTGATATTAAAATTCTTATGCAAAAAAAAAAAAATATACTAAATTAAACGTGATTTTTTTTTTTACTACCAAGTATAATTTATAATATCACTCCTGTTAAATGTTCAAGTATCTCTGTTAAATCTAACAAAACCAAATAAAAATTGCGTAAAAAACTCACAAAATGAATATGTCTATAGCCCAAAAATGGCATAAATATTTTGAAAATTTTACCACCTCTACTATAAATTGTTTTTCAACATTTCAACTAATTACGGATTTAACTAAATCACAATAAAAAAAAAAATTAAAAATAATGTTACCATTTTTTTTTTCGTACATTTTCCCGTTCTCTCTACATTTATTTTCGGATTAACTCATCTAATAAAAAACTACAAGGAAAATCAAAAAAACGATTTCCCTAGAGTACCACCCATATACAAATTCCTTTCAGAAAAAGTACTATACGTGATATATAGAGAAAGATTTCCGGTAAAAAGTTGTTTACAGTATAAAAAAAAAAAAAAACCAATGTATCATTGTGAAACTATAACAACATTGTACGACAACTAATAATTATATTATATTTTAATTTTACCTTCATGGTGAACATTTAGTTCTAGTTTTTCTACGGCTTCTTCTTCTGAATCTATAAAAGAGTAAGCAAAATAATATAAAAGGAAACCTATTTTTAATTATTAACTTAATCGGCCTAGGTGGTTTGTTATTCATTGGCAATTTAAATATTAAGATTAAAAGAACGTTATACGAAGAATAATATAATCATTTTTTTCGTAAATTTTCCTTTTTTTATCTTCTTGTTGTAAACGTTTTAAATTTATAAATAGATACGCAAGCAAATTATTATTATATTTAAAAAAAATAATTGTTTAATGAAAATTATGTTTAAACTTTTGTTACAACTTTTACAACTTGTTAAGTGATCGTGTAATTATTACTCATATACAAGGTGATTAACTAAACGTGCTCACCCCCGTTTTTAGGTTAAATTGCGCATAAGTACGCTTAGTGAATCGCCCTGTATACTTTATAATATAAAATTAATATAATAATAGAATTCTACGGCTAAATATTATAACTGTGTTGTAATTAATACAAATAGACAATTTTAATAGTAATTATTGTACATTGTATACTATAGTTTTACCTTTATGTTGGTGCCGGTCTTTGACTTTTAAGTCTATAAATGAACACGTATAATCATTATATTAAATTAGTAAAAATGACTGATATACTTCACACGACAGATTGAACACTGTTGTAGATGATAAGTTGTGAAGATAAGATAAAGAGTGGGATTTAATTTATATCTGTGCATAACATATGTCAAAATTTGATATTAAAATTCTTATGCAAAAAAAAAAATATACTAAATTAAACGTGATTTTTTTTTTACTACCAGGTACAATTTATATGGTCACTCTTGTTAAATGTTCAAGTATCTCTGTTAAGCCTAACAAAACCGAATAAAAATTACATACAAAACTCACAAAAGTATTATGTCTATAAATAACCCAAAAATCGCACAAATATTTTGAAAATTTTACCACTTCCAGCATAAATTGTCTTTCAAATTTTCAAATCACTACGGATATTTAAATGAACCACAACAAAAATAAAATTAAAAATAATATTATTTATAATAATTATCTTTACATTTGTTTCGGATGTACTCATTTAATAAAAAACTACAAGGAAAATCAAAAAAACGATTTCCTTATGGTACCACACAAATAAAATTTCCTTTCAGAAAAAGTACTATACGTTATACACCAGAGAAAAATTTCCGGTAAAAAAGTTGTTTATTGTATAAAAAAAAAACATTATGAAACTATTCCAAAGTTGTAGGACAACTGAATTATAGTATATTTTAATTTTACCTTCATGGTGAACATTTGGTTTTAGTTTTTTTACGACTTCTTCTTCTGAATCTATAAAAGAGTAAGTAAAATAAGACAAAATGAGAACTTTTTTTAATTAATAACTTAATCGGCCCAAGTGGTTTATTATTCATTGATAATTGAAATATATTGATTAAGAGAACGCTATACGTTATGCATTTGTTGTGTCTGTCTTACAAATCCATGCCATAGAAAATTTGCTTTCAACGGGACAAATATTGTGTGCCGTAAATTTCAATATTAAAATTGTATTAGTTTTATCAATATTAATTGTGAAAGTAGGATATAGAGGGTAATTTAATATATCTGCACGCAACAATAAACCACTGCTAATGAAAAACGATTCAGAGAAAATTTCGAATATATATAGCTTTGAAATGCCGTAATATTTATGATTTTCGTCAAAATGTTGTATTAATACACTTTTTATAAAAAAAAATTATTTTACACTCAATTTTTTTCACCACAAAGTATGAATTATTTTGAATCAGCTGTTAAATTTTCAATTATTACTGCTTGGTCTAACAATTTTATCCACACACTACCTACCAAATAATAATTACTCACAAATTAAAATGTCTATAAAGAGCTCAAAAATGATAAAAATGTTTTGAAATTTTATCGAGTCTAGAAAAAGCAAATTTAAGTTTTCATCCAAATTTAAAGTCTCTAGGAATATTTTGAAATGAATTACAACAAAAAACAAAGTTAAAAATAATAAAATATTCCCTTTCGGAAATGGTGCCACGCGTATTATCTGAGCAAGATTTTTTGTACGCACTATATAAAAAAAAATAAATAAAATCTTTGTAAAACCATACATTCTTCATTTCACTCAGAATCTAAAATAATGATAGTGGTATGAAAACCGCATGGAAAATCAAAATATGACCCCGAAGTAATAATCTAAACAAAATTTTCTTTCAGAGAATGCCACACTTACATATCAAAGTAAGATTTTTTCGTCAAAGAANCTGAATCTATAAAAGAGTAAGCAAAATAATATAAAAGGAAACCTATTTTTAATTATTAACTTAATCGGCCCAGGTGGTTTGTTATTCATTGGCAATTTAAATATTAATATTAAGAGAACGTTATACGAAAAAAACAAAACCATTTTTTTTTTTCGTAAATTTTCCCGTTCTTTCTACATTTATTTTCGGATTAACTCAACTTATAAAAAACTACAAGGAAAATCAAAAAAACGATTTCCCTAGAGTACCACCCATGTACAAATTCCTTTCAGAAAAAGTACTATACGTGATATATAGAGAAAGATTTCCGGTAAAAAGTTGTTTACAGTATAAAAAAAAAAAAAAACCAATGTAAAACTATTACAACGTACAACAACTAATAATTATATTGTATTTTAATTTTACCTTTGTGGTGGACTTTTGTTTCTAGTTTTTCTACGGCTTCTTCTTCTGAATCTATAAAAGAGTAAGCAAAATAATATAAAAGGAAACCTATTTTTAATTATTAACTTAATCGGCCCAGGTGGTTTGTTATTCATTGACAATTTAAATATTAAGATTAAGAGAACGTTATACGAAAAAAACAAAACCATTTTTTTTTCGTAAATTTTCCCGTTCTTTCTACATTTTTTGTCGGATTTACTCAATTAATAAAAATCTACAAGAAAAATCAAAAAAACGACTCTCCTTTAGTACCACCCAGATAAAATTTTTTTTCAGTAAAAGTACTTACATGTTACAGCAGAGTAAGATTTCCGGTATAAAAGTTGTTCATAGTGTATGTTCATATGGTATATGTCATAATATAATATTATCTACACTACATTTTATTATAATGGACACCACTTCATTTTATTAGTTTCTAAGTCAATTTAGATTAATACTAATAGTATGTATTATAGTTAAATATCTTATATAATAATAGTATTCTATACATTTATCAGAAGGAATAGCCTCAGCTAATAATAAAGAAAATGTTATAATCCTATTATCTGTATCAAGATTAAAATTGTCCGACTCATATGGTTTAGAGTCTAAACTTTAGACCAATACAAAGGAGAAGTAGTATGGGAAAACGAACATCAAGAGTTTAGCATACGTGAATTTGATGTCCTATATGACGGAGAAGCGTCAATAGTAAAAGCCACTACACAAAAATCCAAGACTGAGTCATTCATTGTGGAAACAAACCACATTGCCTTTTCCCTAAAAAAATTATCACTAACCTATGCCTGCAACATTCCCGTATTCAAAACAGACAACCCTCAACTATTAATTATCGCCGATCAAAATTACGCAAACAGTTTTACACCAAAAGAAATCACACCATTCAATACTGACCTACTGTCCTACATTAATACCAAATTTGTATATCTCGAATTCACAGTTAAAAGAACGACAACCAAGCTATACGCAGACTCAACCAATAAGCAATGTGAATTTGAGAAACAATTATTACTTCAAAAGCTTTCTCTCGCATCATACTCTTTAAGTGAGTTTGTATATAAAATAGGAGAAGGACCAGGATACACAGCTATAAAAACGGGAGAAATAATTTACCTCCAAAAATGTGTCCCTATAAATGTCAATTTAAATTTCCAAAATAGATGTTTTAACGAGCTACCTGTTTCCGTCAACAATAAGACGTACTACATGACACCAATAAAGCATATACTTCAAAACTTTGGCATGCAAATAGACTAAAATGAATACATACCAGCCGCTTTCGCAAGTGACACAAAAAGATAGACTGCATTGACTCCAAAACCACACAAAATAAGTCCTCCTTAAAAATTAAAACCTGTCACTACTATATCCTGGTCCTATGAAAGTGCAGATAATTATATAACTGCTGGAATATATACTCCAGAAATAATCAACGCACTGCAAAAACATCTTATGTACCCACAAGAAACAGAGACAGCTAAAACAAACCTAATACGGCAAACAACAGGTCATGAAGTTATAAATCAAGGCTTTGACACCAGGAACATAATTAGTGAACAAACTATATGCAATATGGTCCACTCCGAGTTGAATAAATGTGGGGATGGTTCACTGGAATCGGAAATATAACGTCCGGCGTTTTAGGTATATTTTTCATAGGAAAAATTTCGCTAATGACAATTAACACTATACTCAATGTATCCATCGTATACAAAACATTTGGCTGGAGTATTAAATTAATAGCTGGTATTTTTTCAAACATAACGCATTATCTAATGCATAAGGAAAACTCGAATAGATACGGAGTGATCTCTAACAATGCCATAAATAAAACCATTCACCCTATTCGGCCTACTCCACGTAGTGGGTATACATTCATTTATTTTGTACCCCTATATTCACTTTATTACAATAGTATAAAAAAAAAAAAACATCATTGTGAAACTATTACAACATTGTACGACAATTAATAATTATATTTTAATTTTACCTTCGTGGTGAACATTTAGTTCTAGTTTTTCTTCGGCTTCTTCTGAATCTATAAAAGAGTAAGTGAAATAAGACAAAAGGAAAACTTTTTTTAATTATTAACTTAATCAGCCCGGTTGGTTTGTTATTTATTGATGATTAAAATTATTGATTAAGAGAGTATTACACAAAAATAATAAAACAATTTTTTTCGTAAATTTTCCCGTTGTTTCTACATTTTTTTACCTTTATGTTGATGCCAGTCTTTGACTTTTAAATCTATAAATGAACACGTATAATTATTATAATAAATTATTTAATATGACAGACATACTTCACACGACAGATTGGACATTGTTGTAGATAATAAGTTGTTAATTGTGAAGGTAGGATATAGGGTGGAATTTTTATTTATATCAGTGCATAACGATAAACCATCTCTAACATTAAATGATTCTAAGCAAAGTTCGGTTATGCATATATTGAAACTAAGTATTATTTACGATTTTTGTCAATATTTGATATTAAAATTCTTATGCAAAAAAAAAAAATATACTAAATTAAACGTGATTTTTTTTTTTTACTACCAAGTACAATTTATAATGTCACTCCTGTTAAATGTTCAAGTATCTCTGTTAAGCCTAACAAAACCGAATAAAAANTTTACATTTGTTTCGGATGTACTCATTTAATAAAAAACTACAAGGAAAATCAAAAAAACGATTTCTTTATGGTACCACCCAAATAAAATTTCCTTTCAGAAAAAGTACTATACGTTTTTACATCGGAGAAAAATTTCCGGTAAAAAAGTTGTCCATTGCATAAAAAAAAAACATTGTGAAACTATTCCAAAGTCGTAGGACAACTAAATTATATTATATTTTAATTTTACCTTCATGGTGAACATTTGGTTTTAGTTTTTTTACGACTTCTTCTTCTGAATCTATAAAAGAGTAAGTAAAATAAGACAAAATGAGAACTTTTTTTAATTAATAACTTAATCGGCCCAAGTGGTTTATTATTCATTGATAATTGAAATATATTGATTAAGAGAACGCTATACGTTATGCATTTGTTGTGTCTGTCTTACAAATCCATGCCATAGAAAATTTGCTTTCAACGGGACAAATATTGTGTGCCGTAAATTTCAATATTAAAATTGTATTAGTTTTATCAATATTAATTGTGAAAGTAGGATATAGAGGGTAATTTAATATATCTGCACGCAACAATAAACCACTGCTAATGAAAAACGATTCAGAGAAAATTTCGAATATATATAGCTTTGAAATGCCGTAATATTTATGATTTTCGTCAAAATGTTGTATTAATACACTTTTTATAAAAAAAAATTATTTTACACTCAATTTTTTTCACCACAAAGTATGAATTATTTTGAATCAGCTGTTAAATTTTCAATTATTACTGCTTGGTCTAACAATTTTATCCACACACTACCTACCAAATAATAATTACTCACAAATTAAAATGTCTATAAAGAGCTCAAAAATGATAAAAATGTTTTGAAATTTTATCGAGTCTAGAAAAAGCAAATTTAAGTTTTCATCCAAATTTAAAGTCTCTAGGAATATTTTGAAATGAATTACAACAAAAAACAAAGTTAAAAATAATAAAATATTCCCTTTCGGAAATGGTGCCACGCGTATTATCTGAGCAAGATTTTTTGTACGCACTATATAAAAAAAAATAAATAAAATCTTTGTAAAACCATACATTCTTCATTTCACTCAGAATCTAAAATAATGATAGTGGTATGAAAACCGCATGGAAAATCAAAATATGACCCCGAAGTAATAATCTAAACAAAATTTTCTTTCAGAGAATGCCACACTTACATATCAAAGTAAGATTTTTTCGTCAAAGAATAATAAAAAAAAAAAATTGTCATTGTAAAGCCAATACATTCTTCGCGACACTCAGAATCTAAAATTAGTTTGAAAAATCAGAATATCAAAATGTATATCTGAATATTTATAATTTTTAACTCGAACGTAGTGTATGATCAAATTTAACAGTTGTTTAAAATGCGCAAGTGGATATTACCTACCTATTACGACCAAATCAAATGTAGTTTTTGTCGTGGTATATGAATATTGTATGTTGTACGATGAACACAACTTATTAAAATCAAACCATTAATTATTTGACATATTTGACAAAGTTAAAATATTTTAGAAATGGTTCTAAATTATTTAAAGTTTGACACACGTCAAATATTTGGGAACACATATTTAGATATGTGAGAACCTAGCTTTAGAATTATATTATAACATCTTTTCTAAGTCTACACAATCCAAAACGTGATGTAGAAAACAAATTATACTTTACGCAATTATATTATGTACCACCTACTATAATGTATTATAAATAGGTATGTCATAATATTGAACATTGTAAAATATAATTTTTTTTTTTAATTACTATAATACAAATAAATTGAAAGTTTTTAGTTTGAAAACTTTACCTGCAAATCCATATAATAAATTCAGTTCTGCTTGCCATAGATCCTTGCTCAGTGGAACATATACTAAATAGTTAGGTATTAATTTATTACTTTGGTACTAAATAATTTATATTATCGATTCGTTAAACTATTATACATATAGAAGTTATTATATAATGTAATATAACAATTGAACATAGAATAGCTTATGTTTTATTATTAGACTAAAGTATTATAAAAATTATAAATAAATAATTTGTATTATTTGCTATTTAATGAAACATTTTCAAAAAAAATAATCACACAAGTTATCTGGGTGTTAAAAGCGTGTTCTCCATGATCAACCATACAAGTCGAACCTTTACCTTTTCATTATGTAACACGCATTGTGTTACCACAATGGCCAAAATTAGGACAAGCTGTGTTTGGAACTATTTATTTTTAATACGTTAATAAGTTTTTTCAATCTTTCTACTTATTCTGTTGACTTTTTAGAAATTTTCTTTCATAAAATCCTTGCCAAGTATTATAAATACAACAAAAAAAAAAAAACCAGCAAAATCGGTCAAACCGTTCTCACGTAATGCAATGACCAAGGGAAACAGTGATTCATTTATTTTTATATATATATATATATATATATATATAGATTATTTTAACTTTCATACATTATAATTTTGTTTTAAATCAATTTTAAATTGTATAGTTTCTTGTTTCTAGTTTGTTTTACAATTTAAAAAATGTTAATCCTACCTACATAAAAAATAAATGCGTTAACAATCCTATAGATGTTGATGATCGGAGCATGATTTTTGGTCGAAAAGTTGCTAACGAACATACACAAATAAGAACACATCATAACCAATTAAGGTATTACAATAAAGTATTACACGCACGTGAATGATGCGCGAGGTGTAAATCCGTTTTTCATAAAACTCGGAGAAACTAACCATTTTGTGATTTTTGAATAATGTGTAATAATATAATATTAAAAATTGCTTTTTCGATTGAGTTAGAAACCTGAGAAGAATAACTAAAATAGAAAGCATCTAAAATTCTGACAAATGTGTATTTTTGTTTTTAATTATGTTTATAAGTTTATGTGTGCATAGGAAATATTTACAATGTAGCTTGGCTCGTATTAAATATTCCGAATAGTCTTCTTCCTTAATCGATATTGCTGAAAATATAAAATATAATTATTTTTTTATATATATATTTTACAATAAATCATTAATCCGAGGGAATTTTGTGTAAAAAATAACGAATTAAATTTCCATAAATCCATATATGACCAAAAAATATAAATAGAATTAAGTATAATGATAACATTTAGTGAATGTGTTGAACGGTCACAGATCTGGACTAAGTAGACAGGCTAGATGATGGAAATTTGTTTTAAACTTCTAATATAGACAACAAGTTAACTTACTATCTTTTAATTGTTTGAACCTTTGTTCAGATATAGGATCTGAAAATAGTAAAAACAGTCAGTTGAATATTATTTAATATTATTTTGAACAATACTAAAAACAATTTAATGAATTATAAATTGCACTAGCTTAAGATAATTCACAACATTTCGCCGAACCGAAGACATTTTCATAAAAAAAAAAAAAAAATTTAATTTATTATTTGTTAAACAATCAAATAGATAACTATTATTATTTATTACTAACATATCTTTGAATTTTAAATTCATATTTTATAAAACTAAAATAAAAGTAGCTTTTTTTCATTCTTCGGAATATAATATAATTATAATAATAAATATATTTTTTATGAAATGTTAATGCATAAGCACTGTATATAACTCTCAACCTCCAGCACAAGCTAGATTGCTTACAGGAAGTTGATAAACCTTAGTTTTAATGTTGAATTGTTAAATAGTTAATTCTATAATAAATGGTTATCCTAAAATAACAAAAATAAAATTCGTGATCCATATCTACATTGTGAAACTGGGCTTTAATTACATAGTTTTGGAAACTAGAAATATTAATAAAAACATTTAATTTTACATTTGTTTGAATCGATACCTACGTATCTATGTTATATGCAAGTAGGTAGATAGGTACTTAAAACAAGTGCAACACGTTTAACAATTTGGATAAAAAAAAAAACTTACTGTTAATTAGAATATTGTAAATCCTTACATTTGTATTATCTAAAAATGTCATAATTTATTAAGTACCTATAGTTAAGTCTAGTAGATTTATAATTTATTAAAGTTGTTCTGACTGACTTACCTAGATCTTCTATGCATATAAAAGAATTTTTAGAAAATCATAAGTAACGATTTAAGGACCATAATTATTCAATAATAATATTATAATACTATTAACAGAATAAAAAAACTGAAATTATTTCATAGCAAACAGCTTCACAAATATTATGTTACCTATCTTAATTAATTGTTATCATTATAAGAGGCGTATTTAAATAAATAAATATATATGTATAATATAATTGAATATTATTTAACCGAAATATAGTATAAAACTAAAAACCTACCGGAATTATAATTTTCTCAGAAAATTAAATTCCTATAGAATCTTCATAATTTCACGATACAATCAAATTGTCCATGGCATACTTTTAAGTTCTGAGTGGAGCTATAGTTTTACAAAGATATTTATTTATTATTATTTTTTTAATATGTATATTGCCGATTCAAGAACGATAGTGAAATCAGAATTGAGCGACTGTTCCGAAATTATAGCTTTTTGAAGTTCTGAAGTTATGAAGTTATTGAATGTTATGTTAAATAACTACACCTATATTGTCTTTTATAAAGAATGTTTGTCATGATCTAATGGTAATACATACCTATTATCATCCTAGAGGGCCGCGAGTTCAAAAACCCGGATTTCGAACAAAATTGTTTGCATTTTCCCCCCCTTTTACCTAAACAAGGAAAAAACAAGTGCATTTTAGGTGTAACTAGAAACCCAATTTATCGCTCGCTCAGTCTTTTTAACCACAAAATACCCCTCAATTAGTTTTAACTGGACTTCATCTATTTAGGTATGGGTTTTTAATATAAGTTGCTGATTTAAAATCTAAATTTTGCTGATTCAACCAAATATAACGGCACTGTTACACTTAGAATATATTATGATGTAATATCCAAAACATGTTTACATGTTATTTTTTGAAAAATTAAGTATTTTATTATTTCATGGACAATTTTACTGTATTTCTACTGAAATTTGGAAGAAAATATTTTAAGAAATAATGGTTTTGTAAAATGTTTATTAGGTAATAATTTTATTGAAATACTTGTTTTATATTATTTTAGTATATTTAGCAAATCCATAGAGTACATAGACTATAGAGGCGCCTACTTGATATATTATAAAGTAGAAATAGAAACAAAACAGTGAAGGCAAACTATAGAAAATATTTTATTGAATGCGAAGTGAAGTACATTTGTATTTACATTATTTGACTCATAAACAACATTACATTACTAAATTGATATATTGTAATGAATAGTTTTGATTCATTCATTACTGCTATCAGCAGTGACGCAACCGGGGATTTGGGGGTTATGTTATACTCTTTCGAAATTTCAGATTCTTTTAAATCCTATGGAAAAATTTATATTATGTAAGTTAAGTATCAGTATTTCTTAAAAATTTTAAATAGGTACCAAATTTTTGTTTGTATTTTAGACTTTTATAGACCTAGAGAGTAGTGAGGGAACTATAATTTTGATTATTGATTTTTTTTTTTTTTTTTTTTTCGGGAATCACTAACTAAGTTGACTAAGTAATCAGTTATTGAAAACAAAGTCCGCCATTTTTGCTTCATATTACTCAAAAATCATATTACTTAAAATGATAGGGTGCCTTTATAAACTCTATGGCAAAAACTAATAAGATAAACGTTTCTATAAGCTAAATATAATTAAATCCTGTTCCTAAATTAAACGGTTTTCACATTATTATATTAAATACAAATTATAATCAATTTTACTTACTCAGAAATAATGCTGTAAATAATTTTAAAAATATAGCTATATCATATAAACAACAAAATATAGGTACCGCCTTACTTTACTGTTTTCTTTAAGCAATTATTTAAATAAACATATTTTCTTTAATAAATCTGTAGTTATGATATTATTAGCTAATATGTTAGCTGAAGATTTTGGATGTTAGAATGTGCTAATCTAAGGAAATTTAAGTAATAAGTCTGCTTTGAACAATTAGTTTTGCATAAGATAGCCCGTTTATTGAGAAAGGTTATAGGCCAAAAACTCGTAAGGTAGAGGGAGAGGTTATTATATTATTATAGATATTAGATAAGTCATATGAAACAATCCGTATCACTAATTAAATTAAAATTACTATCAAACACTGTAAATACGGTCATGTAGTGAGTTACAATTCGAATCTAAAAGCCTCGGATATGAATCCTGAACATATTGGGTTATTTCTAATCTTTTTTTTATGTTTATCACTTTAAACTTAAAAACCGATTTCAAACATTTTTCCGATACCTTTCTTACGTTACCGTGGTAGAAACTCGGCAAACAGTTATAATATGTTTTGAATTAACACATTAGAATCATTAAATACTTTTTTTTTGAAATTCGGTATCTGGAGGGTATTTGATATTTTTGGAATAAAAATAGGAATATTTTGCTCATTTATGGGTGAATTTGGTGGCAATTTGGTTGTTTAGTTTGATTTGATTCAATTAAAAATATTTGTAGAGACTTGAAGTTTGAACAGACAACTTATATTTGCCTTTTCTTTACGTGGTCAAATTTTAAAAAATGTTTAGTCATTTTTGAGCTAATTAATAGACATTTTAATTATACGGGGTTTTTTTTATGTAATTTTCGTTCGGTAGGTTCTCTGTGTATAAAATTGTTAGATCAAACAGAAATGGTAAAAATTTAACAGGAATTTTATTATGTCATAATTTGTGTTAAAAAAAAAATTAAGTGAAATGTAGAATTTTTTTTTATAAGAATTTTAATATCAAAATATGACGAAAATCGTTTTAGTAAAAATTATGTAGACTGAGTAATTGAACTTTCATATTAATGTATAATAGATATAATATCAAACAAATATTATGATAGAAAATATTATTTTTACCATAATTTGACATAGATATGTATTATTGACAGTGCAACATTAAAAATCGAACTCCGTTTCTGTTTCCGTTCAATATTGTGCACGGGTAAAGTCGTAAGGGGTGACTGATAATAATATGTATTCTTATTTGTCTTCCTTTGTGCTTCTATTCCAGTAAAATGAGCTAGGCATTCTTTTTTTTGCCTTCCACATCATAGTAACACTTAACTCTAAATAATTAATGTCTAATAAATATAATTTTTCTTTACTCTTTCATTCTTTGGCATAAATCTTTTCCGGCTTCAAACTTAACTTACATTACGTGTCGTCTTGAGTATCTTATCATTCTCTATCATACTACAGCTACCATTCTCAGAGTACGTTTTTACTTGGATTGGTATGTATTGTGTATAATATTTTATCACATTCATTCCGCTATTTCAATCTTAATTTTACATCCCTTATTCAACGCCAAATACCATCTACATCAGTGGTGGCTTAACAGCATTTTTTAAACATTTTCCCTTCAACTTTTACGTCATGCATGATGATGCATGATTCTTAAAATATAATAATGAATTGAGGTGATTTCATTTTTTGAATAAACCTGAAATATAAATATTACTTACCAATTTCTTTTCTTCGTTTGGAAAAATCCTCAAAATTATCGTTTAGCCCAAATGGTAATACTGATGAAACAATGTTAAGAATTATAATTATAATTTTTTCTTTTTAATTTACTAATATAATAATAATAACAGTACATTTTTCATATAAAATATGTACATAAAGATATAAATTAATTTACAAGTACGAAATCCCTTCAAAAACTTTATGAAGATATCATGTTGTACAATGCATGTATATATACATAAGTATTTAATTTATAAATTTATGAATATATACTATGATGTTGTTACACATGGTAATCTTTGATAAAACATTCATTTTCTTTGAAAGTATTAACTTTAATTTAATGAAACGAGATGCTCTAAAATGTTACATTTCCGTTATTTTTAGAGGTTAAACCAACACCCATTTTTGATACAAATTGTATTGTACTATGATTTATTCTGTATAAGTACTCGTACGGCTCCTCCTTTATTGTCTATTTTAATGTTATTATTTGAATACAAATAGGTTATTTGTTAATTAATATAGTTAAGTGAATTGATTATTGGTATTTTAAATATATTAAGCAGTACAAAATTATTCTTTAGTTTTTTTTAAATACACACATATATATATATGTATAGAATGAAGGAAATTTAAACTTGATTTAATTTGGGATTATTAAAATCTACTCACCAGAGTATTCTATATGTAGAAAGTATGAAACATAATTGTATTAATATGTATAAGTAAATTCATTTTAGTGGCCAATACATAGGATTACTACTTATTTTATTATAATAAAACATCTTACGTAGTGCCTTGATCCGAAGTTGTTGTTTATTATATATGTTTATGTCTTCTAAAATTGTGTACATTTGTATGATGTTAAAACAGATGAAATGTGATACTTATAAAGGATACCTTAAAAAATTAGATATTATAATAATAAAAACATAAGTACCTAATGAATAATAATAAAACCTAAAATTAATTTATCTTCATCATTGACAGATACCATGTATGTTTCATTGCTCTAATAATATGTACTTAAAAATTTTTCTGAAATTTCGGTGAAGGTGTTGAACTCCTAAAATTCCTATTATGTACACACCTGGTTATACAATACTTATTAGAATTATTTATTCCAACTTAAATTTCATAAATTAATAAGGAAGAGTTCAAGCAATTAGTAATTTATGAGTAAAAAAACGTTTCTGCTGGGTGGACCAAAGAAGTGGCTAGAAATAACGCGCTTTATGAGTTCTGCGGTTCACTCTACTTTAGCTGGCGTCGCAAAACTATTTTCAAAAAAAGTTCGTCGTTCAAAACTGCACATTTTTATGTGTATTTTCTCAAAATGACCCATACCGCACAAATTTTACTTTTTGTCCAATCGAACGTACCCAACAAATCGAGGATTATTTTCGATTAAAATTGTCTGAGTGAGCGCAGCAAGCGAGTGACCACATTGGGTCTCTA